GTAAATGTGACACACGTTCGTCAATAATACTGTCTTAAAAGGAACAAAAAACATATAATTATACACCAAACTGGTCAATGTGAGTTGGTGAAGAGGGGGGGGGGCGTAGGGACCCAGGACCAGTTCAGATACCACTTGCCACTGCTGCGAGCCGTGGCTGGGAATTGGGACTCGAGTGGCTGGGAATTGAACTTGAGTGGCCAGGTTCTGTGCAACAAACGAACCACTGCACACCGCGCACTCCACCCAGATGGCTGAGCGCGTTACCGGCAATGAAACGTGGAGTGCCCCGTCAACAATAAACATGCGGAGATTCCATTACGACCTTTGCTTGGCAAACACACGCGTGACGGGCGCACGCTTGAACGGTCTCCATGGATGGGTTTATGGCCTACTTGCCGCTGGTTTGTGAAGTCACTATTCTCTCTGTTATCCTTTTCTGTGTGAAAAAAAGATCTGTCGAGGCCAATTTAAAACACCAACTTAAACAAGGCAGCCCAGTAAAGCCTGTTTAGATAATGGAGACGGGGGGGGGGGGCAATTCCACCAAATGAAGAAGCGGTTTTTGAGTTGGTGGCTCTTTCAGCCATGGACAATGCTATTGGAATCCTACTGACTCCAAGTGCGCCTTAGTCTGCCTAATTGAGATCTGGTTACTTTTATATGACGCACACATTAACATTATAGAAATATAAAAGGTAAAATGTAATTTTCGGCCATTGCTATGCCATGTACCGGATGGCTACGTACGGTGCTAAAAAAAGTTCAACATACATTCAGCTTGAGATAGTCACCCTAACAACTTCGTAGCTCAACCGGCTCTGCCAGTTCTCAATAAATTCGTCTGTCTAAGAAAGGTGAAATATAAAAAAAGAACCATAGAAAGTCACACCCTGGAAAGCACAATCCAAGTAGTCACAGTGCTTTACAGAACTAAACGGCGAGGTCTCATTGGCAGTGGTGCACACGCACAACACTCAACACACTCGCAAAATAAGGTGTACACCAGGTGACGTTTCGGGCAATGGTCCTTCTTCACAGCACACGAATGGTGTCCCCATTGGATGCACACTGATGACAACACAATGGCCAGAATTGTACACAACATCGCCGTGGAGCGTTATGGGTAAAAACAAATACAGAGCCAGAACTCTCTCTAGATCCTGTGTCTCCAAATGTAAATCGACATGCAGTAAGTTGTAGTCCATCAGCCTTCTTGAATTTCCGGGACGATATTATCGAGCAATGTTTGTTTACATTAGCGAGAAAACTCTGGATCAGTTTCCACTTTCCAGCGTCTCATGAGCTGAGTGAGGCTTGTTAATCAAACGCTGATAGAGTACCAAATTGTTATTGGCAACAGCACTCCAAATAAAATATGAGAACCCAGTTTATTAACACAAAGAGGCAATGCCGTACACAAACTCATGATTTATTTCACAGTCAAACGTGATGGTGAGATTGGGTGAATGTCCGTGACTTTTTAACGCGCGAATCGCTCGATATTAAAATCAATTATTTGGTGATGCTGCTGCTACGCAGGACTGTACAGAGGACAATCAACAACAACAAAACTAACCAGCAACACACACGCGCGCGTTCTCGGCACGCCAGTGATGTCACTCACCGCACATCAAAGTCGTTCGATTACACACAAGTGTCTGGGGGACCGCGGGGCCTTTTCCGAGTCTCATGACGACAAACAGAGACGAAGCCAACCCCCCCCCCCCCCCCCCATGTCGTCTTAACGGCTGTGAGATGTTAGCGAGCACCTACTGGACATCTGTGGGGGAAAGAGCTTCATAGCTCATGGGATTCCTCCAGTAAACATTCAGATTCTGAGCGAGTACCTATGAATGCCGGCACGGTGCACGAGGTGGTGGGTGGTCAACCACACCACGCCCGACCGCCTTTATCTCCTTAGTGGCGATGTTTACACAATGAACCAGGTACTAATTTGAGGCTGAGTCGACCTAGGGGAGGGCCAGGACCGGTTCGGATAATCGTCACGGGTGTTGGTGGCCGTGAGCGGGATACGAACTCGTTTTACCGGGTTCATAGCGCAGCGTAGCGCTCACCGCTACACCACCGCTCATTAAGACAAACTCCTCTAAACAGATACACACACAGTGGTGTGTGAATATTCTCTCGCACTAACTCGGGTCTCATCCCGGCGAGCCTTTGAGACTACTATCTGCATCGAGACTTGGATCTCAAGTTTGTGTTTTGGATGTTACTCATTAACTCTGCTCACTCTTTCAAAAGACCGTATATTGGTGAAGGTAGTATATTTAGCCATTGATAATGGTACTGACAATAAACACGATTGGGAGGCGATGTTAACACAGTTTGTACTAGCGCTGCGTTGGGAAGAGCACTGGGCAAACAGCTCGTTCGAGTTAATCTTGATTTGAAGCTTTCGTGACTGCAAGAATCCAAGAAATTTGTCTTGCTGCGGTGTTCCCACCTGATGATGATTGCTTGTGTTGCAATCGAAACGTCGTGATTTATTTTATACCTACGTGACTTTACCGAAAGAACCAGAGAGTATAGCTCGTTCGAGACGCACAAATCATCCGCACACCTCCTCCTCCCTGCCTTTGACATTCCTCCAATAATTTGTGGCCCGGTCGCTTCTAATAAAACAGCTAAAAAAGACAACCTCAGAGCGCAGTGAGATTTACTTGGTAAGATAAAAACAATATAGTTTACTTTTATTTGTATATATATTTTCTGAAAGTGATTTGTGTACACTTCCTAGACTTTGCACTCCTATCGTGTTTTATTGTTTATTGTTGTAACGTTCTGACCTGCCCCTACTGGACATCTGTGATTAAGAGCTTTATAGCTTATCAGATTCCTCCAGTATAAATACATCGTCTGATTCCTCCTCTAAGACACTGGTAGAACCATCAACTCACCCAGTCAGTCAGTCACCCACCCACCACTCGTTCAACCATCAACTCACTCACCCAGTCACCCACCCACCACTGGTTCAACCATCAACTCACTCACCCAGTCAGTCACCCACCCACCACTGGTTCAACCATCAACTCACTCACTCACCCAGTCAGTCACCCACCCACCACTGGTTCAACCATCAACTCACTCACTCACCCAGTCAGTCACCCAAAGTGATTTGTGTACACTTCCTAGACTTTGCACTCCTATCGTGTTTTATTGTTTATTGTTGTAACGTTCTGACATGCCCCTACTGGACATCTGTGATTAAGAGCTTTATAGCTTATCAGATTCATCCAGTATAAATACATCGTCTGATTCCTCCTCTAAGACACTGGTAGAACCATCAACTCACCCAGTCAGTCAGTCACCCACCCACCACTCGTTCAACCATCAACTCACTCACTCACCCAGTCACCCACCCACCACTGGTTCAACCATCAACTCACTCACCCAGTCAGTCAGTCACCCACCCACCACTGGTTCAACCATCAACTCACTCACCCAGTCAGTCACCCACCCACCACTGGTTCAACCATCAACTCACTCACTCACCCAGTCAGTCACCCACCCACCACTGGTTCAACCATCAACTCACTCACTCGCCCAGTCAGTCACCCACCCACCACTGGTTCAACCATCAACTCACTCACTCACCCAGTCAGTCAGTCACCCACCCCTGGTTCAACCATAAACTCACTCACCCAGTCAGTCAGTCAGTCACCCACCCACCACTGGTTCAACCATCAACTCACTCACCCAGTCGCCCACCCACCACTGGTTCAACCATCAACTCACTCACCCAGTCAGTCAGTCACCCACCCACCCCTGGTTCAACCATTAACTCACTCACTCACCCAGTCAGTCACCCACCCACCACTGGTTCAACCATCAACTCACTCACTCACCCAGTCAGTCACCCACCCACCACTGGTTCAACCATCAACTCACTCACTCACCCAGTCAGTCACCCACCCCTAGTTCAACCATCAACTCACTCACTCACCCAGTCAGTCACCCACCCCTGGTTCAGAACATCACCAGGGCCGATGCGCGCATCTCCTTCACGAATGGAAATCTAAAGACACAACCCAGTGGCGCTATTGTGGCCATGCAAACCGAACTGTGGACCGCGCAGTAAACCCACTGTAACCTGCGCTCCTTCAACCGAGGAGGAGGAAGAGCGAAACTCCACGAACTCTCAACTCTTTCCCTGCATGCCCCCCTCTCTATCTCTCTCTCGCTTAGTGGCGAGCAGACCTCGACATTCGCATCGAGCTGCTGAATATATTTGCAAAACGCACGAACAAAAATGCTGCATCAGTCGGTGAGATGTGTCAGTCGGCCAGATTAGCTCAAGTTTCAGACCAGATGACAACTACACAGTTATTCGGGAACTGCTGATGGTTGTGTTTGTTGTCGCATGCTGATGTTTGACATACGTCTGTGTGTTGTTGTTAGAAACTCGTGATTTTACAGCCGGCATTATTATTCTGTGGTGATTATGCTGACGATGCCGGGGTTTTACGCGTCTTTCACATATTAGAATACGATCATAGGTAGCACTAACATCGCAAGCAGCACAATAACAACTTTAAAACCTTCATGCAGCTTCCTGAATCAAAGCAAGCAGCAGCAGCAGCAGACACAATCTCATTTCGAGATGTACTATGCTGAACTTCTTTCGCACCGTACGTTAGCCAACCGTGCTAATCGGAGGTGCGAGGGTGGGAAGGACAAGAAAAACTGGTCACAATCCCCATGGGCGCACAGAGGTCGTTTGCAAGGATGTCTCAATTGACACGTAACACAGCAAACACGTCGTGTATGCTGGACTTCTTTCGCACCGTACGTTAGCAAACCGTGCGGGGGGGGGGGACAACACACGAAACACAACAGGGCTGTTAAGAGAACAGTTCTAACAAAGTGTTTGCTGTGTGAGTGAATTGAATGTGACATCTCCAATGTGCAGCAGCACTGAGTCAATGACACTGGATCACTGGCGTCTGTGGGGGGGGGGGGCATGTCCAGGCGCTCACCTCGCCGAGCCTTGGGGCCACTGCTGCTGCTGCTGGTGGTGGTTGTTGTGGTTGTTGTTGTTGGCCTCCAGGAGATGCGGTCGCTGGCCAGGAGGACCTCACACGTCTTGCGCTTCACACGCAGCTCGGAGCCGAGCAGGCAGTCGCCCCCCTCCATCGTGTCGCCTCCAGGTGGATTGCCCGGCGGCTGTTGCTGTCTCCTCTCGCTGTCTGTCCGTCCGCCTCCAACTCGTGAGCTTGGCGATGGAGGAGCCCCTTGGACCTTGCCTGACGGGCCCGTGCTATGGAGAGCCGTGCCTCAAGACGCCACCGAAGACCTCGTCAATCCCTGCCTCTTGGAGCATATTCGTCACCTCAAGCGCACGGTGCACAGAGTACCGAAACGCTGCTCTCGATTAGAGTGACCGCCCCCGACTCTTCTCAATCGGTGGACTCCTTTTCACAAGGACGCTCTTGTCAAAGTGGACATTCCCAATTCCCCCCCACCACCACCACCACGGTGCCCCTGCCCCTGACTCTCTCTGGCCCTCACCGACTGCCCAATCTGACTACGAGACGGTGGTCACGGTGGAGATTGCGGACGCACCACCATCAACCACCACCACCACAGCCGCCGCTGTTGCTGCTGCTGCTGCTGACTGCGAGTGGACGGAGCCACAACGCGGAAGAGGGAGGGGGCACTGAGATGACCGCCACCCTCGTGGATTCGCGTGGTCTCAGTGAGTGGGCGTGGTCTGATGGGTGGGCGTGGTCTGATGGTGGGCGTGGCCTGATGGGTGGGCGTGGCCTGATGGGTGGGCGTGGCCTGATGGGTGGGCGTGGCTTCTCGGAATAAACGTGGCCTCAATGAGCGAGCGTTGCCTCGCGGGGGTGGGCGTGGCCTAGCGGATGGGCGTGGCCTCTCGGAACAAACGTGGCCTCAGTGAGCGGGCGTGACCTAGTGATGACGGGCGTGGCCTCAAGGAGTAGGCGTGGCCTGGTGCGGTGGGCGTGGCATCAAGGAGTAGGCGTGGCCTGGGGCGGTGGGCGTGGCCTAGTGGTGACGGGCGTGGCCTCAAGGAGTAGGCGTGGCCTGGGGCGGTGGGCGTGGCCTCAAGGAGTAGGCGTGGCCTGGTGGTGGGCGTGGCCTAGTAGTGATGGGCGTGGCCTCAAGGAGTAGGCGTGGCCTGGGGCGGTGGGCGTGGCCTCAAGGAGTAGGCGTGGCCTGGGGTGGTGGGCGTGGCCTAGTAGTGATGGGCGTGGCATCAAGGAGTAGGCGTGGCCTGGGGTGGTGGGCGTGGCCTAGTAGTGATGGGCGTGGCCTCAAGGAGCAGGCGTGGCCTGGGGCGGTGGGCGTGGCATCAGGAGTAGGCGTGGCCTGGAGCGGTGGGCGTGGCCTGGTGAAGTTGGCGTTTTGGACCCAGGAGTTTTAATTAATCAAGGGCTTTGGATCAGAATCATCATCAGAGTATTTATTTACGGGGGGCGGGGGTGGTTTATTACTGGAGGAATTCAATTAGCTATCAAGATCTTTTTCTCTGTCACAGATGTCCAGTATGGGCGGGTTAGAACGTTACACACAACAAACGAGACGACACGGTAGGAATGCAAAGTATAGGAAAGGTAAGCAAATCCTAAAACGTATATACAAATAAAACTAAACTATTTTATTTGACTAGGTAAAGCCCACTAACTGCCGATATAAACACGTTTGCTGGATGAAGACTTTGGAAGGCGTCCCAGCAGCAAACATGACAACGTTGCAAAGTGGTTGGTACCGTTGGACCAACGTTTCGATATTTGCTGGACTTCATCCAGCAGTGGATTGATCATGACTGATATTGATGACACGCCGTTGTAGTTATGGACATCAGTGAAAAACAGCTTGAAAGCTCGTCGGATTTCTCTAGTGTATAAATATTCTGATTCTTTGAGCGGTTCAGAGTCCACTGATTGTGAGCCGGGGCCCGGGCAGTTGGAGGCAGTCGCCTTCAAGCAACAACAGAGGGCAGAGGACCGGCGCTCACAACAACGAGCGGAGCGCCGGGCGGATAAAATCGAGAAAGTTGGCACAATAGGTGGTACAGCTGGTGTGCATCTCCCTGTCAGTCATCTCAGTCAGCCATCCCATGGCACCTGGGTCTGTCCAGCGGAGACCTCCTATCCAGCGAGCCTTCGACACTTCACGTGATAGCCTCAAAGTGCACATAGCCTGGCACAGGCGCCGTCACTTGGTGACGAATGGCCCGGGGCTGTTGGTGTTTAGGTGCGCTAATCACTGCACCACCACTCGCGTGGAGGAAGGGGGCGTGGTTACAACTTGACGCCTTGCGATTGGTCAATTTTTTCTTCGTTCCCCGCCCACGCGCGGAGACTCGCCAGCCAATCAGCGGTCGATAAATATTCAAAATTCAACCGCCATTGGTGTGTGTATCGTTCTGTAGTAACCTCAATGGTTTATTGTACGTAAGTTTAGAGTTGTCGTTTTTAAATTTCGTGTCCGCTTCAAGTCACAGCTGTGTGATAATTACACGCGGGTGAGTAATTCAAAACATTCTTACAAAAGCCGATTTCGCTTTGGCCTACTGTCGGTTAAGGCCTAGAAAGTTGTGACGCCTACGGTCTTTCCTGAAAATCTGGCCGAGGAAGGCGACCCCGGCACGGCGGATTCGACCGGCCTGGTGTAGCCCAGCGTGTACCCCGGTACACCTTTTGGTATTGTGTGGTATATGAAACACACTACTGTTATCTCTTTCGATTTATGTGTTTATATAATCCTGCACGAGATTGCTGACAATATTTTCATTGATTTAAAATATTTTTACTTGGATAATCAATTATCACATGGGATGTAATCAATTGCTTTACTTTCTTTTTACATTACCAGCTCGCAACTTGGGCACATATCTACAAAATAATAGTTGTTTGCTCCGTGCTTTCGTGACAAATAACGTCATGTATTTGTGTTACTGCCACTGATATCGTGCTCACGCACCACGGATCTCCCCTGTGGAATAGCCGGCGAAACTGGCTAAGCCTCGTGTAACAAATGAAATAAACTAAAACTCGGTGCATTTCCTACAGGTGCTGATCATTTTTGCGTTTGCAAATCCCCCCGGGTTTGAAGGTGGTTGGAGGAGGTAGGGAAGGAAGGGCGGTCATGAACGCCGCTGATAAGGAGAACGAGACGGCCACTCTGGTGAGGAGAGCACAAAATGAACCATCGTTCTCTGAGATGGCATTGTGCCAGCCGCATATGCACCTGAGCCCAGCTTTCTTCAAACATCTGTTTTACATTCATCCCAGCCGAGTTTGAGACGGGTTGCATCGTCCATGGAGGGCGCCAGATGTTAACTGCCTCGCCTCGTATGCAGGAGGGACGTGGGTTCCATCCCTACCCTGTGACGCCTGCTGTATATTTGGAGTTTGTATTGTTTCTCGCCCCGTGGCCCCGTGGATTTTTCTCCAGGTCCTCCGGGGTTTCCCCTCCACGTTTAGAATCATCACGCGTTTAGAATATTTGGCTGATGTAAATTTCACACGTAATAAGCCACTTCGTTGAGCTATCATTTGTGGCCAGGTTGCTTCTGAAACAGAGCGATATAGCTCCAGTGTGGGTCTCATCTGGTAAACAAAAATAGTTTTCGGTAGATGGTCACTTGTCCCAGGTCACAATCGAGAGCTGGCACGGTTGAGGTCCTGGGGATTAGGCAATTCTATAAATTGCGTAGGGCATGATGTGTCCAATTTCAAATTTTCTTCAGGATTTACGCAAGGGGATAGTGTACAATTACGTGAGCTTTTATAGGCGGTCGAGACCACCGTTAATTTCCGTCATCACGTACACATGTGCACTCTCACAAACATGCGCAGAGCGATACAAAGACGCGCACTGTCACAAGTTAAAATGCAAAGAGGATTCGAAAGTGCTGCCCCCTACTATGTATACCAGAGGCCACTTGACGGGATCTTCAGAGGAAGCTCTGTGGGCTGTTCTCTAACACACAGGGTTGCGCTGTTCTGTGAGAGATTCCAATGGATTCTCCGTCTCGTGGCACTTGATGCCTATAACACAGGATAACGTTGTCGATAATCAGGATAACATTTGGCGTGAAATCGCCAAGGCAATATTTAAATAATTCAAAGGTGTGGAAGGTTAATAATAATTCATAGGTGTGATGTGGTTTAAGAGCATACTGGAGATGCTAGGAATATCATGGCAGGGCAAGTGGGCATATAATGGTTATATTTTTTTGCCTTATGTTTGCAATCCATTTGTTTTTGGTCTGTTTCATTTGTACCACCTGTTTTTATCCTATAAACTCAAGGTCCACAAATTGCATTTAATGTCTAGCATTTGTGGAAGTAATTTTTTTTTCATAATAGAGGTTTTTGGGTTAGATCGCTTAAATATATAAATGTGTCGTAAAATGTTTTGCAGTTTTACTCAGTGTATACCGAGTTTAAGAATATTTTTTTTAATGGAGCATTAGGACATCTTTACTTGCCGACAGGATAAGTTAAGCAACTTTGAAGGTCACAACTGAGCGTTGCAGGAAAGCATTGTAGACATAATCAAAAAGAGGAGATTGAGATGGGTAAGGCAAGTATGCAAGATGCAGGAGCTCAGGTTACTGAGACAGGCATTGCGATACCAACCACAGGTTGGGTACAGTATTTTAAGCTACATTTTGTGTCTGTCCTGACAGCCGCAGCCTAAGCTGGTGATTCCGAATATCGCGAGGACTTCAAAGAATCCTCTTGTTTCCCAGAATCCCTCAACAGTTTTCAAGGAGCCTTCCTCGGTCACCAAGAAGGCACCAGTGTCTGTCAAAAAGACTGCAGTGCGTATCCAGAGAACGCCACGTGTCACCCAGAAGACACCGCAGCCTAACCACAAGCCTTTATCTGTCATCCATACAATTCTGACATCTGATCAAAATACTGATCCAGTCGAACAAGGGATTCCTCCAGTGGCTGAGCGGCAGACTCCACTAACTGTTCATAAAGCAGCTCCAGCTGACCAGAATGCTCCTTTGGTTGACAAAAAAACTACACCCATTACACAGAAGAGGCTGCCGCATGCTCAGAACGCTTCTATGAATTACCGGACGAATCTTCCAGTTGACCCAAAGACTCCGCAGTTCCACTGGAAGAAGCTGCCCTCTTCCCGGGTGCTGACTGCAACGTCTTCTGTCATAGCGTCGTGCTCGCTCACACCGCTCTTCCACCGGCTGAAACTGCAGGTGAGCGTGTGGCGTGCAGCACGGTGAAGTTGCTCTGCCAAAGTCTCCCGCGTCGTTCCACGTTCCAGGCCATGACCCGCTCGTTATTCTCGCCGCTCTTAATCTCGCTGTATCAGTTGCATTTTCTCGGTAAACCTGGCCGCACAAAGATCATCACCTTCTTTTTCCTATCTCCTATGGCTAAACTATGGAACTCTTTACCCACATCTGTCTGTCTTTGCACCTCATTGCAATTTTTAATACACGACAGCTCCGTTTGTCGCCAAGTGATGGCAACGTACCTCCGATTAGCGTGGTCGACTACGTATGGTGGGAAACAACTTTAACATACATACATCATCGCAACACTGCCTGAGAGCATGGTGTGGCCAGCACCTCGCCCCCGACCACATTTTTGCCCCATTGCTGATGGTAACACATCGCACCAGACATGAGTTAATGCTGAATTGACCTAGGGGAGGTCCAGGACCAGTTCAGATATATATGCCACTGTTGTTAGACATGACCAGGAATTGTTCTCATGTTGCCAGAATCTTTGTGCATTGTGTCAACTATTGTCCCACGACACACAAACAGATAATCATATATGGAATTTTAGGATATAGAGCTAATTGAGGTATATATATATATATATTATGGTGTGTGATATGCTCTGGTGTGTCGACGCCAGGATGAAAAACACGAGCAGTCAAGTACACGACCTATGGGGGTGCCGATTGCTCAAGACAAGTGTGTGGAGTTTGAGCAACTCCCCACAGAGACTCTGGACAAACAGGTGACCAAGCAGCACTCGCTGTAATGAGCTGTACAGAGTGGCGCTATGTGTGCAGGATATATACTAGACGTGTAATCATCCCCCCCGTTTCCTCCTGCGTATGCAATTTAGGGGAAATTTCCATTCAAAAATGTCTTCCGTTTGGTCTTATTTTAATGTTTAGTTCAGGATGGTCGTCATTTTGTAACATTTTCTGTCTCGTTCATTTTCACTTTATCAAAATGGAAGAACTATTGTATACAATTTGGTGTGATTTTTAAGACAATTTTTAACATTTTCGTAGCTCCAATATGCCAAATTATGAGGGGGGCGGTAAATCACATGACTTGTGTTTTTGCACATTCAGTGGTGACTGGGCTTAGGTTTTCAATGTCTCATGGGGCCCGCCTCGTGTGTTCGTGTGATATTCCCCAGGCCGACCTGGTTACTCAACAGGCCCCACTTGCAGAGGTGAGATCTGTAGCATGTGTCACATGTTGTATGAAACTGCTCGGTGTGTGTCCTTGAAAAGAGCAGGTTTATTCGGGGGTGGAGATTCATGGTTCTTCTTTCGTATAGCAAGGATGGAAAAGCGACAGTTTTGGAACCACGTTGTACTGTAGTCGAACCAATCCGAGGAGGCGGTAGACGATGTATGGATATTACACAGATAACGCAATCATAGGCGATGGGTTTGATGGTGTGGACTGTATGCCGGTATATCCATATTTTTTAACAAAACCCTGTTATTTACATGAAGTTCAAATTTTGCTAATTCAAAGCACATAATAATCGTTATACTATGCACATATAGAACTACAAAGGAATTGAAATAAAAAAAAAATCGCAGAAACCACCATAAATCACAAGCCGTTTGTGGAAAGTAAATCAAACGCTCCGGTAATTATTGAAAACAATGCCGTGATCTGCAGGGACAACACGGTGTTGTCCCCCAATGTTATTTCGGGTTGCACGTAGCACATTATGTGGCTGTGTTGCCTATACTGTAACATGTTTAGTGTGGATATAACATTACGTATGTGTGTTTTCTGTGCATGCAATCACAACTTGGCAGTCTGAGCAAAACATCCAAGAACAACACAGGCCGGCAACAAAACGAGACATGGGCGCACAGACTGATGAAGAAGATGTGAAATTGCCAGAGGAACTCGTCGAAGACGCTACGACTAAACAGGTGACGGCACAGCAGTGCCCTGGAACCAGTCCACACAGTGCGACAATCAAATTAATTTGAATAATGTAGAGCCCTTTCTCAGTCCGCTGCTGGATGAAGGTCACCCGCTCGCCACGTTGGTTGTGATGGTGGTGCGGTTTGGCACCCTTCGCCAGGACTAATTGAGATGTATCTTTCGCTCGCCTCTCATGCCAACCGTGGTCGGGAAGTGAGCTGAGGCTGCCGGGTTTCTCACAGTGCACTAATCGCTGCACCCACCACTCCACCCCGACTATTTATTGATGCTAAAAGAAGGATCTTTGTATATAATATTTGGCATTGGCGTGAGTGTGCGGTATTAAGTGTGCTTTCCATGTTGCATGTTATGCTTTGCATTGCATCATGTCTATGTTTCTTTACGTGCAAGTTTGGCAAGATACGATGTATGCACACATTGAGATGGCGGGAAAAAGAACTGAGATGAGGGTGTGCCACCGCGAACTTTACCATTCTGCGTACTGTACCATTCCACGTACTGTTTCATACCACTCGGCCACACAGTTCAAGAAAGTAGTTGATCGTCGACCGCTCAGAAATCGCGTTGTAACGGTGAGCACATTCCGAGTTGCGTGTAAAGTGTTCCCTAATGGCAGAACCGCGTGATAGTGAAAACGCGTGGTGTGAAGACGCGTCAAGAGAAGACTTTGCCGTCGTGTGGCGCTATAAGTACTGCCTGGTGCGGTATGCAGTTAGGCTGCAAAGTATTATGGGAACTCTTCTACTGCTGATCTTGGGAGCTTCTATAAGTTTGACAGCTGGAACCTTTGGCATTTAAACTGAATCTTCAGAATCCTCTACCCGATCTGGTGCGACTCGGGCTACTCGCAGAGACCCCAGCTGAGGCACTGTAGGAGAGTCTTCAACGAGCATCAGATAGACAGAGCTGAAAATCATTATTATAACTTAGTGTGATGTATTTGCTGTGTGACGTAATTTGACGTACTTCCCTTAATGTAATATACGGGTTTGTGTGTCTGTCAGGCAGAGCAGCATTTCCTGGAGTCAGGCGAGCAGTTGACACAAGAAAACATGGAGACTTGGGCAGATGGAGAGGGGCCTATACGTTTAGGGCAGATCACCAAAGAGACCATGGATACACAGGTGAGCAAGAGCCTTGTACTATGACCAAATCACGTGCAATGTGCCCGATCTCATCGCATCTTGGAAGCTGAACGGGGATGAGCATGAATAATGCTTGGATGGGCGACCACTGCATGCCAGGTGGTCAGTTGGCTGAGGGGCTAAGCAGCTTGATGGGCAGTACAGGACAGTGCAACAAATTCCACTGTTTTCCTGCACATGCGATGCTCTAACATCTGTGCATGTAACCGCCTTTCGCAAACCCACGTTGACGAGAGTGGTGACGTGGCCAAATAACCCCCATGACTCGTACGACACGTGGAGGCCATCATCCCAACAATGGATTAACCAAGGCCCTCCCGTGTCCACGTACGCAGTACTGCCTGAAAGCAGTGTGCATGTTGGTGTGATGCGCAGTGCTGTGTGTGTAGTGTTTTGCCCGGGGTACCCAGTTTTTAGGCATGGAACGAATAATTAATTGTGACGACTTGTCATGTTTCTGGGAATCGTAATTTCGTTGCAAAATAATTAGGTTGAGTTTTGCAGTGCATGTAGAATGTGTAGTGGCTGCAGAGTTCACATCTATGCAATGATTGCATAAATAGTTTTTCGGTTTAAATGAATCGATTCTTACGTTTCGCTATTTGACGCAGTGGTAATGTCACGCTAACGCAGGAGGGCATGGCATCTGCTGCCGTTGTGGTTTTCATGTTTGTAATGTGCTCTGTTGTGTGTGCTGCTCCCAGTCAGAGCAGCAGACACGGCGGCCGCAAGGCGAATCGGCAGCGATGGACACGGAGGCACAGATGGACGTCGAGGAGCAGCAACAGTTGTGGCAGTACATTGAAGAGGCCGTGGTTCAACAGGTTGGCCCTTTCAACAAAATCTCAGTCGGTGTGTGTGTGTACACATATATGTGGAGAGCGGCGGGGCAGCGGTTAGCACGCTGCGCTATGAACCCGGCGACTCGAGTGGGATTCCCGCTCCTGGCCAACACCAGTGACGATTAGCGGAATCGGTCCTGGCCCCCCACCCTCCTACATCGTCTCAGCCTCAAATGAGTACCTGGTGCGATGTGTAAACATCGCCACTGGGGAGACAAAGACGTGGTGCAGGCCATGCACCCCCTCGTGTGCCGTGCCGGCCTTCGTAGGTGCTCGCTAACAGCACTTGCCCCAAAAGTCTGTTAAGGCTACACGGGGGTCTTTGTACGTATATATGACGACGCTTGCAACAACAAGCAGAGCGCTGGGCAGCTAAAACCCTGTCCAGTCGGCACAATGGCGTGGGTAAAATCTGCAAGTCATCTCCATCAACCCATAGCATCCGAGTTTGTCCTGTGACCAGCCGGCGACCCTTCTCGACTTCCCTTGGCTTCAACGTGCACCTAGCCTGCCACGGTGGTGACGTCAGAGCCATTCGCTAGTGCTCTGCGGCTGTTGTCATGCATGACGTGCGTCAGCGCGTCGGCCACTTCTCTCGCTGCGAGGGCCTCTCACGGTGACAAACTCGGCTGATGTGAATGTGTTGGATGCCCGCACGTACGCACGTACGTTGGAACTTCTTTCGCGCCGTACGTAGCTAACCGTGTCGACGATGGGGTGCAGAGTGCCTCCAACGCGGAACTCGGTTACCGGGGGTTGTACGAGCGCGTGGCGGCGAGAGCCATCGAGCTGGAGGGGATCGAAGAGGAGCACGTGGAGTTGTGCGAGCTTGTCGGAGAGGCGATCGCCAAGCAGGTGACTGCCGAGGCACAAGACCGGCGGCACAGTCCCCGCAACGCGCCGACAGCGTGCACGCACAACCACCACAACAAGCGTGCGGCCACGCGGCGCGACGAAACTGTCGGGACATCCGCCAGTGCCATCGGAACATTGCCAGCGCCGCTGACGCGTTGCTAGCGTTGTTAGCACTTTACCAGCCCTGTCAATGCACCACCACCAACAGAATACACCCTCCGCAGCGAGCACAGTACACATAGTAAGTGCAGCGCGGTTACCACGCACTACCATCTCCCTTCTCTTTGCCGGTACAATCCCCCTACTACCACCAGCATGGAACACATCCACAAGGGTTGTATTTTCTGGGTCTCCTAGACCATTTTCATTTCACCTCCCTTATTAATTCAAGCAAGTTGGGTCATCTCTTAGACTGTTGGAAGCTACATTGACCACTGCCTCTGCGAATGTGTCCCAGAACACCAGGGCGGAGGACAGCGATCGGGTGGGAGTCCTCGCGCATCGCGTCATCCAGGACCTGATGAGGCAGGTGGAAGAGAAGAACCTGCAGGTGCGCCTCGTAGATTCCTTCTTCAGCTCTTTCTTTTAACTGATCTCTTTTTTACCATACAAAGCCTCCTCGATGCGAAATCCGTGCAATCTTTTGGCTCGATGTAATTGTTTAGGTCGGAGCCGGTGGCGCTGTGGCTAGCGCACTGACCTTCGAATCTGGCGGGCCTGGGTTTGATCCCCAGCCACGGCTAACGTCTGTGGCAAGAGTGGTATCTGAACCGGTTCTGGTGCACCTCCTTTTACCAACCTCTATGGATTGACGAAGACCCGTAGGAGGAGGTTAAATCGCTTGGGGATGGTGAACGATTGCTTGGTAGAATGTGATGCCGTTCACCGCAGATATGCGGCTGTGGTGTCAAGACGGTGGCGGAATCGTAGGTAACGAGTGGGGGCGGGGGGTGGCAGGCTACGGCACGGGTACCGTGCGGGATACATTTTGAACGCGCGTCGCGGCGACAAAAACCTTAACCCAACCCCTACGCCTCCCCTCCCGTTTCCTTGCCCCGGCCGAACGGCTCAGCTGGAGGAGTCGACGCAGATGCTGGACAACGCTCGCGTGATGATGAGCACGCTCTGCAACCAGCTACGGGCCAACGCCGAGCGTCTCCGCCAGGAGCTGCGCAACGTACGGCGTCGGCACGGCGGCGTGGGGAGACGGCGACTCTCGCGCTGTCCAGCCTTGAGCCCTCCCACCCCTTGCGGCCCGAGCATGGCCACTCGGCCTAACAGGGCAGGGGAGGGGCGTGTGGGGTTGGTGTGCAAAACCACACGGGCTGGAATTTAATGCAACTGCCCGACACGACCGGCAAGGCACAGCTCGTACAGCGGGTCACGACAGAGGCGACACGCACACGGTGGCTGGGTGTCGAGACGATTTAAAAGCTAAACTACTTTAGTTTTTTCCAGGTCGGGCTCACTGAGCTGTGTAGCTCTTTGTCAGAAGCGATCTAGGCACAAGTGATAGCTCAATGAAATGGCTTATTGCATGGAAATTTATCACGGACAAATACTCTCAATGCATGTTTCTAGATATGACTTTTTGACGTTGATTTTAAATGTGGAGGGAAAAACCGGGGGTCCCGGAGAAAAATCCATATAACCACGGGTAGAAGATGCTAACTCTAAATATCCAGGCGCGTCAGGGTTGGGATTGAGCCCACGACCTGTATACCAGGCGAGGCAGTTAACATCTTGGCACCGTGGCTGTGTGGAGTGAAGAGGGCGGTGTGTCTACTCGACGTGCATGAATGTACCGTGCCACGCGTGTCACAGGGTTCTTTTGTGCGAAAGGGGAACCATAAAAAAAGTCAAATTTGAAGAAATTGAAAATCTCACTCTGGAAACTCAACATTGCAACAGCGTGCAGAGCAATGCGGCTGTTGTTGTTGCCTGTGTCTCCACACTGCCCAGGAATGATCGCGCGCCGCCAGGCTGTCCCAGTCTGGTTCTGCACTGCAGAGTAACTGCGGTGACCTTGGATTGTGCATCTCAGAATTGGCTTCTAAATTTCAGTGCTCTCACTGGTGTTGATTTTATTAACATGTTTTTGTTTCGCCGGCGCGTGACGACGCTCTTTGCAGAGCTTGCGAAATGGGTGCTGTGTCGTGGAATAGAGAGCTCTCAAAGCGACGACTTTGGGGGGGAGAAGGGGGGGTTCTTGTGTGATGTTGGAGAGACCCATGTACTCCTAGAACAGACTTGTGCTCATGTGTGGCCGTAGTTTGACTTGTCCTGCCTGCCCCTGTAACAGACGACTGAGCAGCTGAGTGAGGAGAGGGCGGAGTGGGCAACCGAGCGACTCAGGTGAGCACTGCGCAGGGGGTATAGAAGCCTCAGAGGCGGCGGAAAATGAAGCTTCAGTGGGACTGCGTTAATAGTGGCACAACGGCACAGCCTAAAGAAACTCTGCCGCCATCGTGTGTGCTCGTGCATGTGCGCTGGTGTAGCGGTTGGCGTGCTGCGCTACGAACCTGGCGACACGGGTTCGATTTATGCTCACGAGCAAAAACAGTGACGAATATCTGAACCGCTCCTGGGCCTCTCCTAGGTTGACTCGGCCTCAAATGAGTACCTGGTGCTGTGTGTAAAAATCGCCACTGGGCGTGGTGCTGGCCACCCACCCCCTCATGTCCTGTGCCGGCCTTCATAGGTGCTCGCTAGTGACACTTGCCCCTTCAGTCTGTTAAGGCGACACGGGAGATCTTTGTGTTTTTTATACAAGTGAAGAGCATTAGGTCAGTGGTTGGTGCACTGCGCTACGAACCCGGCAACCTCGGTTTGATTCACTCTCAATAGTTTGAACTTTCATGGCCAATATCTGTACGGTGCGGGGTCTCCTCTAGGTCAACTTGGCCGTTCACTGAGTTATCGGGTGCAGTGTGTGCACATCGGTACCGGCAAGACAAGGGCTGGGCATGGTGCTGGCCACGTGACTCCCCTCGTGTGACCGTGCTGTGCGTCTGGCCGTGCGTGCGTGTGCGTGCGTGTGTGTACGCGCGTGCGTGTGTGCAATCCAGGCTGGAGGACGAGTGCTCGGTGCGCTCCTCCGAGGTTGACGCCACCCGTGCCGAGTTGGCGCTGCTGCAGAAGTCGCTGTGGTCGGCGCTCGAGGAGCTGACTACAGAGAAGAACCACGTTCATCGGCTGACTGATGAACGGCGCGAGTTGACATCCCGCGTGGAGAACATACAGGTGAGGGTGCGGCACAGTGTCTCCTCCCTTCCCAGTGTCTCCCCTTCACCCCCCATTGTCTCCTCCCTTCCCAGTGTCTCCCCTTGCAACTTTAATTTCCCCAAAAAATGAGGTTTCCTTTTAAATGGACTAGCTTCCCAGCTTGTTTTTCAGAGTTAACAGAGCACCATCTATTAACTTGGTCAATATATATACACACACAAACATTGCCAATGTACATAACACTGGACCACACATGATTTCTAAATGTTAATAATGGTGGCGGTTGTGTGTTTGTCTGCATGTGGCCTCGCAGTTCCTCGAGATTGAGAATAAGTTCTACATGGATGAACGCGTGGCGTGGGAAGAGCGGCTGAGTGCCACCTGGTAAGTTGAGAGCGGCTCGATTCCACGTTTTAAAAAATCTAACCACGAATTACTTCACACTCGGAACACTTGGGGGGGAACCCCACTGAAAGACTTTTGGCACTCGATGAGGCTTTTCTGGGCAAACAAATGGAATGACTACATCTTCTTTCGTACGGCTTATGTAGATGCAGTGCAACAAATAACAATTTCACTCGGGTGGTCAAGCCAGCGGAGTGTATCATCGCTGTGATGTCTCCTCCGTATCTGTGGATCGGGCATTGTGTCATATGTTGTATGTATGTTGAACTTCTTTCGCACCGTACGTAGCCAACCGTGCTAATCTGTTCTGGATGACCACAGTCGCACACTGAAGTTTTACATTTACCATTAGTGCATTAGGTATCTGCATCTGCCATGGCTCGCTGGTGATCCCTAGTGGGGGTGAGATGGGTGCACTGTTGTACGGTGGCGAGAGGCTATCCAGCGCCGATGGTTTGGACGAAGGTCGGAGCCAAAAGCCTCGTGCAGCCGTAAAGCGGCATTCTTTCACTGTCCGCCCGTGGGCCGGATGTGACTTGCGATGGCTCTGAGAGCGGCCAACTGAGAGATGCGGCCCGCCGACACGCGAGGGGATGCAGATGAGTGAGAGGAGAGAGATCAAAGCTGTAGAAGAGAGATGCAGATTCGTAAGATGGGAGAGAGAGGTAAGAGGATGTGTGTGTGTGTGTATGAGCGGTAGTATAGTGATTAGCGCACTGCGCTGCGAACTTGGCTACCCGAGTTCGATTCCCGCTCCCGGCCAACACCGGTGACGATTATTTGAATCGGTCTTGGGCCTCCCCTAGGTCGACTCGGCCTCAAATGTGTACCTGGTGCGGTGTGTAAACATCGCCACTGGGGAGACAAAAAAGCCGGACGTGGTGCTGGCCACCCACCCTCTCGTGTGCCATGCCGGCCTTCATAGGTGCTACTCACTACGAATGAACAGCACTTGCTCCAACAGTCTGTCACAGACTTAACGGTGGCGGTGGGGGGCGGTGTCTTTGTGCCCACAGCCGCGAGCTGAAGGCGTTGCGGACGTCAGAGGGTGCCGCACGTGACGAGACGCGGGACTTGCGCAGCGAGCTTGCGCAGGCAGAGCGCGAGGTGACGGCGCTGCGCAAGGAGCTCCATGCCAAGGAGCAGGTGGAGATCTCGATCCACGCTCTTACCCCCCCCCTCCACTCCTCACCCCCACCGACCTGCACCCCTCGGTTTAACGCGTAGTTCTAGGCTCTCGCGACCGATGTTATCCATAGTAAAGGGTTTTTTTGATGGTTGAGGTCGCGTAAATATAAATGTGTCGTTAAACCCGCCACCACCCGGCATAGCCAATTAGTACGGTTTGTCACGTAAACAAAACGTGAGCATTTGTTAATATTTCAGCACACCGGTGTGTCGAACAGGGAAGCCACAACATATTTACAATTCGAGTACAACGTTTTGCTGCTGATTGCAACCAGCCTCATCAGGTGATAGCCAGGATTGTGAAGAAGTCCCCTGTTTAGCTCTTAAATCGAGGGGTAACGGTGATGTCATCAGTGTGGGCCTGTCAGGTGTGAAGACCAGAGAAAGGTTAATGTCGTCCTATCAGTTACAATGGATCATGTCCTCCCCTCCTTCCCTGCTCTCTCCGGACTGAGCAAAATCGCACATCATCTCAGTATCATCATGAAACCGCATGTACTTATACGCAAGAATGGCAGCAGCAGAAGCAGGCCATGCACGCAGACCGCAGTGCAACAAAGCTGACATCATGAATATGATGAACCGTTGTGTTTCGAGGTGAGATTTCACCTGCGGGAGGTTCTTCGAGCAGGATCGGCAAAGCCGGTGCTTGTCCTGCCGGCACGTTAGCGTCCACCCAGATCTGTCGAGTAACAACCGGACGAATGAATGAAAAATCTACCGTTGCAACGTGCGGAGACTTTTGATTTGCGAGCGCGTGGCTGTCGTGGCGATGCCTGTGTTTTTATTTATCTCATTGCACGGTTGCGCAGGAGCTCCAAGGCATCCAGGAAGCGTGGACGGCGTCGGGAGTACGGGCGGAGCAGGAGACGGCCTATCTGCAGGAGTGCTATGAGCTCAAGCTCCAGCTGCAAGTGAGCCTGTGATTAGTGCACACCTGTCGACCCCTGATCAGTGCCCTACCTTATTACAGACCAATTCAGAGCTTATTGGTCACCCCGTCGCCTTATAAAGCTCAACGTTCATCCTACAAAGTCCCATCACAAGGGAGAAACACAAATACACGTTTTTTTTGCCCGTATTGAAATGGTTATGTGCCGTATGGAGCTGAGAACTCCGTTGCCCTGTACAAGAATACGGGTGTACCTGGTTCAGGAGATGAAGGTGGCCGTGGGTGGTGTTGGTCACCCACCACCACCCCGTGTCCGGTGCTCGATAACAGCACTTGCCTCAACAGTCTATTAAAGGCTTCATGGAGACCTTTGTCTCTGTATGTGGAACACCGAGTGGGAAGCAGTAGTGGAGTAATCGGCACACAATGCTTCGAACCGAGCAACGTGAGTTCAGATCCCAAACGCGGTCAGTGTCGGTGGCGTATATCTGAATTGGTCCTGTGCCCTCCCTGAGCCTGACTCAGCATTCTGTGGTTCTGGTCACACCACTCCCCTGGTGGTTCTGGCCACACCGCCCTTCTCAAGCGCCGTTCCAGCCCTGTCCGTACAGATCGGGGGTCGGAAACCAAAATAACAAGAAGGGGCATTTTTTTTCTTCGAATTCGGTACAAAACTCAACATTTCAAGAGCTGCAGTGTGCGTGAATACACGCACACACACACGCATTACATCACGAAGGAGTCCGTACAAGAGCCGCACACGGCTCCAGTGCCACATTGTTGCCGAACCCCGGTCTAGATGTTCGCCTTACGGCATTTTGCCGCCGCCCCCCCCCACCCCGCGATCCTTTAAAGGCTGAACACGGTGGCCGGTGGAATCTCCTTGTCTTTGATGCGAAACGCAGAAGTGCGAAGAGAGACTGACGGACGCGTGCCGGGATCGACACTTGGCGCAAGTCGACGTCGAGATGCTGAAAGAGGAGCTGCTCCAGCTGGCCTCCGCGCAGGTCCGAGTACGCGGCGGTGCCGTCGGGCTGCGCTGCAGGGGGGTACGCGGGAATCTCAAGGGCCCCCCCCCCACCGTGACCTCACGCGGCCCGCGGACACGCGGCGGCGGAGAGGGAGGCCTACCCGCTTCGTCCAGACCGACCCCCGCAAATAGCATTTATCCATCGCTGCAAGCGACTCAAATCGGAATCTTTATTTAGACTGGAGGAAATCTGATGAGCTGTGAAGCTCTTTTTCACAGATGTCCAGTGAGGGCCTTCCCCATCCCCGTTCAGGTGGCGGGGGTTGTTTGGCCATACCTCGCCGGGCTGGTCCGTGTGGGTTGGTGAAGTTTGGGGGAGCGTAGACATTGGATTATATAGTACAGTACAGCAGTGGGTTTTGCTGCACTGCCCTCTGCTATAACGACGCAGCAGCAGCTGTTTTATCCACAGCGGTCACCCCCACCCAGCCTCGCTTAGTTTCCAATATCTGAGGAGTTGAGGGGCGTCCCGGGCGGTTGGTGTTTAGGCGCCGTCTGTCATCGCGACGGCGAGCGACATCGTGGGCACGATTCCTCTCGCCACGCTGGTGTGTAGCTCTTCAGGAGGGCGGGAGGGGACGAGATGGTTCCCAGCTCTACTTAGTCACGAGGTGCGTGTGGGAGGGAAGCCCCGAGCCCTAGGATCTCAACACTGCTGGCTGAGTGTCTCCACCACAACCATTGTAATCGCTCTGCACGAGCAGAGAAACCCGGAGGGGGGAGAGAGGGAGAGAGGCGCAGGGACCGAGGGAGGCAGAGCCTTTGTCTCCATTGTGGGCCTCGAGTCTTCATTGGTACACGGTCAGCTCCGCCTACCCACACGTACACAGACAAAGATGCCCCAGTATAGCCTTAAAAGACTGTTGGGGCAAGTGCTGTTAGCGAGCACTTATGAAGGCCCGATTGGCACACGAGGGGTGGGTGACCAGCACCGTGCCTGGCCAGCTTTGTCTCCCTAGCGGCGATGTTTTTACACATCCCACCAGGGACTCAATTGAGGCTGAGTCGACCTAGGGGAGGCCCAGGACCGGTTCAGATAAACGTTACTGTCAGCAAGAATCGAACTCGGCTCGTCGTGTTCGTAGCGCAGTGCGCCAACCGCTACACTACGCGCGTGTACACACGCGTGTACTCACATGTATGCGTGTGGACGCACACAGCAGGAGCCGAAGTCGGACAAAACGGAAGACTGGGTCACTGAGAAGATCCAACTGAAGCAAGAGGTGTGTGTGTGTGTATTCGCAAAACGACTTGTACAGCATTTCTTTTAAAAGTATACTCAAGTGTATTGTGTGTAACGTGCACTCCCGTGTGCGTTACTGGGTGGAGTGGTGGCGCAGTGGCTAGCTCATTGCATTACAAACCCGGTGACTCGTGAAATTCCTGGCGACTGCTAACAATCAGTGGTGCTTGATACATGATAGTCCTGGGCCTCCTTTAGGTCGACTCGGCCTTAATTGGGTACCTGGTGTGGTGTGTAAACAGCACCGGGGAGATAAAGGTGGCCAGGCAACTCGCCTCTTGCATTGTGCCAGTCTTCATAGGTGCTCGCTCACAGTACTTGTGCGAGCTCTGACAGTCCGTGCACGGCTATGTACGGGGCAGTTTTTGTCTTTTGTATTTTATGGGTGCATGTGGTGTGGCACCCCTGACTCTCAGGAGAGGGTTACAATGTGGCCGTATCCACGCCACGTTGCGTCCCTTTCGCCTGCCCATAGTGGGGCACGTTAAGGGCAGGTTTGGCTCCGGAGATGACACAAGCGCTCGTTGTGTCCGCGGTACCCTCCTCCACCCCCACCACCCCCGTCGTGTGCTGCAGCTGAGCCGCATGACGCAGATGAAGCTTGAGAAAGAAGTGGAACTCGGAGAATGCAACAGACGTTACAAGAGACACGTGAGTGGGGTGGGGGGCGCATACAAGGCTGGTGTGTGGGGTAGCGCTGCGGCTGGCGCACTGCGCTACCAGCCCAGCGACCCGAGTTGGACTCCCGCTCACGGGCCAACACGAGTGACAAATATGTGGGCCTCCTCAAGATTGGCTCGGCCTAAAATGAGTAGCCGGTGTCGTGTGTAAACATCCGTCACTGGGGAGACAAAGGCATTCGGGTGTGGTGCTGGCTACCCGCTCACTCGGGTACTGTGCCGGCCTTCTTAGGTGCTCGCTAACAGAACTTACCCCAAACAGTCTGTTAAGGCTATATATTTATATGGGATCTTTAGTCTTTGTATGGCTATCGGACATTGTCCTGTGAAGCCACACTCGGCTCTGTCATAATCCAAACCTCGGAGACGTCAATAGCGATGAACACTGCCTCGCAGGTTCGGCACAAGAATGACAACATTAAATTTCGATTTAAAGTTTTCGTGACTGCAGGGATTCATCTTCTTGGTTCTTTCGGTAAAGTCACGTAGAAGGAAAATAATAAAATAATAAAAATTAAACATAATAGAATAATTCTCACGACGTTTCGGCCACAACGCAGGCAGCCGTCTTCAGGTGGAGAACAGGTCTGTCAGACTCTGCCTTCTCTACAAGACCTGTTCTCCACCTGAAGACGGCTGCTTGCGTTGTGGCCGAAACGTCGTGAGAATTATTTTATTATGTTTTATTATTTTCCTTCTACGTGACTTTACCGAAAGAACCAAGAAAACATATTAAATGTATATTGTGTCGGACAGATGCTTTTTTAAAATGTTAAAATAAAACCTGAAAATTAGGATAGAAGGAGAAGAGAGAGGGGGAGTTAGGGCAGTTGGAGTGGAGAGGGTGAGCGAAACACCGCAACACAGCCCACGACGTATCCACCCAGCTCCTACGCCTGGCATCAGAAACCTCGCACAGAGCAAGCAAAACGACAGATCACATCGCTCCTCAATCCAAACCTCCGATCAGCATGGTTGGCTACGTACGATGCGAAAGAAGTTGTACATACGCACACAATCCCCCTCCAAGTGCCAGCAAGCACAAGCGCACAACCTCGTGGTCGGACGGCGCTTTCTCAGTTGCAGCGCCGCATCTTTGGAGCAACCTCCCCGGGGCAATCGGCTCCGTCGCTGTACTCAAGTCACTGCTCAAACACACATCCCTGGACGCTTGCATACAACAACCGACTCGCAGCCGCAACTTGCTTTTTAATTATTATTATTTTAACGGTATAGAATTGTTTATTTTATGTTTGTGTTTAATCAGAATCATATTACATGTATACTTAAATCTATACCTGAGGGTTCCGAGGAGCTATAAAGCCCTTTCTCACAGATGTCCAGCAATGATGTGATGGTGCTTTGGGGTGGCTGATTTGTGCCACCAAAAATACATTGACTTGAGTGGACGGTCCATCGCCTCTCCCTCCGGGTTGATAACCACGAGGTTACAACCTTGTGGGGTAAGCCAACAGTGGTGGTCCTACGGATGGACTCGCCTCCGCCATGAGGGTGTGGAGTTTCCACCTCTGTTTTCGGGGGGGGGGGAGGGGCTTTGAATGGTGATTCTCTCCCGACTTTCACTTGTCGTGGCGTGGGGCGCGATCCGTCCGTCCCTGTGCAGCGCTACGTGCTGGAGGAGAACGAGAAGTTGGCCAACATCGAGGTGGGGGAGCTGCAGTCCTTGATCGGCAGGGCGATGCAGGTGAGGTCCTGCCGTACCCACGGTGTGCGCGGTGATCGCAAAGGGGGAAAACGTAACCCCCCCCCCCCCGCCCACCAAGGATAGCAGGGTGGTGATAATTTAGTTTATCGCGTAATATACAAGAATCTTAACGGCTTAAACCTGCTCCCGATGACGTACGTGTACATCGTTTGAACGGAACCGGAAGAAAAACATAAACTAGCGATCGGTAGCGAGGCTCCCACGAGGCCGCGCGGGAGGGCGTGGCACAGGTTGGCGTCAGCTGTCAGAGTGCGGTGGTGTCGCTACGGTTCTCTGCGGTGAGTACAAGGTCTTTAAGAACAACGGCGCGACGCCGATCTAAATAAAATTAGCGCTGAACCGGTCGCGCGTTCCGAGATTCCGTGGTGAGCGGGATCCATCCCGCAACTTTGCAACCATCTCGGGACGGGAAAGGGTTAAGTCATTTACCCCAGCGTTCTGATTGGCTGGGAGGCCACGTTCCGGCTAGCGCCTGGGGGGGGCGGGCGTGGGGAGATGCACTGGGGGGGGGGGGGGTCTAGGGAAGTGTGTGTGGTTGGGGGGGGGGTCGCTCTCCCTGTGGCGTCCGCGTGCTGCATGTGGCCCTCGTGTTGTGTGCGTGAGGATGCTAGCCGTGGGGGGGGGGGGGGATCGTCATTACCACCAAGGCAATGTCTGACCAAGCGGCAGCTGTGGGTTGGAGCGCTCGTGGTGCGTCCACTCGGCCCTGAACGAGCACCTGGCGCGGCGTGCAGCAAACATCGGCACCTTGGAGATGTAGGCGGGGCCGCCGTGCTTCCGCCCAGACCACCCCACGCGCACCAGCGGTGCCCCGCGCCGTGGGTTCGCGCTACCAGCGCTTGTCACCCCCCAGTGGTCTCAGGGGCCTTGCAGATGTTTTTCTTCTTCTCTTTTTGTGTCCGTATGTGGGTGCCAACGCCCCGTGTGTGAACGCACGTGTTGGCCGCAGAAACTGCAGTCGGCTTCTGCTCATGCCCTGGGGTGCAAGGCCGTCGTGGACACCATGGACCTGCTGAGCACTGCGCTGATAGAAAAAAACGAGGATGGATGTGGCGACTCCTGAACACGTGTGTGGCGAGCGGCAGCGTCGCGGTTGGCGCACTGCGCCTCAACCGGCGACCCGAGGTTCGATTGCCATTTCACGGCTTACATTGGTGACGAATATCTTAAACCGTCCTGGGCCTCCCCGAGCTCGACTCGGACTTAAATATAAGTACTTGGTGCGGTGTGTGTGTGTTTCCATCGGCATCGGGGAGACAAAGGCAGCCGAGCGTAGTGCTGCCCTGCCGACCTTCGCAGGAGCTCGCTGAACAGAACTTGCTCCAAACGGCTGTTTTAAACGCTGAACGGTCATATTCGTGTTCCCTTGAAAGTGTAGAAAACAAACCAAGGTAATCGTGCAGCCTTGCAGTTACTAGCTCCTAGCACTGCTTGTGGAAGGCCCTTAATTGCAGAGCGCTCCAGGAAGTCCGCTCTTTAGAGAGGCTATTTTGGCCACATGGCAGCAGATCGATAAAGGGCCCATAAGACGTGGCTCACGGTGGCTGTGTCGATACCGTCAAAATCAAAAACTGGAATTTAGTTTTTCTCCTCCGTTTTAAATGACATCGCCAGAGGCAATTTACATGCAGAGTGCCTTTCCAAGACCTCGCAGCGTCAATAGCGCTCCAGAAAAAAACCCATCACGTCAAATGTTTGAGAGTTAAAAAGTAATAAATTAAAATGCCATTTTATTTGGGGATTTTCAGGAGTGGGGGGTCCTCCTCGTATTTGGGTGTTTGGTCAATGGATCTAAATTAGTCCGCGGACGAGGGCAGTAGAGTTTTTTGTCCTTCCTCCGCACCTCCCATTAGCATGGTTGGCTACTTACGATACGAAATAAATTCAGCATACACGCAAGTTTCGATTTCTGTCTGAGCTGCGGGGTTTGCCAACTCCTTAAGACGGCAAGTCCTCATTTAAAACAGCAGATGCGTTTCTGAAAAGTGCCGCGTTCAGAGAACTATTTCCCCACATAATATAACGATAAAGTTTGGCGGGATACGACGTACTACTACTACTACGCGCATCGCACAACGAGATGGCGGGACAAATACGTTGAGGGTGTACGCCGCCGTGTTACTCTATCAGTTGCATCGCTCAGCCGCGAAGCTCAAGAAAGTAGTTCGTCATTGATCGCTCAAACCATACGATTTATAACGGCGCGAATTCCCGCGAAAAGTGTTCCCCAATGCTCTCGAGCTGTATTGTTGTGGCAACGCGGTTCACACACACGTGGTAGCATCCTTCCTCGCCGAATGTACAGGTGTGCCAGCTTGCTGATGTATATATTCATGTTTTCATCTTGCCTTTGTTCTAAAAGTGACTGGTTCATTCTATGACAGTCCATTATACATAAACCCAGTATGTACAGCTGTAGTTGTTGCAGTATTAAATTAACTATCCCTAGAGCTCTTGACTGCTGCTGGGTGTGTCCACCAGTTGGATGTACACGAGGTTAAGGGTCATGGTGTTGTCCGTTTCTAATCCACATTTGTCAATTTGTTGCGGCGACTGGCTTGGTTTTATCAACTTGTCAGGAGCGTCTTGCTTTCTTCCGCGAAGCATTTCAAACAAAAAGAATCGACTTAATCCGGATGCAGTAAAAAAATCATCCAATAAATGTGATTGCAAAACTTCTTGGATTAATGTTTTAAATCCGTTTCAAATAAACGTTGCTGAAGTGTTAAATTGTTGTTGTTTTGTCTAAATTACAGTTTTTAACGTGGCAAAAAGAAAAATTGAAATGTCACTGTGGTAAGATCTCTTGCATCACGGCCGATTGGGGCTCGTGCAGATTGCGACTGCCCATAGAGTCGAGCGCCGCTCTGTATCACCGTATTATCGGGACGATGAGATGCCTGAAAAGTAGGACGCACCCCAAACTTGTGCCCCAGTAGCAATCAAGTAACGCAAATCTGGTCGCACACACCGACCAGATAATTACAAGCCCCAAACTTTCACTTTGAATTGCAAGATAAAAGTGTCTAATCCAGAGAAGAGGTGTCGGGATGCCACGGTGGCGAGACGTAGTGACCTCGTCTGGTGTACTTATCAAGGCCCACCGACTCGTATTCACTGCACACATTGCGGCAAGTTAAATTCTTTTTTATATCTAATTCGAACCAAAACATCATTTTAGTTGTTGACCCCTGGTCTAGCTATTTGCGGGCACGTATACAAAGCAACGTATTCAGACGTTGATTTGCAAGAGCCTGGATGGCGTGATGATGTTGATGTCGGTTGGTAACATCGGTAGGGCATTTGGCATCACTGGTGGTCAAGGCAGTGCGTGTTATTTTTTTGTTTTCCAGAAACGTTCTTTTTATTGGTTTCCGCAATGCACGGTGAACATGGAATGCAAGCACGAGGTGTCCCGTGGGTGGTGTGTCACGTGGTTGTGCACGGGTCACCCGAATGCATCACGATCTTATCGGGGTCGACATGGTAGCAATACATCCAGATTCAAGGGGTGCATTTTTTTTTAAACCCACAAATTAAGAGGACCGTTTTTTAACTCGTATAGCCTCAATGCACAGCTCGGTCTCATTCTGAGAGAGCAGTGGTCACTTAAAAAATACAGCGACTGTGAAATGCACCAGGAGAGACCGCGCCGTTTTTCAAGCATCCGTTCAAACTCCAGGGGGGTTGTGAACAAAAAAGCGTCACGTTGTGGATTGCATTTTAGTTTGAATACCGACACGCGGACATTTAAAAACAAAATATGGAAGCACGCAGCGAACACAACTCGCTCAACCAAACACGCTCGCGTCTTTCCGTCAAGGCTTTTTTGCAGAGTGCATTTGGACAAATCCGCGAGCCGATCGCCAGCTGTTTGCAGCAAGTCCGTCCACTCGGCATGGACATCGGAGGCAGCGACGCACAACCCACACGGTCGTGTCGCAAAGCCTTGTTGCAGGCAAGGGGGGGGCTGCGACGCAATCCTCCCCCTCTACCAGCTGATCTCTGGACTTGTCCGCCCCGGTTCGTTTTACTCAACACCCGGGGGGGAGTGAGGGAGTGGGGGAGACACCGGCTGGGAATTCCGAGTCGTTGGTTGCGCAGCGCATGGAACCACCCCCGTGCCCCTGTGCTCAATTAAACCGCAATGCATCACATTACTTGGACTTTTGCTTCGCCTACAGGTGGCGACAGCAAAAGGCGTGGGGCAACGTTTGAAACGTTACCGACACGCCACCACTGTAGGCAGAGGGGCGTGAGGGCGGCTCAGACACCACAGACGAGAATGGAAGTCTTCGACATCAGCCCATCGCTTCCTCTCTCCCCGGCACCCTCCCAACCCCCCCCAGTCCTTGCACGCCGCTGCCATCTGAAATCGCTCGCTTTTGCCACGTTTTAAATTACGTTAAGTGCCTTTAATCATCAGGCGCTCGGCTCTATAAATAAGATCGCGGGGATGCGCTTGCCAACCTGTAGGTTTTCTCCGACCGTGCATAACACTCACGAATTGACCGAGTCCCTTCGACACAACAACCCAATCTGTGCCGCCGAGATTGCTGCAGAATTGCATTCACACAACCCCACTGGGTGGTCACTCCGAAGTGGGGGCTCGTCTGGGATGTCACCACTGGGGGACAGCCCAACAATCTGCGGTGTCCCAGATCTCCGCGTTCATGGGAAACATTTGGGGTGGAAAGACTTGCCGATCCTGTCGGCTCAGGTTAATAATTGTCTTGCCTGGGGGGGTGGTGTGAAGTGGTTGGGTACGCGGGACAGCGCCACAGACAAGTGGTGGTGCCATGCAGGCGATTTCAAAGCTCTGTGCGCGGGACCCCCCCCCCCCTTGTTCAACCTCCAAACATCTCACGGCCCACCACACACCACGAGTCATTTAAAAATGTTACATTTCCTTTGGCAAGGAGGTTATTATTTTTATTTCCTCACAGACCCCCTGCAGGCCGTACTCGCCGCGTGGATCACCAAGGGTTGCGCAACGGGCGCTCCGATGCATTTGTTGAATGCTCCCTTCTTCACGAAGCGCGTGCAATTGGTAGCAACGCTTGTGCCTTCAACCCCCTCCCTCCCAGCACACAGCTCCGAGCTCCAACCTTGCTGCTTTCGAGCACATTTAAGAGCAGAGATGCTCAGAGTCGTGTTGAATCGCGGCGTCGCCTGTCACGGCGCTTGCTCGATAGTGTGGCGCGTACATTGTGCGCAGAACGAGGTTGGCTTTTGTTTGGCGGTGCAAGCCGAGTGTCAAGGCGACCCTGGCGTGGTCACCGCGTGATGTTTGACCGAGTGAGTCCGAGGATTCTCCGTCTGTGCGGTGACGCCGGGATGCAACTGCGAGCTGGCAGACGCCGCGCACGCGGCTGTCCCTCGGCACAGGTGGGGCCAGAGCGGCGACAGCTGAAGCAGCAGAGACCGGTGACACATCGGGGATCCGCAAGAGTTTTTTTTTGGGTTAAATCGCATAAATGTAAGTCGTTAAACCCGCCACAGCCAATAAGGTTTGTCACGTAAACAAAATGTAACAATTGGTTACAAGTTCAGCACATCGGTGTGTTTGAAAACAGGAAACCCACAACATTTACAAACTCGAGTACGACGTTTCACCGTTAGATACAACCAGCTTCATCAGGCGATGGCCATAATTGATCGTGAAAGACGACACGTTAAACGCCGACATCACTTGGATTGTCGCTTCAAGGGATTTCTCGCATTGAGAGTCGATCTCGCCATGCCCCTGCAGGGTCTATGCCAGTGGTCGGCAATAAAAATGAGAGATTTTTACTCCCCCCCCCCCCCCCCCCCCCCCACGAATTCGGTTAAAAACGACAAATGAACCTTATGGCGGGGTCCCATAAGCCCCCGGCTCTCACATAACTGCTGCGACGTAATTTAATGTCTGTTGAAGGCGAACGATACGGCAATCTATTCATCTCGATGTGCTCGACACGATCCGATAATCAAAGTTTTGTTTCTGCACATTCGCCCTCGCTGTGCTTGGACGACACAACAGAATGGTGGGTCGCAGCGTTTATGTGCGCGGTGGGACGTAGTCGTCAAAAAATTCATTACGATTTTGACTTCCGTTTATTCGGGACCCCGGGGTGCCGCCATAAGGTTCCTATTTCAAGACCCGCAACGCGCCCCAAGTACGGTGGTCCTCTATAAAAGACGTCACTAAGCAATCTCTTAAGAGCCACACGCTGCCGACCCCGGGTTTATGCTCGACCACTTCACACCATTCACCTTCTAATTCACCATCTCACTGGAGGAAACATTTGCAGCCTCCTATTCGTCGATACCCAGAACGCCGAGATGCATTGCTTTTGTCACGTGTATGTGACGCACGCGACGTTGGGTTTTTTTTTCCTTCGAATTATTGAATTGCTGTGACCATCGAGTGTTAATCCGAGACACTGGTTGATACTTTGACGTTATTAAAATACTGAGAGATTAGCAGTGTGTTTTGGGTGCTGGAGTGGTTGTTGTTACAAGCCCATGTATTATGCAACTCGATTCCGAGTTCGTGTCATGCTAGTGAGATCTATGAACTTTGGGACGAAATGTGGTCACTTTTAACACACATCTGCTGCCATACAGATGACATCACTTGCTACCGATGGGAATTGCAGCCTCGAATTGAACTTGGGTCACCTCACCAGGTTCATTGACTTGACGGTTCCACCCCAGGTGGCTCATGAAGTGAATCGTGAGAACCACTTGACGTGGGGGTGAAGATTATTCACTCGTTAGCCATGTCAATAAATCTGGACAACGAAAAGGTTTTGCTACCTTAGGGGTGGGTACCAATATCTGGCCCGACCAGTGAACCAAGCGTGCCGCCCACTGCACCACCCACCCCACAATGGTTTTAGATTTTTATAAAAAGGGGTATAAGGGTTATTCATTGCATGCCACACCCCCTTCCAAATAAATTATATTTAGGGACACAATTTGATGCAAGAAGTTCTTACATCGCGGTAAAAACGGTGACCACGAGTGGCTACAATCACCACACTAGAACCCAATTTACGAACGACCCGCAGATTTTAAATTCAATCTTGACTTAAAGCTTTCGTGACTGCAGGCATTCATATTGTCTGGGTCTTTCGGTAAAGCCACGTAGATATTTTATTGTTCTATCTACGTGATTTTACCCAAAGAATATTTTAAAAACCCTTTTGTTAGAGACCTTGCCACAAAGAGTTTGTCAATAAACATTAGCTACAAAGCTTGCATCGGAAACCCGAAGAATTCACGATGCCGGTTTTTTGTTTTATCGGTTCCGGGTGAGCCCCTTGCAGCCACTGGAGGACTGGAGGACAAATCACCCAGGCGCACAAAACCAAAATAACGAATACACAAACGTACGCATGGAGAGAACTTCTTGCGCACCGCACGTAGACAACCGCGCGACTCAAAAATAAATAGGACAGCCAACCTGGAACAAAAAAAAAACTTGATAGAACCAAAATACATAAACTATATATTTGTATATATATTAAAGATAACCAAATGCTAACCTTATCGGAATGCATTTCAATACTATTGGTGCTAACTTCTGCACAACGGAGACCTTTCCTCCCGTGGGTTATCAAGTTTTCTGACTGCAACTGCTTGGCAACTCCTCAGTGGACGCACCACTCGTGTTGGTTGGTTGGGGGGGGAAGGCGGTGGCGGTGCCGGGGGAGGAATTCCGTCGGCAACCAACCAGGAGGAGTCTCCTGTCGGCAAGCCTTCACAACCACCGGCTCATCCTCGTGTGGTGACGCAAGGCCCCGTGAAGGCTTCGGGCTTTTGCCAAGTGAAGAGGAAACGTGAAATACATCAGCAACGCAAGAGGGGGGGCAGGGTGTGGGGTCAGGGGCAGGTTGACCTTCGAACTGAACGTCGCGGTTGAGAAAAGACCGCTTTGCCCGGCGCGAGCGCACAGAGCCATCCCCGATACGACAATCGATGCGGCCTCATCACGTTTTCCAGTACGACAGTTTGTACATTATTAAAACAATGAACACTAGGGGGTTTCGACCGTTATAATTAGTATTTACAAATATAGTCCGCAAGTAAAACGTTGCTATGCACAGACAAAAATTCTTCCTGCAAAGATCTTGAGATTTTGTTGTTTGTACTACCCCCTTGCCCCCCCTCCCCCCACCCGCCCCGTCCCCCCCCCTTAATAACCCCAACCTCAAACTTTCAATCCTTCTGGCCGTCGTCAATATTCCAGGAAAAGTCCATCCGGTGGTTGACAATCGAGTTCAGCGAAGACTCCGTCGCTCAGCCCAAATCTTCAACTGTCATGACTTGGCACGTTGGAAGAAAGCCTGGAGAGAGGGCAGTGGGGTAACACGCGCACGCACACACACGCACCACGGGTCGATAAGCTGTGACCGGAGATGATAAGACAGATTTGAGATTCACATTTGCCTTTGTGGGCTGGGTTAGGCCGCAGAATTGTCCCGACTGGAATTTGCGTCGTTAGGAAACCCTTCACCACCACTGCAAAAAGGTGAATCGTCGCCACGGTCAAAATGAGCAAATCGGAGAATAGTGGCTGCGAAAAGCCACTGTGGGTAAGGATTTGTACGCCGCACAAAGGGTGCGTTTGCAAAAATGTAGGCGATTTTAGTGAATCGTCCTAAAAATACGTATTGGGGCGTCACTTTGAAATGATTCGTTAAATCGATCATCACCAGCCATGATCAATCCACTGCTGAAATCAAGGCCCCCCCCCACGCAATGTCGGCCATGGGAGTTTGTCTGATGACCATACTTCACCACACCGGTCAGAGCAAGTTTTCAACCGAGGGTAAGGATCTCAGGGACTGGAGCGGTTCAGACATCACCGAGCCACCGATGTTCCCCGTGGCGAGGAATCAAACTCGGGCCCCCGGTGGTTCACGGCCACGTGCACACAGGGCACCCAACTACGCCACCCGGCACCGACCAGCGTCGTGGAGCATGGTCACACAACCCGCACCGGAATGGGGAGGCCTCCGTCCAGCAATGGATTAAACACGGGGTTTTAAATTAACGATCACTTGCTCACCTTGAGATAGTTTTTGAACACTTTAAGGTCTGCCTGCTCCAGTGCTTGGCAAAACTCCTGTGGGGCGGGGGGGGAGAAGAGGCAGCTGGTTAGAGAACAAGCCTTCACAACTGCACTCCCCACGTGGGCTTTTCATACTCAGGTCATCGTCTCAGCTGACGAGGCCTCGTTGAGCCAACGGCTCTTGGGACGACGACCGCAGCCAGAGACCGCCGGCAGTTACAGGACACTGCTATTACAGTTACACATATATCCAGAGTTACACAGATATCCAGAGTTACATTACTATCAAGATTTACATAGGAGATCCATTGAATTGCATAGATGATCCAGTTACAGACCCATCGAGTTAAGAGATCCATAGTTACATATATATGTATAGTTCCAGAGCTACAAAACCCTTCAATCTTCAAAAAAGATTCCTACTCTCATTAAAAGTAAAATTATAAAATAGTTCTGGTACATTAAATCAAATAAGCAGGCAAGGTCTCCTCCACATATCCAACTATCCACAAAACCCATCGGCCCCACAGCCTTCTGCATCGTTTCAGCTGCACTGATTCCATGCGAGTAAAACTGTCCCGGTTTCGACACACAGCATCTCATCGGCAGTCATTTACGAAATAAATTCTCCAGGAGACTTGGGCGGCGGGGGGGGAGAAGGGAGGGCCCCGTCGGGTGCCGTTACCTCGGTGACCTCCGGAGCCATGGACAGGGTGGGGAGGTAGTCGTGCTGCAGGAAGCGAGTCAACTCGGGGCCCTGCACAGAGGAGCAAAGATCACGGGCGCATGAGGAACTTCTTTCGCACAGTACATAGCCAACCGTGATGATGAAATCGTAGATGGTTCGAATTCACTCTGCGTGTGGCCATGCGGTCGGACAACATTGTGCGTGTATCACACGCACAATGTGCGTGTACCACACGCACTACTCGGCAGGGCAAGCCCATCTCCCCGTGCAGTTTCACTTCGCGAGCCCCTTTTGAGCACATCTCCTCCTGCTGCGTGGAGCGAGGGAATCCGACACCAGCCCACACGTGCGGTGCGCGCATGGGTAAGAGAATGGCGCACACCAACTATAAACGTTTTTATGTTACCAGGTAAGGCCCACTGAGCTATATAGAAGCAACCTGGCCATAAATGATAGCTCACAGTGGCTTATCATATGAACATTTATAGCAGCAAAATCCTCCATGCATGTTGTTTCTAAATGTGGAGGGAAAAACCGGAGGACCCAGAGAAAAATCCACGCGACCACGGGGAGAACAAGCAAACTTCAAACATACGCGCATCAAGGACAGAATCAAACCCACAACCTCCTGTAGACCAGGTGAGGTAGTTAACATCGCCACCGTGGTGCCCATCACGCGGCGAGACAGACAAGCGCAGTCAGTGTGGGAGATGTCTCAACTCCACTTACTCGTTTCTGAAGAATTATCTTCAGAGTGGAGGCGCACTCCGCAAGAGCCTGTGCACGGATACAAACAGAAACAAATTCCAACGTTTAAACGCCAGCAACTGCACCCCGGACTTTACTCGCTATACCAGTTGGTTACAGGCAAGGCGATTTTAAATTTTGCCATAGGGATAGGTGATTTGCTTTGTAGGGCGAGGTGATTTTGTCAATAGCAAGGCGATTTGGTAATAGCGTGAGGCGATCTGGAGGTAGTTCGGCAATTTTGTCAATGGTGAGGTTTGGTCATAAGCTCCGATGACGACGTACCAATATGGTCTGAGCGTCCATCAGATCGAAGGTGGGCTTGAGTGGTGCCATGAAGCACGCTGGGACGATGCTCTTGTACATGAAGTCCCCGAAGCCAGGCAAGCCGTCTTTGCCGCCTGCGTGATGTCAACGGGCAGACGCACCACGCAGACGCAGACGCACCACGCAGACGCACCACGCAGACGTTGCCATCTTCCACTCCACCGGCCAAACAGGACACGCGGGACTCAGCAGATAAACTTCCAGAAGTCAACTCGTTCTGCAGCTCGCCACGTTTGCAATACCGCTCACCACACAACCCATTGTACAACACAGCAGGCAGTTCACAACACTACAACTAAACTATTTTTATTTTAACAGGTAAGGCCCACTGAGCTATGTAGCTCTTTTTCAGAAGCTGCCTGGCCACAAATGATAGCTCAACGAAGTGGCTCATCGTGTGGAAATTCACAGCAGTCAAATACTCTAAATGCACATCGATTCTAAATGTGGAGGGGAAAAACCAAAGGACCCGGAGAAAAATCCACACGGCCACGGCGAGAGAGAACACGCAAACTCCGAATATACAGCAGGCGTCAGGGTCGGGATCGAACCCGCGGCACAACAAGCAGGCTGCTCACCGCGGCACAACAAGCAGGCTGCTCACCGCGGCACAACAAGCAGGCTGCTCACCGCACACAAGGTAACTCACCGCACACAAGCTAACTCACCCCACAGCTCAACGAGCTTCGAGAGGATGTTGAAGCAGATCTTTTGGGCGACGGGATCGGGAAATTCCACGGCGCCCTGGATGACCGTGACGAGCACCTGCTCCATCTGAGCCGATCCTGCGAGGATGGACGGAGCGGAGAACGAAACTCTTGGCTCGCATCGCGGGGTCCAGCGACGCGCTGTTCGACGGACGACGACGCGATTGCGCAATGCGGGTTTCATCTTAAACGACTGCAACCGATCCATTCCCGCTTTACAAGGGTTCAACGGTAGCATAGTCATCTGCCCATCGATGGCATAAACGACGACACCAGACGAAGGTTGGGGTGGGATTAACGACATTACCGTTGTCGCCCACCCTGGGCGAGTCAGCGCAGCGCTCCTCCGCACACCTCTAGCCAATTAATTCTCACAGCTTGAAGATTCTGCGAAAAGCGATCGAAAATCACCCACACCTGGGACTACGATGTTATCGGCAACCCGGCTGAAAGCGTCAACTCGCGACGCCCGAGAACCCCGGTTTAACAACACCGCATTGAAGGGCAGCCTCTCGGCTCGGCGCCTCCCACCCCCCCGGCCACGCGGCCAGCCCCGGTCGAACGGCTCGTGGGGCCCCCAGCAGCGGCGTCGGAGCCGCGAGCTCGTCGCACCTTGGCTGGAGATGACGTCGGCCACGCCGCTGCTCACGATGCAGTAGATGAACTGGAAGTAGTTGCGGCGCAGCGCCTGGCGGTCCAGCGCCGCCGACTGGTCGTTCTCCTCGGCGGGCCGCGCCAGCACCTCGAACACCGTCGTCACAAGCGGCACAAACACCTGCTGCAGGAACGAAACTATCTGGGCCTGTGGGCGGAGAGGGGGAAGAGATGGAGTGGTGCGTTTAAGTACGTCTGTTGTAGGCTCGTCGGCCACACGTGGTTTAGCTGTACAGGTCAATGTTGTACTGTGCTATGCTCCCAACAGCCATGCTGCCCGCCTTCACCAACGCGTGATAACCAGCGTGGCGCAGTACGGTCAAACAACTTGTTACAAACATCGAGCAGTGAATTGGGCAAAGGGCTGTGTGCAGGTTTTTTTGGGTTAGATCGCGTAAATGTGTCGTTAAACCCACCACCCGACACAGCCAACTGGTAAGGTTTGTCACGTAAACAGAATGTGCCAATTCGTCACTAGTACAGCACTAACCGGTGTGTTGGAGAGCCAAGCCACAACATTTACAACCCGAGTACAACGTTTCGCCAGTAATTACAACCAGCTTCATCAGGCCAGATTTGTGCGCTTGTCCACTCCAGTACGGTGTGGAATAAGTCTATAAATTGTCTCGGCTATGCCAACGGCCGCTGCTACCGATTCACCGCAAGCAGATTGAGCTTGCAGTGACGATCCGAGTCGACGCAAGTCTAGCAGCGGGACGAGCTCCTAGACGTTGCATGCCACCCACTGCTGGATGAGGCAGCTGTACAACGTGGCTTTCACGAGTAGACTCTCCGCCGCCCTAGCCCGCCACAACACCAGCCCACCGCCGTCCGGCACAAACTCGCCGCACCTTGAACTTGCCGATGACCTGGTTGAGGAGCGGGATGAGCTCCTGGATGTCGCGCGGCTCGCAGTCGCGCAGCGAAGCCTGCAGCGCCTCGGGAAGGAAGGGCAGCACCTCCTCCTCCAGGCACACGACCATGCGGTGCAGGTAGGTGCGCACGGCGCCGCGCAGAGCCTCGCGCTGCACGGGGCAGCCGAGCGCCGGCAGGAAGAGCCGCAGGCACTGCAGGTAGACGTCGGCGCAGCCGCACTGGCGCACTGTCTGCTTGCTGCTGAACGCCTTGCTCGTGCGGCTGTCAGGACGAGGAGACGATGATGGACGGGTGGCGGGGGGTGGAGAAGGGCGGAGATAACGAGAGACAAGGGGGAGGTTCATTCAGGGAGATCAACACATAAGTTGCGGTTAACAATCTCATAAATGATAGGGCGCCTTCACTCAAGGTACTTAACGTAAAAAACCAGTGACAATAGAATGATTTAATGGTACGGGGGGTGCAACGGTTGGTGGGGGGGGAGGGCGCATCACCTGACAAAGCCGACCGCGTGGCTAAGGCAGTCGGCGATGGCCACCTGGCGCTCCTGGTCGGGCTCGTGCAGCAGCTTGGCGAGCAGGCCCGGGAAGGCCTGGGTCAGCGGCAGCAGCAGGTTCCCCATGAGCAGCGCCTTGCGCTCTGCCGGCGTCTCGCTGCTCACGATCAGGGCGCCCGCCATCTCGTAGATGAACAGCTGATCCTCGCTGCTCAGCAGCCCGTGCAGACCGTTCTCCTGGGCGGGCAGCGGGAGGGCGCGACAGACGGCAGGGTATGGACACACGGGCCGGCAAAGGGCGTCCCTTGAAAGAGACTTCCAGTATTGGTTGATAGTTCCAGGATGGCTCCCATAGGCCGATGGGACTATGGATATTATTCCGCTGATTAGAGAGGGGTTTGTATTGTTGTGAAGTTACCCCACCACCCACTGCTGCGGTGTCCCCGCTCTTAAAAATGCGAAGCAGCAACACGGAGGCGGACACATACCCTTGGCGTGAGGGTGAGGAGGTCCTGCACACGAGTCAAGATCTCCTCCATGAATGGGAAGATGTGCTTGCTGCGAACACAAGGGATGGGACACAACCCAAATCAATAATCCTGCCAACAACAACAACCAGAAACGAGCAACTAAAACCATGCGTACGCGTGGATTACGTCACGCTTGCCTCCCAAACGTGCCGCATTCGTCTTGCGGGTGGGGAATTCGTGATAAAGACGTCGCGTTTAGAGCCGTGCGACGGGATGACGTTGAGCGGCGCTTGGCGAGCGACGTTCGATTACGTCACAAGTAACGGACGATGGAAATAAACCGCTACAACGGTCCTCGCCTCGGTAATTTAACATGCTTTAGGTACCGAGTCATCAAAAACCGTTTCTATTCGTGGCATTCCTACAGCACAAAAGGCAAAAAAGTTGCCGTGGTCACAGCTTTTAAGAACACTTCCATCTCGGGCCGACGGAGTCGAGAGACAAATCGCGGAGCAGCTCGCGGCAACGAGGTCCACTCAGACGGCGCCCGGACGCCGCAAACGTGCGGGGGGGGGAGGGGGCCGCCGCCCCTTGGACGTCACCAACCGGGAACGCCGCGGTGCCACGCGGGGCCTCACCTGAGCACCTTGACGAAGCGCGAGAGCAGGTAGGAGCAGCGGCTGCGCACCTTCAGGCTGCCGTGCCGGAGACCCCGACCGTCAAGGAACGCCATCTGTGTGGGAAGGGGGGGACGTCGTCGCTTTTTATACGCAAGTAGAACTTCTTTCGCACCGCACGTAGCCAACCAGTGCTAAAAATCGGGAGGGTGCGCTTTGCAGGGCAATGCGCACGCAACGTCGCGTTTAAAAAAACGACACCCAAAAAGACAAAGATCCCCCTCCACCGTATAGCCTTAGCAGACTGTTGGGGCAAGTGCTGTTAGCGAGCACCTATGAAGGCCGGCATGGCACACGAGGGGGTGGGTGGCCAGCATCACGCCCGGCCACCTTTGTCTCCCCAAGTGGCGATGTTTATACACCGCACGAAGTACTCATTCGAGGCTGAATTGACCTGGGGGAGGCCCAGGACCGGTTCAGATAATCGTCGCCGGCGTTGGCCGCGAGTGGGAATCAAACTCGTGCCACCGGGTCTGTAGCGCAGCACATGAACAAGTACACCACCGCTCCCGCACGCACACAGCCACACAGGTTCTTACCAGAACCTCGGGAATGTGCTGCGGCTCCAAGGAGAAGAACTTGTCGTAGCGGACCACCGTCTCGAAGAACTGCAGGGTGACGGCCGGGTGCGCGTAGTGACTCACTCCCGACGTGACCATCTGCAAGGGGGGAGGTGGGGTACGCCGGCAAATCAGTTCCCGTCGGTCACCGCAACAGGAAAACCCCCAAGACAGCAACCGATGCCTACCGGCTGTAGAGAACCGTTCTAGCGTTGTCGTGTTGTTTTTATTTTGCCCGTTTGCCTAGGAAAGCCTCGCCGAGTCTCGAGACTCTTTTACACGAGGGCTCCTTGCCCAGGTTTTCGCAATAGGAGGTCGATGTTGTTGTTGCCGTGTGTAATCCCATTTCAGTAAATTTGCAGGTATTTTTTCTGTATTGGGATGTTTGGGCCAATATTCGATTTTTTGGGGGAGAACGTACAAACTCTACGCAGAACGGTACGCCCATGTCGGCAATCAAACCCAGCGCCCTTGTTGTAGAACACTTGTGCAACACACGGGTGTTTAGCTACAACCACTGCGCCAACCCTGCCACCCCCTGCTCGTAAAACAACAACAACTCGCCCGTAGCGAGGAGATGGGCACAGGGGGGGCCACCGCCAGGGGGCTCGGGTTCCTATTGGGCTCGCGTGGTGGCCGCGAGCGCCAGCGGACAGGGGACGTACGATGCGCATCATCTCCTGCATTGCCGAGGCCTTGGCCGGGTCCCCCGAGAAGTGGACGCCCTGCGACACGGGGATCGCCTCGCCCAGCATGTAGAGCAGCCGCAGGGCCACCTCCACCTCCAGGAACTTGGCCTCCTTCCAGTTCCTGTCCACGCCAAAAAAAACGAGACCAACGAGACATGAGGAGGGCACCGGCAAATTCCACCCCCACCACCCCCCCAACCCAGCGCAGCCCTCCCGACAGATATGCCATCTGGGGTACAGATGGCAGGCCCATGGGTACAGAATCTGGTGGCCGAGACTACGAGTAAGATCGCCGCTAGGAGACGGAACGACGAATATCGTTTCACGAGCAGAGGGGCCAAACGGACCGCCGCATCGCGAGACCGGCGGGAAGACACGGCTAGATCGGTGGCACGGTCGGTGCGCTTACTGCAGGGTGGCGGTGACCACGCGGTGCACGGTGATCACAAGCAGCTCCGGTGCCACCTGCGCCAGCTTGTCCAGCAAGAGCTTGAGCTGCTTGCGGTACTCCATGAACATGGCCTCCTCCTCTCCCTGCGCCACCACAGGTCACACACGCCACACGATACAGGAGGCCGTGGGTTCGCTCCCAACCCTGACGGCTGCTGTTTATTTGAAGTTTGCGTGTTCTCCCCGTGGTCGAGCGGATTTTTTTCCGGGGCCTCCGGTTTTTCCCCCCTCCACACTTAGAAACATGCGTTTAGAGTATTTCGTTGCTATCAATGTCCACGTAACAAACCACTTTGTTGCTATCATGTGTGGACAGGTCACTTCTGAAAAAACCTATAGAGCTCAGCGGGCCTGACCTGATAAAATAAAAAGTTAGTTTAGTGAACCGTGCTAGCACCGAGGCCTCGAATTGACCAAGTTGTTTTGGTGGTGTTGCTGCTGCTGCTGCATTGGCAGTGGTGCACAACGCACAATTAACAAAGAACCTGACATGTCAATAATACTGCCTTCAAGTGGGAAAAAATGTCTATGCTTGCTTATGGCAATGTTCAGGAGTGAAATAACAATGTCGAGGTCTGCTGGTCACAAGAGGCCTACAAGAGTGTGCAGTTTTGCCGTTCCTACTCCGTTGAAGGAGCGCCCACACTACAGTGGGTTGTACTGTATGGTCCATAGTTTGGCTTGCATGGCCGCAAACCGCACGAATGCGGCTTGCCTTGAGATGTGCGCATCAGCACGGCGATGTTCTGATGCACCAGTGTCGTGGAATATCTACAAAGGGCCATAGCACGGAACGTCACCTATTCTACAATCTCATTTTAAGGCAAAGGTGTTCTTTTACAAATGTGTTCCTCCAGGTGAGGGCCCACTGATACCACAGTTAGCAGGGAATGAAGGAAGAAATGGAATGGAAGTTGCGCGCTAGTGCGTAGAGCAGTGTTCTTCGTTGCAAAGCCCGCGGGGGCCACTGGCGGCCCCTGACGTGCGGCCCCCGACAACACACAATGTGAACCCCCCCCCCCCATCATCGTGCTGCTGTCAAACCCCAATGGTTTCAAACGTGTGGCAGCCCTCGCACTGATGACGTCTTATCGGCGAAAGTGTCCCCCCCCTCCTCCTCTGAAAATTAGTGAAGAACACCGCTGTAGAGGTTCACTGCTCGTGCAGCATGGCCAACACAGACCCAGGCCCTGGTGCCGATTCCGTGCCAGAACAGGGGCTTCCCCTGGGCCATGAATAGCAAGCCATGAAGTCAACCTGGGTGTTCAACCGCTGCACTCTCTGGAGGTACCACAAACAACCACAGAGCAAACGACCCCGCCCCCGTACCTCATTCTCGAAGTTGAACTCTTCGTCGTATGCGAGCTTCTTTATGATGGCCATGAGGATTGCCTACGGGAATAAAAACAAAAGCTCAAAGCTTAGACACAAAACTGCCAGACCCAGGGTCAACTACATCTACAATTACAGCAAATTATTTGGCGAGGCTGCTGCTGTGTTGGCAGTTTGCGTACAAGCACAGCTAACAAATAACTAGCACTCACCAACAACACACTGTGGCCTTTTCATTCAAATCACACAACCGCAACTGTGATTGACTGATGGTCCGAAATCCGATAATATGCAACAGTCCAGCCGACAAAACGCAAAACCGTGTTCAAAATGCACGCACACTTACCTCTACGTTTGCCCTCTGCTGGTCTGACAATGACGGAAGCTGCAAATGTAAGTAACATGTAGAAGAAATTAGAAAGCGCACGGAATGTTGCGCTATTTAACTTTAACATTCGTGGTGGCTGAAGGATACCTACTCGCTCACGTGTTGGTAGAGGGGCAAGTACACAGTTTAAAACTAGAATTAAAGTTTAAAACGGCTTAAAAACGAGAGTTCTGCAGATACGCGATGCAATCAATCCACTGCTTGATGACACAAATGCCGTGCTGGTCACAGGATTTGTTTGACCGTACATTACCATGCTACCCCAGTGTTGGCCGATTGCAGTGGGGGTGGCCGGATGGTCCGGTTACAGGGTGCAGAGTCTATCGCGTGTTAACCATTGCACAACTAGCTGCACCGCTGCACCATTAACCACTGCACCCGTTCGTACAACCAGTAGGTGGCAGAGTCGCGGCACCTGCTTGACAGCGTGCAGGTAGTCGTAGCAGAAGGTGGTGACGTTGAGAGAGATGTCGTCGTCTTCGTGCGCCAGCAGCTCCAGCACGACGGGCACCTTGCTCTCGGCGCCGCTAAGCGCCCGCTCAGAGTTGGCGACGTCCCCGCTCTTCGCCAGCTTGCCGGCGCTCTGCAGCAGGCTCTGCCCCATGCCATTGAGCAGCTTAGAGAAGCGCGCCAGGAAGTCCACATCGTCATCCTGCAAAACAAAGAGAGGGACAAGCGAGCTGCTCGTGAGACGGACGGGAGCGATTATTTTTACACTAGGTAGGTAAGGCCCACTGAGCTGTGTGACCTGGCCAGATGATAGCTCAACGCAGTGACTTATGATGACGTCACGACACACCGCACCAGGTACTCATTTGAGGCCGAGTCGACCTAGTGGAGGGCCCTGGACCGGTTCAGATAATCATCACTGGTGTTGTCCGTGAGCGGGAATCGAACTCGGGCCGCCAGGTTCATAGCGCAGCGCGCCAACCGCTACACTACCGCTCACCACACGCACGCACACACACCACACACGTTCTTCGCAAGTGCTCCAAATGTCTCCTGCCGACGCCGCCACTCCGGGTGCGGAGGGGTGGGAGCCACGGACCTGCTTGAGGTTGAAGAAGCCGGCGGCCTGCAGCACCTGGCTGAGCAGCTCCACCAGTTTGGTCTTGTCCACGGGGTCCATGCCCTTGCCGACGATCTCGAAGAGGCAGTCGCACGCCGACTCGCGCAGCATGTCCACCGACAGGTGGCTCAGCAGCAGCCCCACGAACCTGCGACGGGCGGCCAACCCCGCACAAGACACAGACACCCCCCGTGTAGCCTTAACAGACTGTAGGGGCAAGTGCTGTTAGCGAGCACCTATGAAGGCCGGCACGGCACACGAGGGGGTGGGTGGCCAGCACCACGGCCGGCCACCTTTCTCTCCCGAGTGGCGATGTTAACACATCCTCAAATAAGTACCTGGTGCGGTGAGTCAACCTAGGGGATACCCAAGACTGGTTTAAATAATCGTCACTGGTGTTGGCTGTGAGCAGGAATTGAACCCAGGTTTCCAGGTTCGTAGCGCAGCGCACGAACTGGTACACGACCGCTCCCCGCACACACACACACCCACCCACGATAACACAAGAGCGTGCCAGCGTCACCCCGAGCCGAGTTTGAGGTCTCTGCGACTCGACTACCATTGGGTTTTAGAAGTGAATTTTGTCAGATCTATTTGAATGTTTGCGTGGTTTGATTTGATTTCTTTCTGTAACGATTCCTTTTGCACCGATTTCTATTTGCTCGTTTTTCCTGCGTTTTATTTAACTTCATTGTTCTACTGTGCTTTGATGCTATTTGGCTTCTGTCATTTTAGTGAACCGGGCCACTTGCAAATGAAACTCTCCTTGTCGAGTTCTCACCTGCGTTTAAAAACAAAAAGTGAAATTTCAACCCGCAAAATTGATTAAAATTGTAAATGTGGGATGAATGAATAAAATACTGTAACTGGTATTGGCTAAGTATGCCAAAGGTGAAAATTACCTGCAAATTACTCAATTGAGATCACGCAGAGCAGCAGCAACATCATTACCCCAATGTGAAACCTGAGCAGGACCCTCCTAAAAATTGGCCTCGAGACTCGACAAATCAATAGATGAACCACAATACCTTGCTGATCTCGTCAAGGAGCTTAAACCACCACACCAATTACAATCACCGAGCAACAGCGGCTTTTCGGCTAACCATCGAACAAAGACAGTCGCCGCATCGCACGCTTTCAGATATGCTTTCGTGGCCGTATGGAACGCTCTTCCTTCCGATATGAGAAAGTCGCTGGAGCTATGCACTTTTTAAAATCTAAGATTAAAAACTAATTTCTTCAGAACTGCTTTTTGCGTTTAGTTTGTAGTCTTTCCTCCAACACCTCTCCCGATTGGCACGTTCGGCCACGTACCGTGCGAAAGAAGTTCTACATCTGTACAACGCAGAAGCCTAGCAGGCTACGAGGTAGTCCAGGCAGAAGAGGCGTGTGCGCACCTGTCGTTGGCGATGAGGTTGATGTCGATCCAGGAGACGTAGGCTCCGATGACGTCCAGGCACAGGCAGGTGAGCTCGGCGTTGCTGCACTGGTAGGTGTGCAGGATCTGGTACCACGACTCCACCAGGTCGGGCACGCAGTGCTCACGCATGTGGTCCTTGATAAGGATGTTGCGTCGCGCTTCCTGCCGCCAACACGCGATTTCACGCGACGCGTTACACGGAGAGGCACGCACACACCCACGAAGAGTGAGGACCCACGTGTTTAATCACCAGCCCATTCCGCTAATTTCTGAACTCTTTAGAACTGCTCATTGTGTTTCGTTGGTTCTCCTTCCCGCTCCCGCCCCCCCGCACCTCCGATGAGAACGGTTGGCTACGTAACGTGCGAAAGAAGTTCAACATACACACAGAACACATCCGGGTTTAATGTAATCATTAAAACCGTAAAGAAAAGTAACGACATAAAATAATGACTTGTTAATTGGGCGATGTTTGGAGCAATGGCCCTTCTTCATATCATTGCACATTGGTGCCACGGCGGCGGACTACGAGGAAGTCATTTGGCTTTGAGGGGATGATGGCTAATGGTCAAGAATAATAACGCGAGTGGTAGCCAAGGAACAACACGCGTCGGTGTTGATGTCCACAGGAGGAGACGGAGCACTGGATCGAGTTGCCGTGTGTAGGTGCTGGGCGGATGGACGTATGTAGAACTTATTTTGGACCGTACGTAGCCAACCGCGCGAAATCAGAGGTGCGAGGGAAGGATAACAAACTAAACACAAAAATCTAGTTTGAAAAAAATTAATTTTCAATCCAGATTTCAAAGTCCATAGCTCCAATGGCTTCCTAATAATGGTCACATTGCAGGACTGCCAGAAGTTGCAACAAATTTGGAGTAGGCCTTTCATCTAACAGTGGATTGACCATGAGGGGTGATTAGATAACAGTTCAGGTTACAGATTAACCGTGCTTCCAATAAACATGTTTCTAATAAACACATACAGAGCATGCGATTATTACAATACACATGCGGGCTGGTTTAATTATTAACAGCTCGTCACTTAAAAAGGTCAGGAACTCAAGGTCCTCATGATCACAAATATGCTGGCAAGTGACCCGATTAAGCAGCAATAAGAACGTGTCACAGTTTACACGCAAGCTTTCACGACCCATATTATGATTCTTAATTAGTTTATTTCGGGTTAGATCGTCGTGTAAGTAATAAGGTCCACATGAGAGACACGCTTTGTTAACACCCGATGACCCTGGATAGAACCTTCAGCGAATCATCGTGTAAAACGGTCAATGTTTTGCTGGCTCATGTCAACATTCATTCTCCGGTTTGCTGCATGAAGCCAAACAAATCGATTTGCATATTTTTCCAGGCGACAACTTGATTTGATTGGCTCAGGCAGGTAGCAGAGAGTAGTAGTTCAAAAATTAAGTCGACCAACACTAATAGGTATGAATCGACAAATGATAAATACAAGTCTTCATCCTCAATGTACATAGTATGCTTTGTGGCCACATTAACATATGTTTGCTTTGACATGGTTTTATTTTCATTCGGGCAGCCCCTCCCCACAGTCAATACCTAAAATAACTCAAAGGTGACTGTACAAACGAGTGAATTCTGAGAAACTTAATCTGTCTGTCCCAGAATAAGTCTGAGAGTCATACAATTTACTAAGAACCCATCGAGTGCTCATTTTCACTGCAAGGAACCAGGTATTCTTTGATACTGATTATGACCTATGACCTAGATTTTTAAACCGTGCCAGCCTGGTCATAACGGTCCATGGGAACAGTGGAGAGGTGTGTGGCAGTGCCGTTGTGAACCAGCTCCAGGTGAAAACTGCCATGGGCTTGGATGATTCATCAGCAAGGATGCTGCACGATGATTTCCGCACACGTCTTTAGCAAGAAAACCACGGGCAGGTCAGCTCGCTGGGTTAAGTGTGCGGTTTGGACCGAGCGAGGGTTATACGTTCCATTTGGAACCTCTCCCAGCTCGCAATGCACCACCTTGTACCACGGAATGGATCCGGCTGATGATCTCGCAGGACAACTCTTGAGCCACCTCAAGAAGACCAAACACACTTGTGTTTTCACTCTTATGGAGGAGTCCAATCCATCATGACTGCACACAGCGATCACAGATAGGGGACTCTTTGGAACTTCACCGTTGCACGTCTGTTGCAAAACTGGCTTAAATTCAAGGATGGATATTGGACATCTCCCGATGCCCAGTCCTGGGCCTTCCCTAGGTCGGCTTGACCTCAAACGAGTACCTGGTGAGGCGTGTAAACATTGCCGCTGTGGAGACAAAGGGTGTGGTGCTGGCCACCCACCGTGCCGGCCTTCATGAGGTGCTCGCTAACAGCATGTGCTCCAACAGTGTGTTAAGGCTACACGTTGTTGTTGTTTTGGTGGCGGTGATCGTGGTGCAGGCAGCAGGGACAATGATCACCCCCCCCCCGCACCTCGGGCGTGTGCAGGATCTCGCGGTCCACCACCTCGACGTCGATGGCCACCAGGATTCGTAGGTAGAGGTCGACCCCGCCTGGTGCCGAGCCCACCACGGAGAGGACGTCGAAGAAGAACTTGGGCCAGGTGGTCGGATACTCGGAGATGAAGAGCAGCGAGAAGATCTGGGCCGCTTTGTTGCGGACAAACGGCTTCTCTGGCGTGTCGCGCACGGTCTGCGAGGAACAACAAATGCACGGAGGCAGCTTTAGGAGCGCGGAGCTGGGACAAGGAATTCGATTAGAATAAAAGGCCCGACATCGAAATTGCTCGCTCACACAGCTGTTGGTGGTAGGGCCTCCAGGAGAGGGAACTCCTGGATTAATCACTCTTTCATTGCACTTAGGAATTCTGCCCAGATAGAAGCTTTGTTCAATAAACACGTAGGCTTTGGCGACCAATATCATCCAGAAGAGGTTTTTGGGTTAGATCACGTAAATGTATAAATGTGTACAGCAGTTCTACTGCTGTATCTTTCTACCTGATGACGATTGCTTGTGTTTTTATTCTTTATTTTTTCTACCTACCTGACTTTACCAAAAGAACCAAAGAGTATAGATCCCTGCAGTCACGAAAACTTCAAATCAAGATTGTCATTAAAACCCGCCACCACCCAACACAGCCAACTAGTAAGGGTTGTCACGTAAACAGAACGTGCCAATTCGTCACGAGTACAGCACACCGGTGTGTTGGAGAGTTGTGGCTTGGCTCTCCAACACACCGGGGTGCTGTACTAGTGACGAATTGGCACATTCTGTTTACGTGACAACCCTTACACTAGTTGGCTGTGTCGGGTTTTAACGACAGCTTTGTTCAAGTTCGGCATATGTTGTGATCGTTTCACGACAATATCCAATATATATTTTTAAAACCGCTTAATGAGCACACTAAACTTTTAACACATGTATTATAGAACATACAAAAGTGGGCACAGGCAGAACATAAAAACTAGAAGGGATGGATGCCGGTGGTCAGGATGAACAACCTGCGAGCACGTGCACACCGCAGGGATGGAACGATGCAATGGGCTCGTGCGCAGGTGTTCGATGAACCGTTGCATTTGGGTGAGAGACAGCGATAGCTTTGGGAGTCCTTGATCCAGCTGTGGATCAATCGTGGTAGAGGATGACGATGACGCGGACGTCTACAAATTGGGGTCACCCCCGCCAACGCACGCACCTGCGTCTGTAGCCAGGTCATCATGGTGTCCCGAATGAGCTGCCGCTGGGCGCAGAGCAGCACCGGATACCTGCGGTGGCAGACAAGACATTGCAGGGGAGGCTCTCGTTGAAAGGCTCTCAAAGATTACACTATGTAACACCATTTTTGTTCCTGGGTAGGAAGTGGTATTTTCGAATAGCTTATGCCTCAAGTATAGAAAATGGCTATTATTACCCACAAGCTTTCCATAACAGGTTTTTGGGTTAGATGGTGGAAATATAAATGTGTCCTTAAACCTGCCACCACCAGACAAAGCCAATAAATAAGGTTTGTCCTGTAAACAAGAACATGTCAATCCGTTACTAGGACAGCACATCAGTGTGCTGGAGAGTAAACCCACAACATTTACAATCGGAGTACGTTTCGCCAGTAATTACAACCAGCTTCATCAGGCGACAGCCAGAGTTGTGGAGAAATCCTCCTTTTTTGGCCTTAGAGGGATAAATCTGATGTCACACAATGCATCACTACACCCCGTTATCAAAATAAGTCACATTGCGAGGTTTATTTGGGAGAACTTTCACCACCAATTTAAAACAAGCCTTCAATATGCAACCAACACACGATCTGTAAAATACAGGACCTTGTAAAAGTGAAATGCCCGTTTGGTTGGGTGTCAATAAGTCTCGCAGACGTCGTGAGAAGTAATGCACCTGTGCTTGATGTGATGTTCCAGTACTTGAAAACAGAAGAATTTGATGTGGTCATCACTGAGAGGAAACACACACACACAGAGAGTTAGCCGAACCAAAATGTCCTTCATTGTGTCAAATCCTCAAGGAACATTCAAGAACGTGAGATTATTTTTGGTGGCACGTCTGCCTTGTTAACCGTGACAGAAAATTGGCACCAAAGAGAGTCGGACAAACCGACTCTTGTTGCTGTGTTAACGGATTCTGAACCACGGCCAAACTAGGCTGGGAGTGGCACTAGCAGGTGACATCATGGACGTAAACTCCGCACAAGAGAACACTGCAGAGCTTTCCTCTCAGGATTACACGCCGCTTTTAATTACCTGTAGAAACCACGAATGAGGGCATCGGCGCACAGCTGCCAGCCATCTTCGGAGGCTTTCAGCTGTTCAAAGTATGCCAATGCCTACACAAACGCCACAGAAAAAGCCACAGTCATTACACCCAGCGAGCGAATACAATTTAACAAAAATACAATATTTTACTTCTTCCTAGAATGATCCCCACCTCATGTGGAGTCTGCCTTGGTGCTACTCTCTCTCCACCCACTCCCGGCACAGGCTATCAACCGTCACCTCCACTCCACAGGGCCTATGTATCCTGGTTCACCACTCCGATCCACCTCTTTCTAGACCTGCCTCATGTTCTCCACCCTGGTGCTTCCATGCTCATCATCTTTGTCCCAGTGCAAGTACATACGATATGCCCCAAACCATTCGAGTTGACTTTTTTCAGCTTGTCTGTTACTGGTACCACCAACACCTGCCTACTTTCTCACCTGTCGTTTCTGGCCCGGCCTACTCTTGAAAATCCCCGTGATCCATCTCACAATCCTCATGATGAGATAGGAGCTTCCTAAATCCTCAGATTCCTCCAGAATATAAATATAAAACCTGATTCTAAGGTGCACACCATGTGCGCCTCCGTAGTATTTATACTACCAACATTCAGACCCATATTTAAATATAAAAAATGTTGTACGTAACAGTTTTAAATTAAATCAGCCTTTTTTCATGGTTATTCAACGTCTCAAGTTAATCTCACATAAGACAATATATTACAGGCATTGTGCAGGGGGCGAGTGCTGTTAGCGAGCGAGCCCCCATCAAGGTTGGCACGGCACACGAAGGGGTGGGTGGCAAACACCACGCCCGGCCGCCTTTGTCTCCCTAGTGGCTATGTTTACACACCTCACCAGGTACTCATTTGAGGCCGAGTCGACCTAGGGAAGGCACAGGACCGGTTCAGATAATCGTCACTGGTGTTGGCAGTGAGCGGGAATCAAACTCGGGTAGCCTGGTTCGCAGCGCAGCGTGCTAACCGCTACACTACCGTTCTCAATGACACAAACACACACGCACATCTGTAGGAACAAAACAAATTCCATCAGGCTGAAAACAGCTTTTACGCGGCTCACAGTCCTCTGCCTGTGCAAACAATAAATTGCACATTCAGCAATCGTACTCGGGGGCAACCAAAATAAATCAATGGGTCACTAACAATGGAAACTGCCAACAAGAGGTCTCAGCACAACGTAAGCATGGCTCCCAACGGATTTTCACGCAAACAAAAGGAGCCAAAAACTTGTTAAGAATAAAAAAATATTCCGCGTGTGATATCGGCATGCCACAAAATGAACAAACCATTCGGATCTCCCACAGCAGTGCAACCCTTAGTTTGAGAATGGCCCACGGACAGGGCTATCACAAAGCGACCTCTCAGAACTCAACTGGACCTCTGGCCAACAAAGGTGAGTACAGCACTATCACCCACTGTGCTACGAATAAAAAAAGAACCAAAGAGTATGGATGCCTGCAGTCACGAAAGCTTCAAATCAAGATTGAATAAAAGATGTTTAAAGCGCTGGAATTTGTCCAAGCACGAAGAAATGTCATGCGATGTGTTCCAGTCATTGGTGAAGTTGAGACCAACTTACGAGACTTGAAAACCCAAGTGTCAAAACTAAATGGGTATTATACATTTTGTTGTGGCACAACATGAACATCTTGTTGCAATACTGTACTTGGTAACTAACAAGTACTTATTTTCCTCAACCATGAAAAACACTTGGACAACTCAAGACAAGCACACAATGATGAAGTTAATTGTCATTACACTTTACCTACATACAGACGTTACAACCAACATAACATCTGTGACTCACTGAATTAGTGCACAATCCATTAAATTCCGAGTGTAATTTCAACATTCGATCTTTCTTTCCAGGTTCTCAAAATGGCACCAATTAAATAATAATAAAAATGCAAGTGCTCTTCTTAACAGTGCGTGGACTGACATCCAACAAGTCTAGGCTATTCAAACTATACCATGCCTATCTTGTATCTATCATAGCCCAAACATGTATTGTAGCAGTTCGAGCAGTGACATTTAGGTTATACAGCAAGCATTTGTATTGACAAGCTAAACCCGTGAGCATGTGTTCAACAGTAAAATGAGCTAGGCATGTGAATATACAACCAGTTTACAAGGAACTTGCTCATGTTAAATCCATTTCTATTCACTTACTGTCCCCTACATTTGCTATTTCTGCATTGCGTCCACCACCTACCCTTGTTGAAAAACCAGTCCAATAAAGCGACCTTCCTTATATAAACAAACACTGTTTCAATGGGGTCTTACCTGGTGTTAACCAAGCTTGTAAATAAGTTTATACTTCATTACAATCATAATGATACACTTTTTATCTATGAAGCTTCACCGAATGTCAAGACTCTTATTTCAGAAGGAACCTACATTATTGGGATGTGGCCAATTACATTATTCATGAGATTGTGGCTTCACATGGGCGGAAACCAGATTACCCGGAACGGATAACCCCGCGAAGCTCCACACAGATGCATCGAAGCTGCCCGATGTACTGCCGTTCATTGGCAACCTCGCAGCCGAGGGGTTTGGGAGTTTAACACATTTCTCTGATCCACCGAGCCTCACGTCCAAACAGCTATATTAAAGGCAGATATCATCACAACAAACTGCCAATGGGGGCCATGAACCCTATTACCGTAAGGGCCCTCAGGATAGGCTTGATCCCTCTGTGCATGTTAGAGGGGTATCTGCCCCCCCCCCGCCACCATAACCATAACCAGCAACGCATTTGCACAACATTTTTACACACTTTTGCTTGAATAACAAATATTAGGGAAATAAAAACCCACACCTCCCACTGCTTTGTCACAAAGCAAATATGTACATTCACATCCGTATTGTTTGTGTCCTGCAAGAGGGCCTCCCAACACTGTGCAGGTTGTGGCAGGTATTTTTACCAAGCCAGCCTATTTTTTTTACCTTACCAGATAAGGACCATCGAGCTATATAGCTCTCGATAGCTCAACGAAGTGGCTTATCATGTGGAAATTTATAACAGCCAAATACTCCAAACCGCATGTGGATTCTAAATGTGGAGGGGAAAAAACGGAGGAACCGGAGAATAATCCAAGCGACCACGGGGAGAACATGCAAACTCCAAATGTTAACACGTCAGGATTGAACCCACGACCTCCTGTATACCAGGCGAAGTAGTTAACACCTCGCCACCGTGGCACCCCAGTCAGTATGGGTTGGTAAAACCAGGCAGCACCGGCATGGGAAGGAAAAGAGGTCCAGTATTGCCCACCACGTAGCCACGCAAGCCCTATGACAAGTGCATGGTGCTCACCCATACAAACACTATCCAGGCTCAACTCTGCTTAGCTTCCGAGATCTAACTAGATCAGGAGAAATATGGGTGGTTTGGTCATAGGCCAAGAATTTAACACCGTTTAATTATACAACAAGGGTGTTTTATAACGGCAAGAGCACACATGAGGTTGGCCACTTCTTGCAGCCATGTGTGAGTCTATTGCATCAGACGCAGGGTGATGGCGGAATGCGTGATGAGCTCAGAGGCACGTTGCAACCAAATTGCACCTCTTATGGACGAACACACAACCTACTGCTCACTCCAATTACAGCCATACGCAACGGTAACGCATCTCTTTCTGGTGTATGCTGTGCGCAAGCGTTGCATCATACTTTGCGCTACGGGCGAATCTCTTTTGAAACGCGTTGCCAATGTTGCTGGGGAATTGAGATGTTGCGATGCACGCGCTCACTGCGCCAGCATACGAGACGGATCAGCCACCCGCACTTGATTAGAGGCCTCTGGAAATATTCTCTTTTCCTGCACAACAAACTATGGACCCCTCTAAAAAGGAGCGATGTCGTTTCACAAGGCAGATTTCGCGAGAAAATTGCCGACCGCGTGTGTCGGAGACCGACCGACGGATTGCTGGATCGCGTGGCTGGGAGACAGCACCGGTTTGCGAGGTTTCCATCCAAATCATGGCCGATTATCAATTTCTTACTTACAAAAATCACTAAACGTGGTCTCATAACGAGTCTTTTTTAAAGTTAATGTTGTGTTTCTTTAACAGAACATGTGTGTGGACATCACGGCGTGGGCAAGTCGCGTAGCGGCTGGCGCAATGCGCTCAGAGGCCGGGAAAATTTCGAGTTCCATTCTCTGTCACGGACCACATCAGTGGCGAGCTATATTGTAATCTGGGCCACCCTCCCCATCAGCTCCCCTGCCCACTTCACCAACTCTTGGCTGACCGACGCGAAGTATGATCAAACAACCATAGACGACTAACACGGCATAGGCCGGGCCGCCATCTAGATTGAAAACTAATTGCTTTACAACTACTGCACTTTCCGTTCAGTTTGATTGCCCTTCCCGTGCTACCGTACGTAGCACGGTTGGCTACGTACGGTGCGCGAGAAGTTCTACATACATACACATCCAACAAAGGATCGACAAAAAGGTTGAGGTACATTCTAAATGATACGATAGAATTGTAGAAGAGGAGAGACGAGACGGCTCCGCTTACCCTGTGCTGCGCGCACGAATCGGCCACGGGCCCCAAACCCCGGAGCGCCTGCTCATCCATCGCAACACTGCCCATTTAACCGCTACGACGAGGTCGGTTGTCGTCTCCGCTGGTCCTGCGACACAAACAACACACGCAACAATGCTCGGCAACTCACACAGCAGCGAAAATTGACCATGTGGGGCCGATTGTTAAGTGCTGTTACTCAAGTCGCTATTGTAATTTCAGCTACCTAAAACGGTCTCTCGAACTGTAATTAACCCCAAGTAGTGATAAATATAAAACGAAAGCAGTAACTATGATCACTCAGCTTTAAAGACGTTAAACCCTCAAAAGCTGGACACCGCGACCACCCGGTGACTTAGGGGGCCTCGCCTGGATTTCAAACCGAGGCCTGAGTGTAGGCCCCTCGGTGACGGGACAGACGCCACCTAACCACGTTGCGTCGGGCGGCATTGACGCGTAAAAACTTCGCGCGTGGTTTTTTTTGTTTAAATCACGGCTTACACATCCACGCCAGCAGACGCCGCGCGCATTCCGTCCGCAGTTAACTTATCACGGCGAGACGAATAGATCGGGGGGAGTTCACTCACGGTTCACGTTAACCACGCGTGGTGGCCGCCATGTTTTAACGCGTGGCCCCCCCTCCCCCCCTCGTGCGCCACCGACACGCTCCGAATTCGGCCACCCGATTGGTCGAGACTTCCCGCCCACACTTGTTGGTGCACCGACCGTGATTGGTTCATTTGCGGGGACGCGTATGCGCGCATCCCATTGGCGGGTTCCCCGGTCACGAGGTGCGATGTCCGCGACCAACGGGCGGTGCTCTCGATGGGGGGAGGGGAGGGGTCAGAGGTTGAATGTTAATCGGTCGGTTAATGAGATTCGCCGATTAATTACTGATGGACATTAATTCTAGATTTGAAGCTTTCGTGACTGCAAGGATTCATATTCTTAGGTTTTTTCGGTAAAGTCACGTAGGTAAAACATTAAAATTAATTAAAAAAAATAAAATCACAACGTTTCGGAGGCAACACAAGCTTCCGTCTTTATTTTTTTATTAATTTTAATGTTTTATCTACGTGACTTTACCGAAAAAACCTAAGAATATGATGAACATTAGTTGGTGATCCATAAATAACGGTTTTTTGGGGGGTTAGATCGCGTAAATATGAACGTGTCTAAATTTCGATTTAAAGCTTTCGTGACTGCAGGGATTCATCTTCTTGGTTCTTTCGGTAAAGTCACGTAGAAGGGAAATAATAAAATAATATAAATTAAACATTATTTCCCTTCTACGTGACTTTACCGAAATAACCAAAAATATGAACGTGTCGTTAACCAAGTTGGTAAGGGTTGTCCCGTCAACAGAACGTGCCAATTCGTTATTCGTTCAACATCCCGGTGTGTGTCTAAACATGCGTTTAGAGGATTTGGCTGCTGCTATTGATGTCCACGTGATGAGCCACTTTGTTGGGCTACCATTTGTCGCCCAGGTCGCTTCTGAAAAAGAGCTACATAGCTCAGTGGGACTTACCTGGTAAAAACTAAAAAAAATCTTGAATATTTTATTACGGATATTATCAGAGCATGTTTGTTTGCATGTTCACCACAAGTACGTGTGGTTAATGCAGACTTGATTCCTTGCAAAATGGTTCTATTGGCGTTTGAACATCTTAACACCACCTGTTTTATGGCCAGAAAGGGTTAACCCTAACCTATATTTTTTAATACTTTGATACTAGCAAAAAAACTTCAAGCTGTGAATTGTTGGGGGCCACACTAAAGGCCACCGGGGCCACACTAAAGGCCACCGGGGCCACACTAAAGGTCACCGGGGCCACACTAAAGGTCACCGGGGGCCGCACTAAAGGTCACCGGGGGCCGCACTAATGGCCACCGGGGCCACACTAAAGGTCACCGGGGCCACACTAAAGGTCACCGGGGGCCACACTAAAGGCCACCGGGGTCGCACTAAAGGCCACCGGGGTCGCACTAAAGGCCACCGGGGCCGCACTAAAGGCCACCGGGGTCGCACTAAAGGTCACCGGGGCCAACCTAAAGGCCACCGGGGTCGCACTAAAGACCACCGGGGCCGCACTAAAGGTCACCGGGGCCACACTAAAGGCCACCGGGGTCGCACTAAAGGCCACCGGGGCCGCACTAAAGGTCACCGGGGGCCACACTAAATGCCTCTGGGGGCCGCACTAAAGGTCACCGGGGTGGCCCCCACTAAAGGCCACCGGGGGCCGCACTAAAGGTCACCGGGGGCCTCACTAAAGGTCACCGGGGGCCTCACTAAAGGCCACCGGGGGCCGCACTAAAGGTCACCGGGGGCCGCACTAAAGGTCACCGGGGGCCTCACTAAAGGTCACCGGGGTCCCACACTAAAGGCCACCGGGGGCCGCCAGTGGCCCGAAGAACGCTGCAATTCCAGGCATGGGTTTTGCTCGACTGCCCTCTGCTGTTGGAGAGATTTGCGGCCCTCTCCCTGTGAGTGACTTTGCCCCTCCACCGACATCCACGCAGACCCCGGATGTGGCTGCCCCGGATGTGGCTGCCCCCACGCACGCGCTGGAGGCTTCTGGGAAGCTCTCGTGATGGACTTTCTGAAAGCGGAGATAGTGAGGAAAAGGAAACTTATTGAGGATAAAAATCTCGTGGAGGTAACCCGCTCCCCCTCGTGCGATTGTTAACAACTAACACCGAGTTACACGTCTTGTCGTTGTTTGAGCTGTTAAAGTGTCAATCGTATTATTAAAGACGGCGTCACGCAAGGGGCCTAACGCCGCAGGCTTCTCTCGAATGTTAAGTCGCGACCGATTTTAATATTTTACCGCATTTAGTAATTTAGCAACAACAAAATAACGCGCGTGTGTTTGTGTGTGCGTGTTATAAAGTCGTGTTCGTTTCAATCGGAACGAAAGCTACGCACGCGTTAACTGTATGGTGTTCTACAGTACTGTACAGATGTGAGTTACATTTATTAGTTAAGCCACTAAAATACTGGACAGCAATCATTTGGCTCAACCACCTCGATGGGAAATGTGACTTTGATGTGTCGGATGTAAAATGTTTGAAGACGGAAGTTGAAAACGTGTTGCTTCAAACCCTTTATAAACATCTCCCAACGATAATAACAACAGCGGTACTGTACACGTTCAATATTCTAGTCGCCTGTTCAGAACATAGCATGGTGCGATTACCATAGACATCACTGGGTACAATATCTGTAGATTACACAAATAATAGTCAACAATTGTCACAGACAAGAATATAAGACAAATAGGCCGCCCTGGTTTCTTCTATGTGCTATGAAAGGCAAATTGTCCGTATTGTTACCGTCTGTCTCATAGTTTTGCGACGCAACGATCCATCTCGCTAGCTAGCACCAGCAACACCGGCAGATTTCATCTCTCAATCTCATAAGTGGACGATCGTACGAGCTCACTGCGCGCGTCTCCTTGAGAGAGGCCCGCATGGCGACTGTGTCCATGCCGCCAACACTGGTGGTGGGCCACGTTGTAGCCTGGGCGCCTCTTCAATGGAGCAAGAGTTAGAACCACACGAACTCCCTCGCCTGCAGCTACTCTCGGGGCTGGCAGGCCTCGACATTGGCATTGGGCTCTTGAACATGTGGGCAATGTGCAAGATTAGAACAGGAGTGCACGTACTCAACACTGGGTTCTTCTTTTAGCTGTCATGCTGTTGTATGTTTCGACAAGCTCTCATCCCATCTTAAGACATGTCCAGCCCAAGCCCAATTCAAAACTGCTGTCCCCTAACTTGCATATTTTCCGTATTATCTCAGTGTAAATACAAGTATTCACCGATCCATGCTTCTTTGCGCACTTTTCAGATGTATATATCTGTTTACATTGTACGTAAAAATCTCCTTGTGTGTTTTTTTGTTAACCAGGGAAACAAAAGGTACTTCAAGCGAGGTGACTTGGCAAAGAAAGAAGAGGAGGCATACTATGAGAGATGCGGCCTCAAGGTATGATGACCCTAATAATTCTTGATTCTTCCAATGCTTACAATTCTGCATCTTGTCAATTGGAGTACTCGTGGGCTTATGTGAAAGAAAACACAAGCTGACCGGACAGTCTATTAAGGGAGCCTCTATTTTGCTAGTGCATGGTTCTTCAACTAGTGGACCTGTCAGCCACATGTGGCCTGTGAAAGCTCTTGGAGTGGCCCGCCAAGATATATGGTTCACTAAGACAGAGATACAGATTAGTGCAATGAGAGTGAGACTAAACATCATAACTTATATATTTCACACTATGATGTCAAGTGGCCTGCTAGCTCATGCTAATTTTATCATGTGGCCCAACATAATATATTGTGAAATTACCCTGTGTTAGAGGATTCCACTGTGCAAGGGAATGTGCCCACAGAAACCCACATTAAAATATACACGTGCTTTCTAAACATCCCGATGTGGATTGAGAGTTATATTTGTTATTGAAATGCTGTATTGAAAGTATCTAATTGAGATTGTGGCCCAAGAACTATGCATATCCTGCTTATTGATATTGGTAAACTATGTGGTAATTTTCATTTTAAAATTTGTTTTGGAAATGTACTTTAAGTGAAAAAAAAATGTAAGTGTCCTCAGATGGATGGATAGACCAGTGGACATAATATTTCCACAACAGCAAATATAAAGGCCACTGATCCCTTTCAGAATTTCAATATGTTATTGCATATTTTGCTTTTACTTGACACCTTTTGGTAGAGATGTGGAAGCGGTGACTTGTAACTGCCAAGTGTGTTGATGTTGTGCCAACAGAGGGCTTCTCACAAGGCTGCCGAGGTATGGTAGCAGACCTCAGGCTGCTTATACAATTGGTTTTTATTTTATTCCTTTCCACTTGCTACAAATTCCTTTAACCAGTTACATGCCAGTTTGTTCTGTCAAATAGCCTTTGGATGGTTTGATAGTGTTTTTTTGTAAAGGCATGAAACTGTTTGAAGTAATTTTGTAGTTGCTTGCAGGAAAACATTTGCGATATTTATTCTGGCTGTTTTGGTTTGCAAGCTGTGTTTCTCGTTTTTTATTTTCATGATATCACATCTATGCTTTACGTTTAAGGAATGAATCTTATTATTTCTAGATTTGGCTGGCAGTTTCTACTTTCTCTTGTTTTAAAAAGAGAGCAGGAACTTCCATTCAAACAACTTCTATCGCGCGATGTGATTCGCACGCATGGACCATACAATAAGATTCCGGTGCAGAGAAGTAAGGAATGTTTAAGATGGTAATGTTGGTTGGCTTATTCAATATTTTTTAAATGTGAGTAAACTCCGTGTGTAAGGCTGTTCCACAAATGTATTGTAATATATAACTTATTTTCTGCTTGAAATTCATGTTTTGCATTAAACCATGTTCTTTTCTCACAATCGTTTATCTTGGGAACAATTTTAAATTACTATCAAATAATTTGCTTTGCTCAAAGGCTCAAATGTGAATGGGCAGTTCCACAAATGAGAAACCAACCTCACAGTTATAATTTAACAATCATATTATTCTTGAAGGTAATTGTAGAAAATGTGGCTTAACTTTAGGAATGAGACAATCGCGTACACAAAACTGAATGCACCATCCAACCTCCTTTCTGTCTTGAGTGCATCCGTCACCTTTATATTTTATGAGCATTTCCCCATTATCCAGAAAGGTGGACAATTCATTTTTTTATTGAATTGCAATCCTAAATTTTGGACATGGAATGCCACAGTAAAAGAGCCACATTGTGTTTTAATTATTTAATACCTCTGTCTTGAAAGTGTCTGAAATTGTGGAACTGCCCTGCTGCCACCGCCAAATAAAACCACAAATCGTCATATCAGTAAGTTTCACAATCTAGTTGCGGCTTTCTTACGGCAAAATTTACCAAATATAAGTTAAGGAGCTGATTACGAGAGAGATTGTAAAATAAACTAATACCATGGGTGCAATGTGTAACAGAAACAACCCCAGATGATGCCCAGTCAGCAGGAGGAGAAGGAGATTGCCACGAGCAGCATGATGGACATGGAGCTCATGGGGGAGAAGCTGCCTATGACGCTGAGCCGACAGGAGGTGCGTATTGACAGCGTGATGGTAGATTCTTTGTCATCAGCCAGTAACATCCCGCTGCTCGCCAAAGGCTCTCCTCACTTCCATTCCTTCTTTGGTCACTCCTGGCCGGTAGGGGACTCTGAACTCTTTGATGTCAACTCACCTTTTGTCTTACGCTGCCTTACTCTGCTTATTTTGCCATTCTGTCGGTCTCCACTCTGCAGTTACTTTTGTCCAGGTCGTGTCAGTTTTTGTTCACGATGCGCGCTGCCCATTTCCATTTGATTTATTTGCTTTGACAACAGCGTCGGTCACCTTTATTAATTTTTTGTCATAATATACCTTTGTTTATAACCAGATATAAAAAAAAACATGGAAACCCAGCAGTCTCTCAACCATGATTCTCATAATCCCATCATGACAACAAATACAAATGTAAATAATCATTTCAAAATAATGTTTTAATCATAATGACTACACATCTTAAACATGGCATGTATTCAATCTTGATTTGAAGCTTTCGTGACTGCAGGAATTCATACTCTCTGGTTCTTTCGGTAAAGTCTCGTCCCTGCAGGCCACAAACCCTCCCCCCTCTCCCCTGTGAACTCCAACAGCCAAACTCCTTCCCCCCCCTTCCCTCTCCCCTCCCGTGCCTATATAAAGCCACAACAGCAGATCATTTTTTTATCACCTGAAGACGGACGCTTGTGTTGCGACCAAAACGTCGTGTTTTATTTAATTTTATTTTATTCTATCTACGTGACTTTACCGAAAGAAGCAGAGAGTATGGCATGTATTGTTTCTGCACTACAAAATACACAAAAAACCGTGCCCATCGCTGGATGCTGACAACACGTGAACTGGGACCCGCGATGGACTGTGTCGGAGACAACATGGGGACAAGATGGCGCGCGTGTTCTTCCACGGCAGCGTCATCACGAGCATTGCAGCCACCATGCGTAGAGAAATCTCGCGGTCAACTGCTCATGATTGAGCCACAGGAGCACGATCGGCGAACAATACTTCAATAAATTTTATGCGAATGGTCAAATCCGCAATGGGAAAACCCACGATAGGCAAGTTTTTGGCGTAATACACTTAATTTTGTGGAAGCGGGAGGGGAGGGAAGCCTGGATAAAACAAATACAGGTATTGCAAAAGATATACGAATTAAGTGATAAAAACATGTTCTTTTACCTACATAGAACGGGTGTGAAGACGTAGAATGTGGTCATTATTCCACATGGAAATGCACTGAACAAAGTACATATAATTTAACCTGGGGAAAATGTAACAATTCTGAAAGTTATTCTTATAATGCCAAAATCGCACGTTTACATTTATTTGTCGACGTTTGCAGCATTGGGTCAGTGACCCGTGACGAGTGAGGAGAAGCGGCTGACAGTGGAACCAGCACCTCCGAATAATATTTATTCGTTTGTAATCCACCACCCGGATAATCGCGACCACAGGTAATTGGATAGCCAACAACTGTGCGTGATTACTATTCTTGTGCGCGATTACTATTCTTGTGCGTGCTGTGCAAACGCTCTCTCCGCAGGTCATCAAGCGACTGCGAGAGCGGGCAGAGCCAATCCGGCTCTTCGGCGAGAGCGACTATGACGCGTTTCAGCGGCTGCGCAAGATCGAGATCCTCGCGCCCGAAGTTAACAAAGTACGTGAACCCGTGTTCTATATAAGCTATAAACGTTTTATTTCATCTGGTAAGGTCCACTGAGCTATGCAGCTGTTTTTCAGAAGCGACATGGCTATCACAAATGATAGCTCAACGAAGTGGCTTATGATGTGGGCATTTATTCCAGCCAAATACTCTAAATGCATGTTGATTCTAATTGTGGAGGGAAAAATCAGAGGACCTGGAGAAAAATACAATCACGGGGAGAACATGGAAACTCCAAAATATACAGGCGCCATGGTCGGAATCGAACTCACGACCTCTTGTATAACAAGCGAGGTAGTTAGCGTCTCGCCACCCGTGGTTAAACCGGGTTCCCACTGGCAGTGGGTTGACGAAAAACCCCATAGTTACATTTGGTTTCGTCACTTAATTTGGCTGAATTTCAGCTCTGAGAATTCAATGTTAAATTTTATTGGCATTCGGTGATCACTTTCTGCAAGGTGTGTTATTCAAAGTGGGTGACAAAGTGATTTATTAAAGAAATTTCATGAGTTGTTTGCAAAGTCATCTAATGGGGGCGTTCTCTGACACAAGGTGATGCTCTGGTAGCTGCTTAGTTCTGATAGCGCAGCTTTACTGATGACATCGCTAGCACATTTGGTTGAGATTTGGGGCAAAAACTAAATAAAATCCATCAAAATATTTATTGCAACTTATTTTCCATTTAAATAGCATTGTACTTTTACATACAATGAAATGTTTGCGTGTAGTGTTCACTTTTACTCAGTGACTTTAGTTATAGTTTTATTTTTGCCACTTCTACAATTGTGCTCTTGGGTCTTTTGTTATGAGACGGTTTTAAGTTTTCACAGAGTGGTGCGTCGTCCCGTGGAAACAGATTTCACAGATCTTTTGATCTCAACTCAATGAAAATAATTGTTATAACGTAAAGCGCTTTTGTCAATCCACTGCTAGTTGAAGGCCTCTCCACAACGTGCCGAGATGTGAACTACCTCGCTGTGGTATAGGTCGTGGGCTCGATCCCGACCCTGATGCCTGTTTTTTTGGAGTTTCCGTGTTCTTGTGGTCGTGTGGATTTTTCTCCAGGTCGTTCGGGTTTTCTCTCTACATTTAGAAAAATGCGTTTGAGTATTTGACTGCTTTAAATGTACACGTGATAAGCCACTTCATTTGGCTATATTTTGTGGCCAGGTCTCTTGTGGAAAATAACTCTATAGCGCAGTGGGCCTTACCCCGCTAAAACAGTTGTGAGGGTTGTTTGAGCGTACTTCATTCTGGCCAATGCTGGGTTGGTGATAGGGAGGCCCAGAACGGTGTAAATATAAATCGCCACCGATGTTTAGCCGTGGCCTGGCATTTTTATAACACACTGTTGTCAACCAACGACACCAACATTTTCTTGACTTTACCGAAAGACCCGTAGAATATGTATTCCTGCAGTCATGAAAGCTTTAAGTCAAGATTTTCTCCACCCACCACTGACACTGCTGTACCTCATCATTCCAGTAAGGGGGCGCATGTCCCCCATGCGCAGGCCTTGTGGTGGGAAACGTTTGTCACGTGACCAACGAACCAGCCAGCCACTGCACTTTACGACTCTTTGCGGATACGTACATGGGCAGCCCTTTTTGTTAATCCACTGCTGGATGAGGACTTCCCCCACACTGCGGATTGTGGGAGTTGTTCGACAGTGCTTGCACCACGCTGGTCGCTGTGGGTTGGTGAATGTTGGGTAGCACGCACGTGGACACGTAGAAGTGCAGTACCACAATGGGTTTTGCTCCACTGCCTTCTGCCACCCACCACCTAGTTCTTCAGCCTATAACACCTGTTACACATGTCAGGACAATCATCCAGAGTATTATCAACTCTGCTTAGATTCAGAGAATTTGACTAAATTGAATGCATTCTGGGTACTTTATTCACATGCAGAAGATGTTATTCATAAGCACATCTGGTGTTTACGGCATACCGATAGCTGAAAAGTCATCACGAAGGCGTGAGGGTAATAACTAATGCGTCAGAAATACACAAAGATGACTTGTTCACCAAATAATTAAAATAACGCTTTCGTCGCAGTCAGCCGAATTGCTACATGTTTGAACTATCCTTATGTTGTTGCACATAGAAGAAGAAAAACTGATGATGCAGGCAGTGATGAGAAGGAAACTGGCACCGATTTGGACACATGTAGGATGGACAGGTAAATTAAAAGTGTTGTTATGCCGCTAAATGGAAAGAACCAGAAAGAGAGGAAGACCTAACAGCGAATGGTTTCACGACGACATGAAAGAGATTGGTGCCAGAAAGATGTGCGCTATTTGAGCATGACAAAATGTGCAGTGGACACCTGTCCATGGATTGTGATGATGATTTGTCTTTGCTGACATTCTCGTCAAGCCCACGGCCGGTCCAATCGCCCGGTGTTCTTTCCACCTCTGCGGTGCAGGGTTTGAGAAACGACTTGAAGACAGCCATGGACAAGATCGACCTGCAGTACCTCAACGAGTTGGCGGCCGGGCAGGAGACGGAGGAGGAAGGTCAGAACGACCTCAAGGTGCAGGAGGAGAACACCACCATCGAAGAGCTGCAGGTGAGTGTCGAGGTGGCTGGTGGTGGATTGCGTTTCACATGCCTCATCTTGGTTCTGAATTTGTGATGGAAAACTGAATTCATAAGTTGGTATACTTGCCAGCCACAGTGTACGCCCGTTTAAATATGAGGCCATCTTAACAGTTTAACGACCTGGTAATTTGGAGTTTGTTGACACACAGGTGTGATTGTGAGCGTGACATGGCCTTGCTCGTGTGACATGGCCTTGCATTGAAAACAACATAGATTTGTCCAACAAGACAATTGGACAAATCTGGATAACTCTACAACTCGTGCATGTTTTATTATGCTTGTTTATGCAGGAAAGCCCTACTGAGCCTCATGACTCTTTGTCAGGAGGATCTTGCTAAGTTTTCGCAGTCGGGGTGGGGGGAATGGCGATGATTGTTCTGTATATTCCTCTTGAGTAATTTGCAGGAAGTTATCTATTTTGTGCAAATCTAGACGACAATGCCAGCACACAGGGGCCCCTCACCGTGCATGAACGTTGTCACGGCCTAAACAAATTAAACTTCACCTTAACGTCCGCTGTGAAGCAGATGGCACGTATTTGTACGGTTTGATGCACCCGCGATATTAATTACTCACTTGTTTCCAGCCCGCATGTGCTTTTCTGTCTGAGTTTCCCATAATTTTCAACAGCAATAAATAGAATTGGTCTACGAGTTATCTTTGCCGGCACAAAATGTGTTAGAAGCTGTTACGATGAATTTTGGATAGTAAATTATAAAAGGAACAGACAAGGCTGTTTGACCATGTAAAAATTTAATTGCATTTTTTCCCATCAGCCTGTGGAGCCTTATTAAAACCCAGTGTCCATAAACATTAGATTTTTTATGTTTTTTCATTTTCCAACATTGCAAAAAAAATACAGTAGTCGGGAAGGCCAATAGACTGATGGACCAAAAAGTTTATTTTCATTTTAACATCAGAAAAGCCAAACTTATCTCTCCTGTTAATGTGTAGCAATGTCGTTATAAAAATATGCAAACTGTCTCTCAATTTACTCTGGTTATACAACAACCCTCCGCCATTGTTCACAAGAGAGAATGTCTTCATAACGACATTGTGGGTGAGAGTTTAAGAATGTGGCCATGTTTATAACGCACGCTTTGCATGCATGAACTTGAGTAAGGACGCTGACTGCGGTGCTACTTTCAATGTCGTTTTCTAACAGGAATTGGGGAAAACTCTGGGCACAGAAAACGACCACCAGGACATGGACCTGATTCTGAAAGTCTTAAAGGTATGTCATTGAGACAAAATGTTTGGGCACACCAACAGCCACACGTCTCAAATTAGATATCCCTATACCACGATGGCAATGTTATATATTTTCTCATGCATAAATATCAAACACAAGCGTGTAACTGTTCTGTATTTCCCTCTAGCTGTTTGGTGAATTGTGATGATATGGGATCATGAACAGCTTTAGAAACCAATTCTTATTTGTCTCGTTTATGTCGTCTCATTTGTTCTATTGGTATTTACACTGTCCTGTTTGTTTTGTCTGTCCTGCACGTTCTGTCTATATTATATCTGTACCGTTTTGTTTAGGACCGTAGCATAGACCCGTTAGAATGGGTGCTACGTACGGTGCGAAAGAAGTTCAACATGCATGCATACATGCATAGATGCAATAGAATATGAGTTCGGTAATGGGTGTCGCCGCGCTGCGTTTTGCTGCCCGCTGCCCCTTAACCCTCTCTGCCTGCCGGGGGGGGGGGGGGGTACAGTTCCTGCTGGGCAGCTGGGCTAAGGAGCTGAACAGCCGTGAGGAGCACGTGAAGAGAGGCGTGGCGGGGAAGCTGGCCAGCGCCACGCACAGCCAGACCGAGGCCTACCTGCAGCCGCTCTTTCGCAAGCTCCGCAAAAAGGTTGACCGCTGCCCTGCAGCCCTGGCCTCGCCTGAACTGGCCAGGCCCACCCCCCCACCCCCCCCACCCCCCGCCCCCCACCACACACTCGAGCGCGTGGCAGCGTGAATCGACGCCGTTTTTATCTTCTCGGTTTTATTTGAAACGCCAAAATAAATCGTCTGGTCAACATTACAAGCCAGGGAATGCAAAATGAGCAAGTGAACCCCCAAATATTTATTTAGGCAATCACCATACGCTTTAGATATAGTTTTACAGTTTTTCATTCAAGTTACATTTTGATAAGATCATTTATAAGACGGGTGCTGGGGGGGGGTGTTCATGTTAGAGACATTTAATTCATGAATTCAGCAGCAATGGGTGTTTCATGTTCAATATAAAAAAAGAGTGGGGGATACTTTTTTTTTACTTGGAACTCTTCACTGCGGTAGTTTTGGGCAAGTTGGAATAACGCCATCGAACAGAATTCCAGCAACAGCAATGATGACAACAGCCGATGGCAACATTTGTCAATTGAGTTGCGCAATGCTTCATACGGCTGCACTGCATTGCCCTTTTGGGTCTTCCCCTTGAGCGTGTTCTGTGTTCTGACAGCTAATGCCGTCACTGCTCTCGCCACGAGGTCATTGTTCCTCTTAGCGACGTCTTTCCCCGACTCGGTGTGCGCTTTGTTGGTCACTGTAATGTGAGGTTCGCGAGCTGCAAGGACGGTTGCCTTTTGAATTATTAATGTGACACACGCCTCTGTTGTGGTTTGTGTACGTGCATGTGTGTGTGCTCGTGTGTGTGCTCATGTGTATGGGGAGCGGTGGTGTTGCGGTTAGCGCGCTGCGCTCTGAACCCGGCCACCCGAGTTCGATCCCCACTCGCATCCAACGCCAGTGACGATTATCATAACCGGTCCTGGGCCTCCCTTAGGTCGACTCAGCCTCAAATTAGTACCTGGTGCGATGTGTAAACAGCAGCACTGTGGAGACAAAGGTGACTGGGTGTGGTTTGGCTCCCCACCCCATCGTGAAGGCACTGGAGCTATGCAGTTTTAAATTTAGATTGAAAATTAATTTTTGTATAATTGCTTTTTGTGTTTAGTATGTTGCCCTTCCCCCGCACTCCCGATGAGCACGGTTGGCTACGTACAGTGTGAAGGAAGTTCAACATACAGGTGCTTGCTAATGGCACTTGCCCCAAAATTATGTTAATGATTTATGGGGGAATCTTTGTCTTTGTGTGTGTGAAGAATCTGTCATCAGACATCAAGGAGTACCTCACGGACATCACCAAGTTTGTGCTGCAGAGGGAGTATGTGAAGGTAATCCCGAGACACGGACCCCACAGTTCTGTTTCCCTGAGGACAAGGGAGTCTGCAGCACGAAGGGCCGGGAGAAAGGAGAATGAGCGACCTCCAACTGAGCGGCGACAGTTAACCGGGGAATTTGATAGAAAGCCTTGGTTGATGGAGCTGAGAGTACGTGGAGGGGAGTAGTGTTAGATGAGAGGGGAGCGGTACGAAAGTGCGTGGTGGGGAGTAGATAGCGATCAGAAGGGAGAGGTCGCAGATTGCCTGGGGAAGAGTTAGAGAGGAGTAGAGTCAGGTTAGCATCTATTTATACTGGAGGAATCTGATGAGCTCTAAAGTTATTTTGCACAGATGTCCAGTAGATGACCAGATGAGAGGGGAGAGGTCGACAGGGGTGATTCCATGGAGGATCTTAAAAAAAAGTGAGTGCAATCTCAAAATGATCCAGGGTCAGAGCATCGGTGCGATGTGGTCTCCTGTTACAGGTGCCGCATTCTCATCGCCACACCCACCTCCGGCTGCAAACTTAAACCTTCCTGCGCGCGCGTCCCCCTAACGTTGTTTCCTTCGGTGGGTGGTGGGGGGGCCCTGGCAGGCCAACGATGTGTACCTGCAGATGGCCATTGGCAACGCCCCATGGCCCATCGGGGTCACCATGGTGGGCATCCACGCCCGCACGGGTCGCGAGAAGATCTTCTCGAAGCACGTGGCGCACGTCCTCAACGACGAGACGCAGCGCAAGTACATCCAGGTGAGCGCGACGGCACCCACGGTCGCACGTTCGCCTGTAGCCCGCTCGCGCGTAGCCCACGCCCAGAACGGACGACAACGTCATTGTGAATTCGGTTTATGATAAAGTTGGTCGTAACTCTGGCATTGGGTGCTGTAAAGTTACAAAAATGTTACGAGTGGCATTGACCGTTTATAGACATCCCACCGATTAATAATGAAACTGTTTCTCCTTCAACGGGTGACTGAATTATTGTGAAAGCGATGGCTCCATGTCTTAGAGGAGACTCAAATCTGTAAATGACGATAAAGCCCCATCATAGCAGAATCGCAGCGCAAGCCGGAAAACCATACGTGTCGAACAACACACAGAAATGTGTAAAAAGTGCAATCTTTATGCATCATGATAAAACCATCGGCGGTTCCTGAATAAGTGCACTGTGGGCCTCTTGTCTGTTCATAGTTCATCAGATTGTGAGTCGATGTGACTAACTGATAGCAGCAGTGAAGCCACGATAGTCGGTCACATTTGCTCAAATGTATTGATGACCTCAGAATAGGACCACAATGCACGTGTTCAGGAAATGCTCATCGTTTTTTTTTGCATAATGCACAGATACTGTGTGTTTTGTACACATTTTTGCGTGTTGTTTTAATCTTCGAGGACAGTTTTGAAAGATTTAGCATATTTATTGAGACTCATGGGAGACATCAGAATCAGATCATTTATACTGGAGGAGGAATCCGATGAGCTATAAAGCGTTTTTTTCACAGATGTCCAGTCGGGGCGGGTCATAACATTACAAACAAATCACTTAAAGATATACATATAAAACTAAACTATGTTTTATCTTCCCAGGTAAAGCCCACTGACATGGAACGGGTCCGAAAGAAAATGTTGTTTGGCCATATTGCATCCCTATTATTTTAATGACTTATCTATAAATGAATCGCCCTGTATTCACACACAATGCATGCATGCTCGCGTAAGCCTCGTTTTATCACCAAGCGAGCGCCAATATTCATGCCTTGCAAGACAGATCTGGGGCACAAATAAAGAAGGCAGGATGCACGTAACGCATTGCATAAAGAGGAATATCTCAATCGTAAATAACCGACAAAAGTGAGATTAAAGCGCCATTATCGAAAGCAATAAAACTTTAAGTACAAAGTAAACAACAATCTTACGGCCTTATTTGTTTAACGAATGAGGTGCAACGGATCAGTGCAAGGTTCCAGCACCGGCCACCCACGACATTAAGTGAGCGTCGTTGCACAGTCCACGGCACAAGCACCCTGGGAGATGGCCTTTATCGCCATGGTAGCGAGACGTTAACTATCTGGCCTGGTTTACGGGATGTCATGGGTTATATCCCGACTCTGATACCTGTATATTTGGATTTTGCATCTCTCTCCCCGTGGTCACATGGATGTTTCTCCTGTGTCTTCCGGTTTTCCCTCCAAATTTAGAAATGTGCATTTAGAGTATTTGGCTGCTATAAAGTTCCACGTTCCATTTCGTTGAGCTATCATTTGTGGCCGGTCGCTTCTGAAAAAGAGCTATGCAGCTCAGTGGGCCTTACCTGCTAATTAAAGAATGCTTAGTTTAATCCCGCACCACGTGGATTATGGCCGATGACAAAGAATGCATTCTTGCGACTGGTAACGGACGTCGCCTGCTTTCTCTGTCGGCTTTTACGTCACACCTCGTGTGGGGCACATTACTCGGTGCGTCTGCAGCTCCGACATCTTACATCATCGGGGAGGCGGGGGGTGCCCTGCCGTAGGGAGGGTAGATCCAGAGGAGACGGAGCAAAGAAATGGGTTCGTGCGCACTCCGCTGGTCGATTATCACATCCCAGGATCGCGAAAGATTGCAGAGGCCTTCGTCCGGCAGCGGATCGATCCTGGCCGATGATGACGGACTGTGTTTTGCGAGCAGCCGATCGACGTCGTTGCGATTGTCTCTCTTCCACAGGGGCTGAAGAGGCTGATGACCGTGTGCCAGAGGAATTTTCCCACCGACCCCTCCAAGTGTGTGGAGTACAAGGCTCTCTGAACAGATGCCAGCCTCTCCATCCAAATCTCCCACCCCCCCCCCACCTTCTCTTGTAAATGTACCCGACCGCATTACCGTATTTATTGTAAATGTATCCGGCCGCGTTACCGTATTTCTGTTGGATGGCGGCCACCCGCCCTCGAGAGCGCGCGGCGAGATGCCCACCACCCGGATTGGCTACGGGAGCTCGCGCTGCGTGAACACATTAAAACTCTCCGGCGGGGAGGAGGAGGTTACCAAAGCTCGGTCTATTTCTGGTCACTTCCCTTTTTTTTTTTTGCAAAATAAAAAAGGGAATGAAGAGATGGCCATAGTGTGCTTGGGAGAGAGACGGGGTAAATGTAACGCGCGCTGATAAGGTAAGGAGTCTTAAAACATCTGTAGGATGTAGGTGTATTGTGCACGTATGAGGCGTTTCCGTGGTTCAAGCCCACTCGCTCACAGCGATTTGATGAATCGTCACGGTTTCGAGGTTGTGCTTGGTCGCATTTGATGTTTTTTTCTTTGTGCCAGTCTCCCTCGCTCCATCAGCCTGCATGTAACGCGACGAGCAAATCATTTTATTAACGTTTCTCACCATTGTCATCAAAATGTTTGTAAACCTTTTTGTATATGATTGTTAATAGTTTCACGCTCATCTGTGCACGTGCTGTGAGTGTAATCGATTTTTGTCAATTGGTGAATCTTTTCACGTGTGACATGCGTGTGCGCATTACACATGTACACACGCGCACACACGTGTAAAGTCTTGGGCTTTCCCAAGAAATAACTACCAGGATGTGACTGCACACGTCTTGAATAAAAACACTTGGAAAATTCGTCAGTAACACTGTGTGGCCTTAAACGTAAAAGTATGTAATAGGTGACGTTTCGGGTAATGATCCACCTTCATGGCACACGTCTTGAACAGACAGGTGGCTGTGGGCTTGAATCGTCCGATGGCTAACGTACCAATGCATCGCACGTCAACGCACACGCTGCAGTACGCTTCTCAACGCTTGTGGTGCTGTGATAGGTGCTTGCTAAAACACGTCCTGAATTCACCACTGGGTGGGATAGATGCATTTAAACAAAAACATCTTGAGTAGAAATATTTAACTTGCATTGATTTAGATTGCAAACTAAATTAACCTTTTCACCAGTTATGCAACGAGCCTTTGGCCTTCAAGGAAAAGATACTGAAATGTAAACTGTTGGTATATTTTGGTATAAATGTAGTTAAACGTGTTTAATAAATGAAGAAATTTGGAGATATCGAGTACGTATTGTAAATACTATGGCAAGTTCGGCATTTAACGTGTCCAATAAAACAAGAGGTTGCTTAGTGTTGTTCCAGGTTGGTGTTGATAACTTAGTAGTTTTTGTTCGTGCACGCACGCTCGCTCAACACGAGGAGGCAAAATGCGTTCATCGTTTCTGTCGTGCGAGCGTGAGAATGTCCGTGGCCACACCCGTGGCTATTGTCTCGTGTGCGCGCGGAGGCGCAGAAAAATTCACCCACTCCACGATTTGAGGAATGTGTTACCACTGTCTCACCCTCGCACCTCCGGTTAGCATACGGTGCGAAAGAAGTTCAACGTACACGAGGAAGGGGGCGCCACGGTGGCGAGATGTTAACGACCTCGCCTGGAATACAGGAGGTCGTAGGTTCGATCCCGACCCTGACGCTGTATATTTGACATGTTCTCCCTGTGGTCGCGTGGATTTTTCTGCGGGTGCCTTAGGCTTTTCCCTCTACGTTTCTAAACATGCGTTTAAGAGTATTTGGCTGATATACATTTACACGTGATAAGCCACTTGAGCTATCATTTGTGGCCAGGTCGATTCTTAAAACGAGATACATACCTCAGTGAGCCTTACCTGGTAACAGAAAAATATATAGAGACTTGGGGGGGGGGGGGGGTATTGCACTCATTCGCTAACTGGTCCAAAACCATCAACTCTGTCCACGCTTGAGGGCCCGTGTTTAAATCACGGGGCTTGAACTCGGCAACCTCGGTGGTGACCGGGCTGGCCGCTTCCCACGGAGACGAGTTCAGAGTGCGAAGAGAAAGTTTCCTTTCTAACGAAACCAGTTTGACTAAAACCATTTCGGAAATTGTTGAAAATTGTCACCCACTTGGCAATGGCAGCTCAAGGCGTGTTTGGTCAATCGCGGATTCGTTCCACCGATTTGTTTGGTCGTGCAGTTTGGCACGAAGGGTTTCCAAATCGCCGTGGGGGTGGTGAACGGCGAGTTGCGCGTCGGTTGCGACGTGGCACAGTGAACCCTACAAGGGAAGGTCTTTGTGCGAGTTTGTGTACCCCAACGTGTCCTTGGAGAGCAATAAGTGGGGCCAAATCTTAACAGCGAAGTTGACCAATAATGTTTTAACCAGGGCGGTGTCGTTTTATTAACTTCCAGTATATGAAGCAATTGTCGATTTGTGTATATATATAAGTTGTGATAAAGACTAAGAATGATCTGTATAAATTATGGACACAGCTTCCTGACCCATGAGCTCTGCCTTGAGACCGGGGTCATGCAGCGAGTTATTACATCGGGGCATTACATTCTGCCCTCTCTCTGAGTGTGTATTTGTGTTTGTGCTGACGTTATAGTTAAGTGGTGTTGACGTGTTGAGCACCTCAGGCGTCATTGGCAATGAAGTAATCAGCTCAAGTGATACAGCAATTTATCCCATTTATATTGCTGCTGGATGAACACCCTCCCCATGCCGCGTTGATCGTGGGTGTTGCTTGGCCATACCTCGCCACGCCGGTCGCTCCGGGCTGGCGGTGGTGGCTGGTCAGGAACGCTCCCGAATGATCACTCGCCACTGATGTTAGCCGCGCCCGGAGACGGTGGGGACCTCCGATCGCCAAGTGCCCAACCCACGATGCCGCCGCTGCTTAACAGATCCATCCACATTCGCGCCCACCCCACGATTATATCACCAGTGCGCCGCGGCGTTCTCGCAGACCTCGTCCAATTTCACCGTCTTTTATTTAACAAGCGAGCATTCGACACCTCCGATTAGCACGCGTGGCTACGTACGGCGCGAAAGAAGTTCAACATACAGTGCGGCAAAGACGTTTGCGATTTTTTTTGTGTGTGTGTCTTGCCGGCGCCAGAAAGACTTGTTTCTGCTCATCGCTCGGGGCGGTTCGGGAGTCGCAGAGAAGCGAGCTTTCACAATGCCGTCGAGCGGGGGGTGGGTGTTCGTCTATTTAGCCTGTGGTGAAAATAGTGGCTTCCCTCCCCCAACCCCTACTTGCTGAGCCAAGCAAGCGTCTCTCATTAAGGTCACGACAACAATTATTGGAGCCATGGGGGTGGTGCTGTTGCTAGGCGCAGCCGTTCAAAGGGAGGGGGAAAAACCAGGGCCAGGTGTGGTCACGTGGCCAGGTGTGGTCACGTGGCCAGGTGTGGTCACGTGGCCAGGTGTGGTCACGTGGCCAGGTGTGGTCACGTGGCACGGCTGTGTGCCTCTTCTCTCGTCGTCGTCTTCGTCGCAGCGGCCCCCCGTGCCAAAGCGCGTGCCACTGATCCGTCTCGCCGCAGCTGTTGAGCGCGCAGGCGGTGCAGCTGCGCCAGTGACCGGCGGGAGTGATTCCATACACACATACACACATACACACATACACACACATACACACATACACACATACACACACACACATACACACACACACATACACACATACACACATACACACATACACACATACACACATACACACATACAAACATACACACATACACACATACACACATACACACATACACATACACACATACACACACATACACACATACACACATACACACGATGATCGTGAAATTCAATTGACGGCTTTTGGCCTTGATATCAGAAATTTGCGCTGTTTTTTTTCCTGCACAATGATTCTCTCATTCGTGCTTTCATAGCTGTCAACCCATACGATGTTTGACTCCGTGTTCTTGTGCAGCGAAATTGAGTTTTCAGGTCCATAGGGCGTACAGCCGTTTCAATGCGGGAACACAATGTGTACGTCTGTTTGTTTGTGTTTCTCCCTTGTGATGGCACTTTGTAGGGTGAACGTTGAGATGTATAAGGGCACGGGGTAACCAATAATGTCTGATACTCTTAGGTTTTTTCGGTAAAGTCACGTAGGTAAAACATAAATGATAAAATAAATAATAAAAATAATAGAAAAAATAATAGAAATAAGTGATTTATTATGTTATTTATATATTTTTTTCTATTATTTTTATTATTTATTTTATAATTAATTTTTTTACCTACGTGACTTTACCGAAAAAACCTAAGAGTATGAATTCTTGCAGTCACGAAAGCTTCAAATCAAGATATAATGTCTGAATTGGTCAGTAATAAGGTAGGACACTGACCAGGGGTTGACAGGTGTGAGATTCTCGTTACCAAGCCCCTGTTGGACCAAAGTAAACACACACAGACACACGTATTGCCCTGTGTTGCAGGCAAAGTAAACACAATAAATCAAGTGTAAGGTGGGCACCCTGACTTTTGGACTTTGCTTGACATTTACAAGAGGAATGACGTTACGTTGTTAATTATTTGCAACCGTTACAAAGACTTTCAATTGTTCATTATCGCCAAAGCCTGTACAATAATATAAAGCGGTTTAAAAGTAAGAGTTTTTTCCGTCGCGCATTCAAGACGTGACGCGAGTGTGAGATGTAGTCACGGCACTTGTGACGACAGTGCTGTGAGAAGAGCACAGCAACACGATCACAAGTTCGTCGCCTGCGCACTCTGAGCACTGCCAACCCCACTCAGCCAAAAGGTCGAAGGGGCAATGTTAAGAGATAGGGAACCGGTTACAATAGAAAGTCTATGGGGCAATGTTAAGAGATAGGGAACCGGTTCCCATAGAAAGTCTATGGGGCAATGTTAAGAGATAGGGAACCGGTTACAATAGAAAGTCTATGGGGCAATGTTAAGAGATAGGGAACCGGTTACAATAGAAAGTCTATGGGGCAATGTTAAGAGATAGGGAACCGGTTCCCATAGAAAGTCTATGGGGCAATGTTAAGAGATAGGGAGCCGGTTCCTACAGAGAGTCTATGGAGCAATGTTAAGAGATAGGAAGCCGGTTCCAACAGAAAGTCTATGGGGCAATGTTAAGAGATAGGGAACCGGTTCCAATAGAAAGTCGATGGGGCAATGTTAAGAGATAGGGAACCGGTTACAATAGAAAGTCTATGGGGCAATGTTAAGAGATAGAGAACCGGTTACAATAGAAAGTCTATGGGGCAATGTTAAGAGATAGGGAACCGGTTCCAATAGAAAGTCTATGGGGCAATGTTAAGAGATAGGGAACCGGTTCCTATAGAAAGTCTATGGGGCAATGTTAAGAGATAGGGAACCGGTTACAATAGAAAGTCTATGGGGCAATGTTAAGAGATAGAGAACCGGTTACAATAGAAAGTCTATGGGGCAATGTTAAGAGATAGGGAACCGGTTACAATAGAAAGTCTATGGGGCAATGTTAAGAGATAGGGAACCGGTTACAATAGAAAGTCTATGGGGCAATGTTAAGAGATAGGGAACCGGTTACAATAGAAAGTCTATGGGGCAATGTTAAGAGATAGGGAACCGGTTACAATAGAAAGTCTATGGGGCAATGTTAAGAGATAGAGAACCGGTTACAATAGAAAGTCTATGGGGCAATGTTAAGAGATAGGGAACCGGTTACAATAGAAAGTCTATGGGGCAATGTTAAGAGATAGGGAACCGGTTACAATAGAAAGTCTATGGGGCAATGTTAAGAGCTAGGGAACCGGTTCCAATAGAAAGTCTATGGGGCAATGTTAAGAGATAGGGAACCGGTTACAATAGAAAGTCTATGGGGCAATGTTAAGAGATAGGGAACCGGTTACAATAGAAAGTCTATGGGGCAATGTTAAGAGATAGAGAACCGGTTACAATAGAAAGTCTATGGGGCAATGTTAAGAGATAGGGAACCGGTTACAATAGAAAGTCTATGGGGCAATGTTAAGAGATAGAACCGGTTCCAATAGAAAGTCTATGGGGCAATGTTAAGAGATAAGGGAACCGGTTACAATAGAAAGTCTATGGGGCAATGTTAAGAGATAGAGAACCGGTTACAATAGAAAGTCTATCTGGGGCAATGTTAAGAGATAGGGAACCGGTTCCAATAGAAAGTCTATGGGGCAATGTTAAGAGATAGAGAACCGGTTACAATAGAAAGTCTATGGGGCAATGTTAAGAGATAGGGAACCGGTTCCAATAGAAAGTCTATGGGGCAATGTTAAGAGATAGGGAACCGGTTCCAATAGAAAGTCGATGGGGCAATGTTAAGAGATAGAGAAACGGTTCCAATAGAAAGTCTATGGGGCAATGTTAAGAGAAGGGAACCGGTACAATAGAAAGTCTATGGGGCAATGTTAAGAGATAGAGAACCGGTTCCAATAGAAAGTCTATGGGGCAATGTTAAGAGATAAGATAGGGAACCGGTTACAATAGAAAGTCTATGGGGCAATGTTAAGAGATAGGGAACCGTTCCATAGAAGTCTATGGGGCAATGTTAAGAGATAGGGAACCGGTTACAATAGAAAGTCTATGGGGCAATGTTAAGAGATAGAGAACCGGTTCCAATAGAAAGTCTATGGGGCAATGTTAAGAGATAGGGAACCGGTTACAATAGAAAGTCTATGGGGCAATGTTAAGAGATAGGGAACCGGTTACAATAGAAAGTCTATGGGGCAATGTTAAGAGATAGGGAACCGGTTCCAATAGAAAGTCTATGGGGAAATGTTAAGAGATAGAGAACCAGTTACAATAGAAAGTCTATGGGGCAATGTTCGAGGCGATTTGAAAGCCGTCGGCGCTGAGGGTCACCACCGCCGGGGGTCACCACCGAGGGTCATCACCGGGAGTTACCGCCGGGGTTCACCACCGGGGGTCATCACCGAGGGTCATCACCGAGGGTCACCACCGAGAGTCACCGCCGGGGGTCATCACTGGGGGTCATCGCCGAGGGTCACCGCCGGGGGTCGCCACCGAGGGTCACCACCGAGGGTCACCGCCTGGGGTCACCGTCGGGGGTCACCACCTGGGGTCACCACCAAGAGTCACTACCGAGGGTCACCACCTGGAGTCACCGTCGGGGGTCACCACCTGGGGTCACTACCGAGGGTCACCGCCTGGAGTCACCGTCGGGGGTCACCACCTGGGGTCACCACCGAGAGTCACCACCTGGAGTCACCGTCGGGGGTCACCACCGAGGGTCACCGCCTGGAGTCACCGTCGGGGGTCACCACCTGGGGTCACCACCGAGGGTCACCGCCTGGAGTCACCGTCGGGGGTCACAACCTGGGGTCACCACCGAGGGTCACTGCCTGGAGTCACCGTCGGGGGTCACCACCTGGGGTCACCACCGAGGGTCACCGCCACCGCCGCCGTCGTCGTCCGCGAAGTCGGCGTGGACCGCGCATCCGGCCTCCCGCCCCGGCGAGAAATGTGCACGCGATGCATTTCACTTCTTTTTTGTTGTCGCTGCTGTTGTTAAGAAGAGCTCCGAGGCAAATATAAGAAGAGAGAGAGCAGGGAAAAAAGCACGGTGGTGGGGGGGTGGGGGGGGGCGCAGCAAGAGAGAGGAATGCGCTGTCCCGCAAGCGTCGCGACTTTTTTTTTCAGGTCTCCTCCGAGGTGCAGGATATTTGGTGGCGGGGCTGCCCGGCAGTGCCGCTGCCGCTGCTGCTGCTCACTCGCTCGAGGCTGGCGGGGCATGAGGATACAGAGTGAGTCGGCCTGGGTCGCTGTGTGTCTACCCCCCACCACCACCACCCCCCACACACACCAACAACCACCACCACCCCCCACACACACACCAACCACCACCACCACCACTCCCCTCCACTTTCTTCGCCTTTCGCTTCTTTCCTTTGGTTTCGGGAAGACGCGAATCAAGAAAGGCGGCGACCTCCAGCTTCGGATTATTGTCGCCGACTTTGCTGGGACGTCCCGCCTGCTTTCCCACCGTGGCGTGCGAAGACTGGCTGATGTTAACTACCTCGCCTGGTATGCAGGAGGTCGGGGGTTCGATCCCGACCCTGTGGGCCTTCTGTATATTTGGAGTTTGCGTGTCTCCCTCTCCCCGTGGTGAGATGTTAACTACATCACCTGGTATACAGGAGGTCGTGGGTTCGATCCCGACCTTGACGCCTGCTGTATATTTGGAGTTTGCGTGTCTCTCTCCCCGTGGTGAGATGTTAACTACATCGCCTGGTATACAGGAGATCGTGGGTTCGATCCCGATCTTGACGCCTGCTGTATATTTGGAGTTTGCGTGTCTCTCTCTCCCCGTGGTGAGATGTTAACTACCTCGCCTGGTATAGAGGAGGTCGTGGGTTCGATCCCGACCTTGACGGCCTGCTGTATATTTGGAGTTTGCGTGTCTCTCTCTCTCTCCCCGTGGTGAGATGTTAACTACATCGCCTGGTATACAGGAGATCGTGGGTTCGATCCCGACCTTGACGGCTGCTGTATATTTGGAGTTTGCGTGTCTCTCTCTTTGTGGTGAGATGTTAACTACATCGCTTGGTATACAGGAGGTCGTGGGTTCGATGCCGATCCTGACGGCCTGCTGTATATTTGGAGTTTGCGTGTCTCTCTCTCCCTGCGGTCGAGTGGATTTTTTTCCGGATCCTTCGGTTTTCCCTCCACATTCAGCAGAGTTTAGAGTACTTGGCTGCTTTAAATATCGCTTCTGAAAAACAGCTCTATATCTCGGTGGGATTCACCTGGTAAAATAAAACGTCGTTTTGAGCTTAATTTCGTGTAACACGCCGCTTCGTTCAGAGTTAGTTCTTGCTCTAATGAGTGTTGAGGCTTTGCTTGCTTATCTGGTGTTCACAGCCCTGAACCATGAGTGGAAATTCCTCATTCCTGTGCCGGCAACCTGCAGCTCCAGAGCCGCGAGCGGCTTCTTCAGGACTGCTTCGTGACGGTTACTTATTACTACTACTATTATTACTAGTACTACTACTATTATTCCTATTATTAATAGTACTACTACTATTATTAATATTACTACTACTAGTACTACTACTATTATTAATAGTACTACTACTATTATTAATATTACTACTACTAGTACTACGAGTACTACTATTATTAATATTACTACTACTAGTACTACGAGTACTACTATTATTAATATTACTACTACTAGTACTACGAGTACTACTATTATTAATATTACTACTACTAGTACTACGAGTACTACTATTATTAATATTACTACTACTAGTACTACGAGTACTACTATTATTAATATTACTACTACTAGTACTACGAGTACTACTATTATTAATATTACTACTACTAGTACTACTACTACTAATGACCACCGTCGTCTCGTAGTCACCACGCGTGCATTGCCGGCTTTTGAAATATTAAGGAGGAGGGGGGGGATTTCCCCCCCGAATTAAACAAAAAATCTCTTCTTGCTATTGTTGCTTGCCGACTCCTGCCACGGGAAGTCATTGCTGAGTTAGTGTCAGCATGGCAGCGGTGTGTGTTCCGATTATCGATCTCGGAAGGGATGGATGGTGGGCTGTGAACAGGTGCTGATGGGTTTCACACGGTGCTCTGTGCTGGGACAGTGGCAATGTCTTGCTCGTGGATATTTGTTTTACTTGTGGCCTTGCTTCAGGAGAATACCTTGCAATTGTTCTCTCGATAGTTGTTTTTGTTATTGTATTGTCAGATGGCCACGGAGTCAAATGAACACCGCTTCCATTCACGTCATCTGCCACAAAGCGCGCTTTGGTGTGGGTTCTCAAGTTTCTCCCAGCGCACGCGTCGAATTGTGAAGCGTCACTGTCTTGATCCAGTACCACACAATTGGACATGCGCGTGTGTGTGTGTCTGCGTGTATGTATTTACATTGACATTGGCTATTATGTGATCATTACCTGTGCCCTGTTTCTTGATAATTGTATCTTTCGCAAATGGCTACACATTTTGATCATGCCGATGCAGCACGTGGGACATTTGTAGCGTCACCTCATTGTCAACGTGTGCGTCACACTCCTCAGGTTTCACGCATTTCCAATGTATGCCCAAACTGTCCGGTGTTTTCTTGAGCAACGATTAAGGACACTAAAGTCTCGCCAAGAATGAAACCTTTCCCCACCGAGGCAAAGAAACACAACGGGGATCTTTTGTGAATTTTGAAAGTGGCAAAAGCTCCAACGCCCTGTACGTTTTAGGAAAAAAAAATTCCTCTTAACTTAAAGCTTTCGTGACTGCAATAATTCATACTCTGGTCTTTCGGTAAAGTCACGTAGATAGAAGAAAACATATAAAAACAATCACGACGTTTCGATCGCAACACAAGCAATCGTCCTCAGGTGAAAAATATGCTAGTGGTGCGAAGTACAAGAAAGGTAGACAAATCGCCATAAACACAAACAAATACAACATTTAACCATCCCCATCCTAGCAGACAAAGCCCACTGAGGCATTAACTCGGGACTATTGCTTTGTGTTGCGGTCGATTGAAACGTCGTGATTTGTTTTTTTAAGGGGAATTTACCGAAAGACCCAACGAGGATGAATATTCCTCTGTTCGTGCTCTTTGCGAACCGATTACAGTGCTGCGATTAAAATTCGCCAGTCGGGGCAACCTTTTGTTTCATAACACTGATTGGACGTTATTCTGATGGGCTGCTCTGGCATTATTTGGACTGGAGTCGGAGGTTTCGCAGCTGCGGCACAGAAGCATGGAGCAACCCTCCGTCTCCTCTTTGGTTGGTAAGGACCTCCTCCTCCTCCTGTGTGTGGGCTGACGGGGCCCACGGCGGCCTCGGCTCGTGACGATGGGGTTGTTTTTTTTGGGAGGTTCCTTGATGGGCCACTTTGTTGAGCTGTCGTTTGTGGTGGTCAAGTCGCTTCTGAACAACGAGTTAATACCGCAGTGGGCTTTGTCTGGTAGGGTGGGACGGTTTAGGTTTATTTGTATGTGTTTAGGGTGATTTGTCTACATTTATTGTACTTTGTACCACTATCAAGATTTTGTATCGTTTGTTGTTACGTTCTTACCCGCCTCCTACTGGGACATCTGTGCAAAAAGAGCTTTATAGCTCATCGGATTCCTCCAGTATGAATACACATCTCTAAAACCTGCCGCCGCTCGCCGAGGTGTAAACTTTCCTCCGCTGTGCCAACGGTGGCTCTGATGAGACCCAGCGGGCTGGAGTGACGCGGCACCCTCTGCCCAGAACGAGTGCTGCTTCAGAACATTCGACTGGGAAAGGCAACAGCCAGGCCCATAGGCTTAGCGTGACAAGTTGGTGTGTGTGTGTTTAGATGCAGAGAGACGCACAATGAAGGACGTTGGTGCTGCTAATCCTGCATACTGCATAATGCACGGGCATAATATGACTTTGACCCCTCCCCACCTCCTACGCATTCCACAAGTAGTGACTAATCCCATATCTGCATTTGCCATAAATATGCTAAATTTCTCTTGATATGCAAATTCCTTTGTCAAGGCGCTCTTCCCCCTCCAACCCAGCTTAAATATACGCTGCCAAGCTTGGTGGTGTTCATTCAGACGCTGTCTTTCCGACAGACCTGTTCTTCACCTGAGGACGGCTGCTTGCGTTATGGCCGAAACGTCGTGAGAATTATTTTATAATGTTTTATTTTTATTATTTTATTATTTCCCTTCGACCTGACTTTACCGAAAGAACCAAGAAGATGAATCCCTGCAGTCACGAAAGCTTTAAATCGAAATTTGACTTTCGGGTCGTCCCGCCCGTCGTTCGGCCGCGATGTTTCGGCGTTTCGCTCCACGTGCCAGGCAGCTTCTTTGGGAACCGGATTCAGAGCTCCGAGCGCGTGGAGCGAAACGTCGGACATCGTGCCGAACGTCACGCGGCACAACTCGAAAACGCATCAGGGGGTGGGGGGGGTGTGATTTGAATAAAATAAATTATAAAAAATGTACGTTGTCTGACAAAAGTAAGAAAAGACGGCGCTGAATTTGACTTGGAACAGATCTTAAAGACTACAGCCCTTCATCGATCCACTGCTGGATGACGCCGCGTTAGTCATGGTTGAGACGTAACTCGCGACTGGTGTCAGCTGTGACCGGGAATGGAACTCAGGTCGCAGAGCCAAGAGCACAGTGACGCTAACCACTGCTCCACCCTGCACGTGAAGTCTCTGTCGTAGTAGGAATGTGGATAGAGCGACCGCATGGGGGCAAGACAAACAAGATCAGATGCAACGTACTCAGGCACGGCTAGAGTGCCTCTGAGCCAGGAGTAGTGAGCGCCAGCGTAAACCATTGGACACTCTGGTGACTGGCAGCGCAAGTGTTCCAACCATTGAGTCCCCACTCCACTTTCCAGGAGTAAAAATTAGCAGGTAAACACGCATCGGAGGAGTGACGCGCGGATTACCATTGTTTAGAGGGATTTTCATGAAACTCTGCCTCGCCTTTAAAGCGAGAGAGCTATTGAAGTGGCTTGGTATGGCGTGCCAACTTACAGCGAGAGGCATTTCCTGTAAGCCATGTGGAGCCTTGCCACGACACCACGGAGTGCCGCCACGCCGGAGTTGACCTCGCACCGGCATGCGATACCCATTGCGCAGTCGTCGAGATCGAACTCCCAGGCGTATGCGATGAAGAGGACAATGATGGCTTGTGATGACCGGTTTAAAAACACCGGTCGACAGCCAAAATGCTTCCGAAATCAATGTAGTCCAACTTTACTAATTCTGGGTCACCGAGAATGAAAATGATGCTTACAATTGTTGATTGGCTCTGGTTTTCAAGCTATGCTACTGGGTCAGTATTTACGACCTTTGACTTGGGAATGGGAGAGGATAAGTGAGTTATAAAGGGAAGGGATCTCAATTTAAATCAGATATGACTAAAATGCATATTTGACTAGATCTATGAATAAATATATGACTGGGTTTCGACAGTACTTGTTTTTTTAGCAAAACAATGAATGATGCAAACCTATTTATCATTCATCTTTTTTAAGGTTGTTTTGTTTTGATCGTGTAAGTAAAATGCATTGCGTAAAAAACACATTTCTCTGATCTCCTGAATGTCATTTTTCAGGTTTCTGGCACCTGCCTGTAATGACCATCGAAGCGCCCGCCCCACTCTGTGTGTGTGTGTGTGTGTCGCTCTTCGGGAACAACGCTGGTGCTGATGGAACAGCTTTAATAATCGATCGTACTAAATGGATGACCCCTTAATCATTCTCTATCCGATGTTTGCTGAAGGTCGCTCCCCTTTAAGTCGTGCGTGGCTGAATTCGCGGTGATGAAAATGAATTGAAACCGTACTCTTAGGTTTTTTCGGTAAAGTCACGTAGGTAAAAATTTTAAAATTAATAAAAGTAAAATAAATATATACAAGATCGGGTCTCTTGGAATTTATATTTTGCTTGATACAGCAAGCGTGCTGTGACGGTTCCACCTGAAGACGGAAGCTTGTGTTGCCTCCGAAACGTCGTGATCTTTATTTTACTTTTATTAATTTTAAATGTTTTTACCTACGTGACTTTACCGGAAAAAACCTAAGAGTATGAATCCTTGCAGTCACGAAAGCTTCAAATCTAGAATTGAAACCGCTTTGTTCACGAGATTGGCGGGCTAAGCCTCCATGGCTCGTGCAAAGTCTTTTCTCTGTGCAATGTTTTTAATTTAAATGCTAAATACCTGTGTTGAAAAACGTTGTTCAATCACCACAAAGGTCATTCCTGCCGGCCTGCCTACCTGCATACCTGCATACCCACCTCGTCCACCGACACTCCTTCTCTCTCCTCACCTACCTGTGCACCTACCTAGCCATGTACCTACCCAAGTACTCGCTCGCTGCCCTCCTACCTGTTCACGCAGCTACATGATCACGTGCCGATCTCCACACACACCTACCTACGTACGTGCGTAGCTATTCCCGATACATCGACAGCCGACTGTCATTCCACTGCTTTACGACGGGATCCCCATGTCGTGTTGGTCGTGGTAGTGGTTTTGACCATACTTCACCACGCTGGTCAGTGCGGGTTGGTGAACGGGCGTGCGGGGCCCAGGATTCGGTTCGGATGTCACTCGCCGCCGATGTTGGCGGTGATCCGGAGTTGAACTCAGGTCGCCGGGTTTGAAGCGCAGTGCGCTGACCACTGCACCACCGCTCTACCCCATGTCGACTTCATGATAATATAGATGGATAATATTACTTGTAAAATAAAATACAAATTATTACCATTGGAATACAAACAATTAATTGACTGTTATGCACACAATTCAATGCATATATTTTGACTGCATAAATATATTTCAATGACGACACCACATCTCTGCTACCCACCTACTTTATCTACATACCTACTACCCACCCACCTACCTACCACGCGCCAATCCACCGAGCTAACCCACCTACCCACCCACCTCCACACGCACCAACTTACCTACCCACCCACCTACCAAACTGTGCACCTACCCACCCACCTAGCTATTTGTTATCAACCAACACACTCATAGGGTTGCCAACTCTCACTTAAGATATTCCAGGATAATTATTTATTTATGAATAATTTACTTTCCTACGATATCCGATACTGTCATTAAAATCTCTCCGATGGCTTCCAATAGCCACCGGGACGTCCGATGCCAATGTCTGGTCAAAACTTCCGGCCAATCCGTGATGAAGGTTGGCAACCCCTATCCCACCACCCATCCACGCTGTAGCACCCCACGCCGCCACCACCACCCACCACCACCACCCACCACCACCACCCACCACCACCACCCACCACCACCCACCACCACCCACGCCACCCACCGTCGGCTGTGCGTGACCCCCCCCCCCCGTGCGCGTGACCCCCCCCCCCCCCCCCCCCCGCTGGGCTGGCAGGGCAGCTGCGGCACTTCCTGCTGGTGCTGTGCTCGCTCGGCATCGTCTACTTCGTCATCACCGACGTCTTCATCTCCAGCATGGAGAAGTCATCGCGGATACACCGCCTGATGGCCGGTACGACGCGAGACTGCGGGCGAGCGGGTGGACACGCGAGACTGCGGGCGGGTGGACACGCGAGACGGCGAGACGGGCGGGTGGACACGCGAGACTGCGGGCGGGTGGACACGCGAGACTGCGAGCGGGTGGACACGCGAGACTGCGGGCGGGTGGACACGCGAGACGGCGGGCGGGTGGACACGCGAGACTGCGGGCGAGCGGGTGGACATGCGAGACTGCGGGCGAGCGGGTGGACACGCGAGACGATGATTGTCCGGCACGGCCTCCGAACGATAATTTCCAGGAATTGATTTTTTTTTGGAACGCCGCATAGCGCTGAACCATTTGGGGAAAATATCAAATTGAGATATTTCTGACAGATATTGCGATTGTGATTTGATTTGCGATAAAAATGTGTTAAAAGTCAAGCTTCAGTTCAATTTTCACTGTGTAATAGATTTAAAACGTGTGATGGAGCATTACCACATGATATCGTCAAAATGTGAACTGCTCTATATATTCTAATGCAAGGGTGAGAACTTAAAAGATATGAATTGCTTCCAACATTTATTTATTAAAATGTTTTAATTGAAATAGAACAATCAAACATAGAACAAGTGTTAATTTGCGTTGCGTGTCTGTCTTGCAGAAGTGAAAAGGCAAATCAACCCAAACCGTAAGTGCAGCAAAAACATCCACATGCCTCGGGTCCCATTACTGCTGAGTCTGTCTCCCCATATGAGTCTCTGGTTTCTGTGTTATTCGATGGGTTTCTGTGTGAGTCTATGTGTCTCTGTGTGAGTCTATGGGTCTCTGTGTGAGTCTGTGGGTCTCTGTGTGAGTCTATGGGTCTCTGTGTGAGTCTGTGGGTCTCTGTGTGAGTCTATGGGTCTCTGTGTTAGTCTATGGGTCTCTGGGTGAGTCTATGGGTCTCTGTGTGAGTCTATGGATCTCTGTATGAGTCTATGGGGCTCTGTGTGAGTCTATGGTTCCTGTGTGAGTCTATGGATCTTGTGTGAGTCAATGGGTCGTCCGTTAGTCTATGGGTCTCTGTGATTCGATGGGTTTGTGCGTGATTCTATGGGTCCTGTGTAAGTCTATGGATCCTGTGCGAGTCCCAGGGTTTCTAATCTCAAGGGCTCTTCTCATTCCATCTCCTTTGTCTCTTCTCCACGCATGCTCAAACGATCTTAAGACCACCTCCCTGACCTTAGAGCACATTTCTAACACCGGCTAAGGCTCAGAAACGTCATCTCTCTTGGATATCAAAACGCGAATGACTCTCCTCTGCTGCCCACACGGAAGCCACTGGGATCCAAGAAAGGTAACCCGGGCGGGAGCCATCGTGTCCCACGAGCCACACGCTGCTTACCCCACTGCCGCCAGCGTCCCGGAAAATACTCAATGAGAAATGAGTCCCTGGGCATGGGCGTGCTGGCGTGCACTGCCCCCCCCCCCCCCGATGATTGCGCTGCCCCCCATCGTTGGGCGCCACGGTGGTAAGATGTTAACTACCTCGCCGGTATACAGGAGCCCATGGTTTTCGATCCCGACACCGATGCCTGCTGTATATTTGGAGTTTGCGTTTTCTCCCCGTGGTTGAGTAGGTTTTTATCCGGATTCTCCGGTGTTTCCCTCCACATTTAAAATCAACGTGCGTTTTGAGTATTTGGTTGCTATACATGTCCACGTGATGATAAGCCACTTCGTTGAGCCATCATTTATGGCCAGGTCGCTTCTGAAAAAGGCAGCTCAATGAACCTTACCTGGTCAAATAAAAAACTGCTTTTAGTTTATATTGCGCCACCCCCAATGATTGCGCCACCCCTCCTCGCCGTCCCCCAGCGCCTGCCAAGAGAGGCAACGTGTGTGGCCTGCAGTCTCCGTGTCCCCCGCACCACTTCTCCTTCAGCATCGACTCCGGCGCCGGAAACTTCTTGGGGCCTACGCTGTGCTTCAACGACGAGATGTGAGCCGCTCCCTTCCCCCATCTCTGCCCCTTCCTACGACCCCCTGCCGTCTCCTCCTGTAGCGAACGGTTCCCGGCGGTTATCGGTAAAAACTCCGGTTTCCCTCCCGCGTGTAAAAACACTCATTGACTGAAAGAAAAAAATAAATCTCAATATGTAGAGGACTGCAGAGCTTGGGAAGCAGTTGGCGCCAGCTCGCTGCCTGGCTGCTGCCGTTCCGCTTGGCTGTGAATGCTGTGCAATGCGGTGTCGCCGGTGTCTCCTCCCGCCATAATCCTTGCGAAGGGGGGCAGGCCGGCTAAGTAGACACCAGCAGCTACAAGAATAAAAATAATAATTAAGTTTCGGAGATGACGAGTAAAGACTCCGCGTTGTGTTTTGTCCTCCGGAGAAGTGGGGCGATTCCACACGGCAAAACTTATAAATCTCAACGTTCATCTCACAAAGTTCCATCAAAAGTCAGAATTTATATCACCTTGTTGTAGGGAGACTCAAAATTACCGTGATTTTTGACCAAAATGTTGTGGGTGTCTCGGGGGTGAATACAGAACTGTGGATGCCAGCGAACGACGTTGTCTTGTGTGCGTGCGTGTTTTCCCACTCGCAGATTAATGAGCACCGTGCTGAATAACGTTGGCTTCGGGATAAATATCGCATTGGTAAATGGTAAGCCTTTCATCCTGAGCTCAGTCGCAAGCAACTCAACAGCGGCATCGGCCAAACGTCTCAATGTAGCAGGACCCTCCTGACAAAGAGTCCTGGGACACGATGTCGCTTTGCTGGGTAAACAGAGAACATTGTTCTAATACACAACTCGATCTGCCATTGCTGTAGTCCGCGACCACGAGGCTGCAAGTTCGCATCCCTGTCGGGGGTTGACTCAGCCCATCATCCCTCTGGGGTCTAGAAAATGAGTAATACTTTTTGAAAGGTCAACAGAGAATGTTTTATGGGATAACTCATCCCTACCAGAGGAATGTGGAATGTCCACCCCTGGCTCAGGCCTGTAAACAGGAAATGGTAAATTTTTGTTTTGCTTTGGTTGTACACCCAAGGGCACATCCAACGCAGAGATGGAGTGATGACATCAGCTCTTGTGCAGGTGTTGAGTGGATTATTTACACCACAAGATCGTGGCAGACGGTGACAACTTGGGGATGTCTTCATCCAGCAGTGGACTGAGCGTGGCTTTTTGATGACGATGGTGGTGATGGCGGCACCTGTGGAATTATTTACAATATTTTTTTGCACCTCTAATCCCTGTCGCAGGTACGAGTGGGAAAATGTTAGCGACGTCGTATTTCAACACGTTCAACGGAGGTGAGGACAGTCGCACTCACGGCGCACTGCGCCATCCACCGCGCCATCGCTCCGCACCGCATTCTGGTTGGGGGGTCGACTCTGCCCGTCATCCTCCTGGCTTCTGTAAAACGAGTACGACGGTCAAGAATACCGTATGTAGTTTTCTGTAAAGGCTTGCCCCGCCATAGGAACGTGGAATTCCCCACCACTGGCTCGGGGCTGTAAACGGGAGATGATCACCAGTACCTAGATGCTCCGAATAGCACGGTTGACTATGTACGATGCGAAAGAAGTTCGACACGCATACAAACAATTGTGATTCTTAAATATGTTATTGTTAGTTGTAATGGTGGGTTAGTAACACAGAGTCTGTGCTGCTCTACAGTTTCCTGGGTGAAAAGTGGGCTCGGATTTGCCCAATCCAGGCCAGCTGGTTCAACAAACCTAATAACTGAAATGAAATCCAACATTGATCTGCGTTTGTCTCTCTGATGCACGGCGGCGTGCCCGTGCGTGGCCACGCGCACAGACGACGCGGGAATGGTGAACTTCCTGCGCTCCATGAGGCCCGGCACCATCGTGATGCTCGCCAGCTTCCACGACCCGGCCACCAGGTACGCGGCAGCAGGACGAGCACGCCGGTCCCACTGAGCCCGCCGAGCCCGCCGAGCGAGCTCGGCTCCTGCGCCATCCAAGGCACGGGGCGATAGCGCGCTCGCAGCCTCTTCTTGGTTCTTTCGGTAAAGTCACGTGGAAGGGAAATAATAAAATAATAAAAATAAAACATAATAATTCCTCTTGATATGCAAATTATTTTGTCAAGGCGCCCTTCCCCCTCCATCCCAGCTTAAATAGAAGCCTGGGTTGTGTCATTCAGACTCTGTCTTCTTGACAGCCCTGTTCTTCACCTGAGGACGGCTGCTTGCGTTGTGGCCGAAACGTCGTGAGAATTGTATTTTATTATGTTTTATTTTTATTATTTTATTATTTCCCTTCTACGTGACTTTACCGAAAGAACCAAGAAGATGAATCCCTGCAGTCACGAACGCTTTAAATCGAAATTTACTCGCAGCCTGTTGCAGAGGTTCACTGTTTTCGAATGCGGCGGCCGCCCTGGTTAATGCTGCGTGGTGTACTACCCGTAGTAAACAATAATACGACACTCGCAGTGGAAGTTAAAGATCCCTTGACGTCATTCACAAGAGTTAGGCCACTGTGTACCGGCTTCAAGTGTCCAACTTTCCCAAGTTCAAAAATTGCACCGCTTATTACTCAATCGGGATTGCACATTGTAATCGTCGCCCCCGACTGGCAGCAGACTATTGCCCATGTGAAGGCCACGTGCTGAGTCACCTGGTGCCCACAGGGACAGCTGCCACTGGGGGTACCCAATGAAATGCGTTGAGATGAGATGTGAGATGTAAAATGGCCTGAGATGCCCCGGGGTATGGGAGGGCGGCTCAATCAAAAACAAATCATGATGATGATTTATCATTATTGATATCAGAGACCATAGAGGTCCAAGGTCAGTACTTGGTCTGGGAGGCCCCGGAGTCAAGAGACACCGGGCTGACACTGCTGAGACACCGGGCTGACACTGCTGAGACACTGGGCTGACACTGCTGAGACACCGGGCTGACACTGCTGAGACACTGGGCTGACACTGCTGAGACACCGGGCTGACACTGCTGAGACACTGGGCTGACACTGCTGAGACACCGGGCTGACACTGCTGAGACACCGGGCTGACACTGCTGAGACACTGGGCTGACACTGCTGAGACACCGGGCTGACACTGCTGAGACACCGGGCTGACACTGCTGAGACACCGGGCTGACACTGCTGAGACACCGGGCTGACACTGCTGAGACACCGGGCTGACACTGCTGAGACACTGGGCTGACACTGCTGAGACACCGGGCTGACACTGCTGAGACACCGGGCTGACACTGCTGAGACACCGGGCTGACACTGCTGAGACACTGGGCTGACACTGCTGAGACACCGGGCTGACACTGCTGAGACACCGGGCTGACACTGCTGAGACCCCGGGCTGACACTGCTGAGACACCGGGCTGACACTGCTGAGACACTGGGCTGACACTGCTGAGACACCGGGCTGACACTGCTGAGACACTGGGCTGACACTGCTGAGACACCGGGCTGACACTGCTGAGACACCGGGCTGACACTGCTGAGACACCGGGCTGACACTGCTGAGACACCGGGCTGACACTGCTGAGACACTGGGATATGGATCTGAGTTTCAACCGCTCGTGATTAGTGGGTGCCACGGTGGCGAGATGTTAACTACCTCGCCTGACATGCAGGAGGTCGTGAGTTTTATCCTGACCCTGATGCCTATATACTCGGAGTTAGTATGTCTCTCGCCCCGTGATCGCGTGGAATTTTTTCTACATCTGGAAAACACGCGTTTCCAGTATTTGGCTGCTATAAATGTCCACGTGATGATCTATTTTGTTGAGCTATCATTTGTGGCCAGGTCGCTTCTGAAAAAGAGCTACATAGCTCAGTGAGCCTTACCTGGTAAAATAAAATATTGTTTAATAGTTTTAAAAATTTCACCATGCCCAATTGACCCACACCAAGCAGAAACCACTCCTCCCAAGTCAGAATGTAACCCGCGTCCACCCAAACCCCTAGCCCACAACTGCGTTCACACTCCATTTGCTCCTCACCCATCGATCACAGTTCACTGGGTATGCCCCATCAAACCATCGACTTATAACCATATATTTTTGTTTAAATTACAATCACAATGTAGACAACACCCCAAACATATTATTATTAGTCGGGCGATTTTAAAATCCAAGAAGCCACCGAAGTTTTGTGAAAGCGCCGTGCGCCGAAGTGCGACTCGCACCGGCTCTGATTTGTGATCGCCCCGTGGCTTCCCGCAGGCTCAACACCACCGCGCGGCAACTGCTGACTGAGTTGGGGAGCTCAGTGGCCCGGGTGCTGAAGAGGAGGGACAGCTGGGCTTTCGTCGGGGCCAAGGGCATCCGGGGGAAGAGCCCCTTTGAGATGGTACCCCCCCCCACTCCCCGCGAATAGATACTGGCCACGCGATCGCCAGTTGACCCAGGCGGGGCTTGATTTTTCACCCAATATATTCAGGCTCCCTGATGAAGGACTGCAGGTGGCTCTGCAGAAGCCGGCAGGTCACCAGTCTGAGCAGACGCAGCCACAGCAATGCCTCTGTGGCGAGCGAGTGAACGATTAAGGTAGAAAGGAGATGGGACGTCTCCCGATTAAACAAAGGATGCTGAATCCTGGGCACGGTGTTCGGGTTCTCAGTGGGTCAGCGGTCAGCGCTGCGAACCCGGCAGCCCGAGCTAGATTCCCGCTTGAGGACAATATAATCGACGATTATCTGAACAGGTCCTGGGCCTCCCCTACGTTGACTCAGCCTAAAATGAGTACTTGGTGCAGTGTGTGAACATCACCGCTGGGGACACAAATGCAGCCTGGCGTAGTGCTGGCCACATTAGCCCCCTCGTTTGCCGTGCGGGCCTTCTTCACAGGTGCTCGTGAACGGCACTTGCCCCAAGCAGCCTGTCAAAACTATACGGGCCATCTGTGCTGTTTGTCTGCCTCCACAGCACGTGCGGAGTATCCCCAAGAAGAACCTGTATCTGAACTGGCCCGAGATGCTGCAGATGGAAGGCTGCATCCCCGAACGGACGTGGCCTGGGCACAAGAATGCCACCTCGCCACCGCACGCCAAGCCGGCCATGGGAGCCAAGCACACGAGGAACGTGACGGCGAACGTGCCGCACGGGGCCGAGCGTGGACGCTGAATGTTTTCCGAGCGTGGAGAGACGCCGTGGTGTTTACAGAAGTGGTGTGGGTGGGGGGGGGAATCTCGCTTAATTTTATCCAGCCGGGGTCTGTGTGGGACGATTACCCGAACAACATTTTCACTGCCGGCACACCGATGTCTGTAGCTAATAGTAGTCGCGTAACCATCTACTCCGGTCGATCAATGGCACCAGAAGATATTCCCACAGCCGACAGACGACATCCAGTCGACCTGTCACTATGACTGTTGTTACTAATCACGCTGTTCTACTCCAGTCTACCAGAGACCCAGAAGACAGTCGGTGAGAAATGAGGCCCTGGCTAAGAAAGCTTTGTGAACACAATGAACTGGATGAGTTGCTGCAGTATTATATTCACACGCAACTGCAATGTGCTCTCTGTGTACAGTGTATATATTAATGTGTAGTAGTAGGGGTGAGTTTCGGTTATCGGATGTTTGGATCTTTAGGCGCAAGTACGGATTTAATTTCCTAGTTTGGGATTTAAATGTAATGCATTCTGATAACGTTCATTGTCTCCGAATTGAATCCTTTGAATAATTTCTAACTTGATTTGAATAAAGTGTCATCGGTAGAACACGGGATGTGATCCACTAACTGTGGAAAGATGCAGCCCCTAAGTGTGCTTTAGAAGTTACTGGACGGATCTCAGAAGGCGAGAATATGGAATTTATGTTCATCTCATGATATTTTATTGTTCTTGCTTACATCGTTAAACTTGTTTGATCAGGAAAGCCTCGGTGAGTCTCTCTGCAGTCAGTGATGGCAATGGCCGTGTTGCTGTCAAATACAATAAATAAAGTAAATTCAATTAAGTAATTTAACAACAGGACAGGTGGTCGGATTTGTAGAAATATATAATTTTTACACTCCAGCGCTTTACAAAGAGCAGTCCTTGACATTGATGCCCTTGCTTGAATACCGTTTCTACGCCTCAGGAATAAAAACAAGAACAATGATTTTCAATCTTTTGTCAATGCACTGCTGGATGAGGGCCTCCGCACATAATGTGGGTTGGGGGGTTATTCACTGTACTTCAGCATATTCTACCGGTACATAAATGTGTCTCTTGTAGTCTAGTCGTAAGGCGGGTGCATTGGGAGGCTTCTATTTAGTCAGATAGCTGAGCTAGTGCTGCTGACACTCCGGGTTCAAATCCAGGTTTCAGCAGGTTTCAGCTATTGCAGATTAAAGGGAGCTATCAAGTGCAGTGCGTTGATTGTCGTCTACCTTGTGCCCAATGAATGTGCACAGACAGAATATTACATTTGGTATTTCGCGTAATGTGGGCAATGTCAGTCCTGACGACCCAAACATGTTTGGTTTGAATGTCAAGTGGTCATAACTCGTGCAGATTTTTTTGTTGCTGGTGCATAAGCACAAATTACAAAGATAAGAAACTCATTATATTTGACAAATTATATTCTTGCGAATAATGTCAATATGTTCAAGAGCTAAATGTCGAGGTTTGGTGGCCACAAGAGGGCTTCCAAAGAGTTAATGTAGTATTGCTATTCCTCCTCCGTTGAAAGAGCGCAGACTCGCGAGTGGGTTCGCTATCCGGCAGAGGTCGCAAACGGGTTTTGATTCCTTACCCGTACCCGGCCGCACCAGGGTCGCAAACGGGTACCCGTACCCGGCCGTACCCGTACCCTACCCGATACCCGGCCGGGTACGGGTAGGGTACGGGTATCGGGTACCCGATTGCGACCTCTGCTATCCGGTCCACAGTTTGGGTTGCAAGGCCACAACCCGCACCGCCTGCGGTTGTGGCCTCTAATCCTCCACCACGAAGGGGAGATGTGCGCATGGCCCTGTTGTTGATGTTGTAGTTTAGTTGATGGTTACACCGCCAGTGTCTTCAAGGAGGAGGAATGTCAAAGCCAAGTGTGAGGTGCAATGTAGCTTTGTCAAATGGACCATGAAGAAGGGACATTTCTAAAAAAAAACATCACCTATGTTACGTTTGTTTCCTTTCAGGGCCACAGTGTTATGGACGGAATGTGTTTTATTAATAACTGCCATCCTCTGTAGCAGAAGATGCAAGAGTGGGCTCCACAGTGTGGGTAAGCGGTCTAATTTGTGGCACTGCCTATTGATTAATATATTGAGAGACAAATTTTGACCTGAAAAATTAACAAGACTTTGCCAAGTGAGAGCTCCCGCAAGCCAGTGCCTACATTTCCACTGGATAAATAATAAAAATGATCACACTTGTCCGATCATAAAACAAATGCATTCAGAAAAAATACCCCGCGGATACTTTGGTTTTAACTCGGCCATACTTAAAGCAGTGACGTAGACTTAGACGAATACAGGAGGCTACATTTGTTCAATCAGCGTGGAAACTTGGTGATAGCATGCGGCATGGAATTTAAAGCCGTGGCAAAAAAAATGACAGAAATGTTTGAGATTGTCTTCATAGTTTAAGAAGAGCTCTGCAAATTTCGAACGAGACGCAAATTAGGTGCTTGCTGGATAATAAAAAAAAGTTCAACTTGTAACGCACCGCAAGCGCACACAGTATCCGCTCGCTCTCGTAGAGAGAGCGAGGATGACTCGGAGGCTCGAGGAGCAACCACGGACAGGCAAGGAGGCATCCATTTGGTGAGCCGGCGACAACGATTGTTCAAGCTCTGCGGTTCTCTATATATGTTACGGTGTTATCGGATTATTCATGAGTGTTTACACGTGCGGAGGAAACCGGTGCACCCGTAGAGAAACCCACGCGTGCGAGGGGGAAACACTCCACACCGTGCAGGTGAAACAGGTGAAACGGGGGGGGGGGGGGGGGGGGGCAGTCCACGTGTTTGCTGTGCCGCCTTCTAGTGGCGAGCCGCGGTAAGGCGCCTCGACCCGCACGGGAAGTGAGTTTCAGAGCACGTGCGTGGTGCTCCACCAAACCTCGGTGCCTCCACGGTCGACAAGGGGCATCGCCACGGGCGATTGTCGGTCTATATGAACAAAAACAAATGTACAACAAGTTTTCCGGACGAAAAAAAATGATTGCTTATTATTGGATGGAGTGCTTTTGTCAAAAATGAATAGAATTTGCCGGTGAAGCAAACCCCAAAGAGTCAATGTAACTGAAGAAGTAGACTTGAGAAGAACACAGCACGACACGCGGGGTTTCTTCCTAAACGTTCGAACAATCTTAAATACCTGAGCCCAGAATGGCAATTACCTGACTACCCCCCCCCCTCCAGCCTGCTCTGATGAGTCAGGTGTGCCTGACACCGCCGATGCAATTGGTAATGCCGTCCGGAATGTCAGGATGTCGCAATGTATGATGTGATGGAGGATGTGGAATAAAACATATTTAATATTAAAACAATATCAAGTTGTTGTGTGTTGAGCTTCCTTCACACCGCACGAGGTTATTGAAGGGGTTTGTCCCGATAGCCAATGTTGCTAGGGGTAGGTAACTATCCCATGAGCCAATTGAAGAATTGGTCATCAGAGAACATGATTCCCATCGAGGCCTCGTGGTGTAAATCGCAGTCTCCACCTCGTGTTGTTATGCACTCTATCCCTGGTCTGCGATAGAGACGGGTCAATGCCCAACGCGGCGCCTATTTTACACAGACATGTGTTTTTTCCCCTTTAAGGCCACAGTTTTTTTTGCCCAAAAAAAAGAGCATAATTCAGTTAGTGCTTGTTATATCTGCTGTGGCATAACGATCTAAAACTGTAATAAACGTATTGAAAAACTAAATGTACAGCGTTGCACATATGCAAGTTTGTGATCATTAACAGCAACGACCAAAGTCACGTGGACAAAATAATATGAATAAAAAATAATGAACTTTAGCTAGAAAAAAACCTCGAGCCTCAAGACTTCTTTGGAAGGAGGGTCCTGCGTTGGAATGTTTGGCCGGTTACGTGAATGGGTGTCATGAATAATTGGGGATAACGTTCAAAGCTCCGCACAGATAGATTAAATAATCCATTGCTCTACTTCCATCACCTGGCTGGGGACTGCGGTGTTATGGGTGGATTAAGCGACCGATGCGCCACCACGTGCACAGATAAGTTATGAAAAAAACCAAAGCGCCAAACCTCGACTTAAATACGTTTCGTAGGGTGGGGGGAGCGATCAGCTTGGCCATGCCATGCCGGTGAGCCAATGTCGCGAGAGCCAGGCAAGACGGCTGGAACTGCGCGTGAAAAAACATCAGACGTGTCACCATCTAGAGCGTCGGTCTTCCCCATAAGACATCATCAGTGCGAGGGCCGCCACTCCGCCTGTGTTTCGTCGGGGGCCGCCAGCCTTGCAGTGAAGCACGCCGCTGCTGCTGCTGCCGCTGCTGCAGCGTAGAGCGGCGGTGGTCAACATGCGACTCTTTAATCGAGCACAGGCGCACAACGCACAACGCGCTCTCACGGCAGATAGGAATGTTATTGGCTCCAGTGCTGTGCCGAAAACTGTCACGATATTCACAAACACACAGATACACACGCAGTTGGCTCTTTGCAGAACTCACGGGTAGGGAATTTATTGGGGTCTTGGTCTGTTCTATGTTGGCCACCCCTGCTAGAGAGAAGACCACTCCACCACCATGAATCACAACAACTGCAATGGGAGTGGGGCTGGTGATTGGTCGGGGCGGATGCGTGCCGCAGTTGCTGTTTGTTATGCACATCACGAACGAGAGAGAGAGAATGTACAACTTTCTTCGTTCGGCCATGCCGACGAAATATGATTTTGCTCGGAGGGTGATGATGGTGGTGGTGATGTGGAAGGCGAGACGCGGTTTCAAGGCCGAGACCTGTCTGTCAGCAACAAACGGTGTCACGGTAATGCGAAGCAGATGGGGATCGCTAACTCGCAACAGACCGTCTCGCAAGGCAAATAGAATCCCGTTCTGCCAGGGGACGGTGCAGGCTAGGAGCGGGGCTCGTCCGTTACGCAGAGCGTCGTGAGCCACCCGGAGGGCTCAAGAGAAGGCAGCCTCGGATTATCACGGTTGGCTACGTACGGTGCGAAAGAAGTTCGACATAGATGCATAAACATACGTTTGGAGAAACGTACGGTGACGTGTCAATAATTTGCCTCGCAAAGTTTCTCAATATTAAAAAAAAAATTGTTTCAGATCCTGGTCAAGCCCGCTGTTGGTTGAAGGCGACCTCCACTCCATGCCGAGTCGGTCCATGTGAGTCGTGTCACCATAAATTTCGATTTAAAGATTTCGTGACTGTAGGGATTCATCGTCTTGGTTCTTTCGGTAAAGTCACGTAGAAGGGAAATAATAAAATAATAAAAAATAAAATATAATAAAATACAATTCTCACGACGTTTCGTTGACGGCTGCTTGCGTTGTGGCCGAAACGTTGTGAGAATTATTTTATTATGTTAGATTTTTTATTATTTTATTATTTCCCTTCTACGTAACGTTACCGAAAGAACCAAGAAGTCGTGTCACCATACTTCACCGCGCCGGTCTGTGGAAGCGGTGGCATGATCAGTGCGGGCTGAAGTGAGACCCAGAACTGGTCTCAGATGTCACTTGGCCACGGATGTTCGCTCGGGACGGGGAGTTAAACTCGGGTCGACGAGTCCAGAGTGCAGCCAATCTGCCAGTATCGATTATGCCGTGATCAAAGTTGAACTGTACAGGTATTGGCAACGAGGATTATATATAATTGTTAACATCGTAATACAATTGTAAAAGAATGGTTTCATGTTTTACGGCTTGTGAATGTTGTGTTGGGGAATGATTACCAGGGTTGGATATTTATTTATTTAAATATATACCGTAACACGTCGTTGCTCAAAGATCTCGCAGTTGTTGTGCCTTTGCGCGTGATGTCACGGACCAAGAAAACAGCAGCAAGCAGTGCACCACCCTGGGTTACAGAACGTCCCCGGAAGATGATGTCGCAGAACCGCTTCTGAGGTTGTTTCCATCGTCCACTGGATGGGGCACCTTTAAATAAGCCCCTCAAAGAAATGTCGCAAGCCAGTCACGCCGAACATTTCCTGCTTTAGAGCTGAAATAAACAAAATCCTAACACGAAATCAAATTTTAATATCAGAAAACCAGTTTGGGTCCTCTAAAACATTCGAGACAAAATATTTCGTATTCGTTTTTTTAAAGATCGAGGTCTACAATTATTTTACTGGCGGGTTTAACTTGCCACTTGATCCAAATATAAAGTCAGCTTTCCGATAACACGTGTTTTTCAGTTGTCGTAAGCATGTGACACTTAAGCCACGAGAAATCGGATGAAGCCAGCTACAGATCTTATCAGTACAAACACCAACCCTACCGATATCAGCAGGCTGGCAATTTTTACTGATACTGTAATTTAAAAGCAAAAAAAATCACATCAAAGCCGAATATACTATACTCATCTTTGGACATTGGAACTGGGTAAAATGGCTTAGAAAATTAGCAGCTGAGAACTTAAGTCAGGAGGAGAGTCGGTAACGATGAGGTCTGTACAATGATGCATTGTTACAGCTTTGTGAAAAGCTGGCTTGTCGTCCAGTCATCGTCACAGTGGGGGTATAAGGCAATGGATGGAATCCGTGCCAGAGAAAACAAAGCGGGCTTCTCACGAAATAACACACAAGGGGGCAGTATGTGCCCTCGGAAGGATGAGCTCTCAAGCCCCAAGCGAAATGAGGAAGACAAGAGTTCTTGCTTGACTGATGACCACTGTATGGCATTGTTTGTTTAATCTTGCCAGAGTGGGTGGGGCCACGCAGTCGGATATTGCCAGGACGCGAGACTTTTAAAGGACATCGAATAATTTAAACCCTCGTGTGCCACGCGGTGGTCTTAATTGGGCCGCGAAGTTGCGATCAATTAGCTAAGGACTGACTGACAAGTCTGACGCAGAATGTGCAGCCTTTGACTGACGTTTAAGCACTGTACTTCCTCATATTTCAAAGTGACGGTACAGTACTGCAAAGCCCTTTGTTTTAAACCCGAGCACGTGTCTTGCATTTGTGTTTTAATTCTTAAAGTACGAATCTCATTTACCATTTTACAGCTCCAAAACTAGTGGTGGAAATTCCACGTTTCTATGGCAGGAGTTCTAACCATCCACACATTTGCAAGCACGGGTGTTTCTTTTAGTCAACAAGTCACAATGCACACCAGGGTGCTGTGGACTACGTGACCATACTTCACCAGGCGACTTGCGGATACACTCGCTGCGAGTACTTCACGGCACTCGGTGGACTGAGATGGCTGGTGGGGGGAGGGGCTAGGGACTTGATCCATTGTTCCAACTGCTGGGCCGGCAGATCGAACTGGACATCTGTAGCTTGCAGGTCCACACATTGCGTTAAAACACGGCAAGCATGGACATGCGTAACACAGCTGTGCATAATTGTTTTACACAAACTCCGGTGAACAATTCGTGAATGAGCACACACAACAGTTCACGTGCAATTAACATCCACGTTGTTGTCGTGAACGGTGATGGATGCGCTGCTGTAAACGAACGGTGTGAATGAGCGATTGGCTGATAGAGTTAACGAGTCAACTAACGGATGAGTTTTCACGAATTAATCCCAGGTTCGGGTAATGATACCGCGTGTCGCACTGACTGACTTGGGGCCACTGATACGAAGCGAGCACCTGGGAAGGCCGGAACGGCACGAGAGGGGGTGGGGTGGCCAGCACCACGCCCGGCCGCCTTTGTCTCCCTGGTTATTATATTTACACACCGCACCACTTGAGGCTGAGTTAACCTAGGGGAGGCCCAGGAACACACACATGAGTGTATATATTCACTACGGTGAATCACTCAACTGGTACATCCACGTATTCGTTAACACATTCGTTAATTAACATGAACACGGTAGAATGCATGAATCATGACAATGAATGAGCGAGAGAATGAATTCATACAATAAACCGAGTAAATATTCTTTCAAAAAATATCCTCAACTAGAAGATTGCCGTTCAGACCTGCCACATTTGCAACTACGAACCTTACCAATGATGTGTTATCGATATTTAGGTTATAAATGCTCTGATACGCCCATTGTCTTTGTACTCGACCACGTAGAAGGTTGTCGCTTCTAGATTTGAAGTTTTCGTGACTGCAAGGGTCCATACTCTTAGGTTTTTTCCGGTAAAGTCACGTAGGTAAAAAATAAATAAAAATAAATTAAATCACGACGTTTCGGAGGCAACACAAGCTTCCGTCTTCAGGTGGCACCGTCACAGCAAAATTACTGCCTCCAAAACGTCGTGATTTAATTTATTTTTATTTTCTCTTTTTTTTACCTACGTGACTTTACCGAAAACACCAAAGAGTAAGGCTTCAGAGACAACGCGTACATCACCAGAGCGTGTACCACCACAAGCACTGCGCGTGTGGCTGATGCAGACCTGATGCCTTGGGGCCGTCCATAAATGACGTCACGCACCTAGGGGGGGTCAGACATTTGTGACGATGTGTGACGAGGAGGGGGGGGGGGTGAGAAATGTGACGTCACATCAAAATGCGCAACTTTTAATAAATATAGAATTGTTATAACAACACTAATATTGATTGATTTTCATCATTAACTATTTGATTATTTAAATTTACTAAGGTCACCTTTTATTAATTCCATGAAGGAGCACTTTGCTTCTCCATGGGAGAATGGAGAAGCTTACATTTTGTACATTTGTTAATGATTGTTATTAAACATTTTTATTCTAATGATTCTACCAGGGCTTTTCATTCTGTGGAATGAATATGTGATTGTTATAATTGTACTCTACATTTTGCTTCGTTCTACTACGAAGTTTCAAGTATTTTTTTATAGTTATCATTACTTTGAATATTTTATAATAATAAGATAATTTCAATATAATATTCTGAATATCTGCAGTTTTAGTTAGGCGTTTAATATTTTCAAGTGAATTTTATGCTAAATTTTAGCTTTCCAACGCCTCATTTTTAATAAATGTTTTCTCCTAAAACATCAGAGTGCAGCGCCACATTAATTAAATACGCACTACAATGACAATAGTTTAAAGTGATTTGAAGCATATTCTATTTTCAAAATGGAAATATGGTTTTGGGGGGGGGGGGGGCAGAGCTTTGTGACGTCATATTTGAGGGGGGGGGTCTGACTTTGTGACGCCGTGTGACGAGGGGGGGGGGTCAAAAATCGTCCAAAATCGCGTGACGTCATTTATGGACGGCCCCCTTGCAAAAGGTTTCTATTTGGTGTTTGAGCATCTTGACACCCCCTGCTTTATTGCCAGAAAGGCTACACACCTATGTGTATGTTTAGTACTGTGATACTAGCAGCAAGGGCTCCATGCTAGACATTAGAACGGGCAATGCAATCGAGGGACACGGTGTTGTCTTGGTGCGGTCTGGGACTGGCGTTGTTTTGCTGCCTTGCCGAAGCCTGCAACGTGGACTTTTAGAAAAATATATAAAGGTGCGAATTCCTCTTTATTGATTAAAGTCGTGACTTTACTTTTCTCTATCTCACTCCACTATCCTCTATTGTGATTTGTTGAATTGCTGGCAAGCCCGGTCCCCTTACTGGGACATCAACAAGTCTCATTCTGATGTTAACTGCAATGCCCAATGTTTTAGTGACGTCCCCACCTCTTTCTCCGCTTGCTCGGGGTAGCCAATTGCTTCGCCTGTTTGGTTGGGGTGCCCTCCTCCTCCTGCTGCTGCTGCTGCATCCCTCCCACCACAACCAGAGACCCTGCAGCAGCTGCTGCTGCTACTGATGCTGCTGCTGCCGCATTCACGGAAGTGTGCGCGAGTGTGGTGGTGGTGTTGTTGTTGTCTTGTTGTGTGCGAGAGAAAGTTGTGTGTACAGTGAACGGAATCACTCACGACTTTAGTTGCACACACACACACTCGCACACTCGCACACTCACACACACACCCACTCACTCACTCGCACTCACACACACTCACACACTCTCACACACTCTCACACTCTCACTCACTCACACACAGACACTCACTCACAGACACACACTCACTCGCACACTCACACCCACACACTCACTCGCACTCACACACTCTCACTCACTCACTCGCACTCACACACACTCACACACTCTCACACACTCTCACTCACTCACACTCACTCACACACAGACACTCACTCACAGACACACACTCACTCACAGACACACACTCACTCACTCACACTCACTCACACACGCACACTCACTCGCACACACACTCACACACACTCACTCACTGACTCACTCACTCGCACACTTACTCACTCACTCGCACACTCACTCATTCACACACACTCGCACACACTCACTCGCACACACTCACTCGCACACACACTCACTCACACTCACTCGCACACTCACTCACTCGCACTCACTCTCACTCACTCACACACACTCACTCTAACTCACTCACACGCACACTCACACACTCGCATACTCACTCACACACGTGTTCACGCACACACACGTGTTCACGCACACACACGTGTTCACGCACACACGTGTTCACACACACGTGCACACACACACACGTGTGAAGTAGAACACCATAGACCACACACACGTGAGTGTATATACGTTCGCTATAGTGTTGAATTGTATTATACGTAAGATTTTTAACATAGACCACACCACCGTACAAAGACACGCTGTACATTCACTACAGTACTTAGTATCGTCTGTGCCATACACACACTAACCTACACACTAACCTACACACTATCCTACACACTATCCTACACACTAACCTACACACTATCCTACACACACACGCACACGCAGTAATCACACGCGGAATAGTTGACTGCACTGTGGATGAGCACACGCGCGCAGCCTGGGAGGGTTGGCGCGTTACAAGTGTCGAGCAGAGTGCGGCGGGGATATGTTGGCGACTTCCCTTCCGTGTCTGCAGCACACACCAAGACACACACACAGATAGACACGGACACAGATAGACACACACACAGATAGACACACACACCAAGACACACACAGATAGACACGGACACAGATAGACACACACACAGATAGACACACACACCAAGACACACACAGATAGACACGGACACAGATAGACACACACACCAAGACACACACACAGATAGACACGCACAGATAGACACACAAATAGATAGACACACAGATAGACACACACACAGATAGACACGGACACTGATAGACACACAGATAGACACACACACCAAGACACACACACAGATAGACACACACACAGATAGACACACAGATAGATAGACACACACAGATAGACACACACACAGATAGACACGGACACTGAAACACAGACAGACACATAAACACATCACACGTTCATACACAAAGACACGCGTACATAAACTCGCCTACAAACTCTGACGCATACACAATAGACACAATCCGTAGGCACATACACGCACACACAAACTTACAAAGATACTCTTAGACACACGCACACATCAACTCAGACAAATGCATAAGCAGTGCAGGCTGTAACACAACACACACAACACACACACACAGACACAACACAACACACACAGACACAACACACACAACACACATCAAACACAACACACACAGACAGCACAACACACACACAGACACAACACACACAGACACAACACACACAACACACATACACAACATACACAGACACAACACACACATACAGACACAACACACACAACACACACAGAGACACAACACACACAGATACAACACACACAACACACACATACACAACACACACCACATATACAACACAACACACACAACACAACACACACAGGTGTAACACAACACACACAACACACACAGGTGTAACACACACACACAGGTGTAACACAACACACACAACACAGACACAGAGACACAATTTATGCGCCAAGACGATGACCGACAAGATGTCCAGCTTCCTGCACGTGGGGGACGTGGTCTCCCTGTACGCCGAGGGGACAGTGACCGGCTTCATCAGCACCCTGGGGTAAGTAGTAACACAGTGTGTGTTATAGCCTGTAGTAACACAGTGTGTGTTATAGCCTGTAGTAACAGTGTTGTGTTGTACCCTGTAGTAACACAGTGTGTGTTATACCCTGTAGTAACAGTGTTGTGTTGTACCCTGTAGTAACACAGTGTGTGTTATACCCTGTAGTAACACAGTGTGTGTTATAGCCTGTAGTAACACAGTGTTGTGTTGTAGCCTGTAGTAACACAGTGTGTGTTATAGCCTGCAGTAACACTGTGTTATAGCCTGTAGTAACACAGTGTGTGTTATAGCCTGTAGTAACACAGTGTTATAGCCTGTAGTAACACAGTGTTATAACCCTGTAGTAACACAGTGTGTGTTATAGCCTGTAGTAACACAGTGTGTTATAGCCTGTAGTAACACAGTGTTGTTATAGCCTGTAGTAACACAGTGTGTGTTGTAGCCTGTAGTAACACAGTGTTGTTATAGCCTGTAGTAACACAGTGTGTGTTGTAGCCTGTAGTAACACAGTGTTATCGCCTGTAGTAACACAGTGTGTGTGTTATAGCCTGTAGTAACACAGTGTGTGTTGTAGCCTGTAGTAACACAGTGTGTGTTATAGCCTGCAGTAACACAGTGTGTGTTATAGCCTGCAGTAGCACAGTGTGTGTTGTATACTGTAGTAACACAGTGTTATAGCCTGCAGTAACACAGTGTGTTGTAGCCTCTAGTAACACTGTGTGTTGTAGCCTGTAGTAACACAGTGTGTTAGAGCCTGTAGTACCACAGTGTTATAACCCTGTAGCAACACAGTGTTTGTTGTAGCCTGTAGTAACACTGTGTTATAGCCTGCAGTAACACAGTGTTATAGCCTGTAGTAACACTGTTATAGCCTGTAGTAACAGTGTGTGTTGTATCCTGTAGTAGCACAGTGTTTGTTAGCCTGTAGTAACACAGTGTTATAACCTGTAGTAACACTGTGTGTTATAGCCTGTAGTAACACAGTGTGTGTTGTAGCCTGTAGTAACACAGTGTTATAACCCTGTAGTAACACTGTGTGTTGTAGCCTGTAGTAACACAGTGTGTTATAGCCTGTAGTAACACAGTGTGTTAGCCTGTAGTAACACAGTGTGTGTTATAGCCTGTAGTAACACAGTGTGTGTTATAGCCTGTAGTAACACAGTGTTATAACCCTGTAGTAACACAGTGTGTGTTATAACCCTGTAGTAACAGAGTGTTGTAGCCTGTAGTAACACAGTGTGTGTTATAGCCTGTAGTAACACAGTGTGTGTTATAGCCTGTAGTAACACAGTGTTATAACCCTGTAGTAACAGAGTGTTGGGGCGAGTGCTGTTCGTGGCGAGCAGCAGCAGCTGGCTTATGCCCCTATCATGGGCAAGGGTGAAAAAAACCGATTTTTTTCGTTGCAAATTTGATCGGGTTATTGGTTTTATTTTTAAAAAACCCGATTTTGTCGAAAACAAACCATGGTTTTAATCCGGCGAGCCAAGTTGTCGTCAATCGGCACCAGAGTCATCGGGTTCGCTGTCCTCTTCGATCATCTCAAGAAGAAGTCGTGAATGTTGCTCTTAGTGAAGACGACGACCTTCTCCACCGACTTCACGCTCGGGCTGTTACTCAGCTCGGAGTGAACGAAGGCCGTGGTGTAGGAGTTTCTCTCGGATGCGGCACTGGACGTGGCAATGCTGGACAGCTTGACGGCGATCTTTTGCAGCGCAGGCTACTCACTGCCATTGGATAGCCAATAATCCATCGGTGTCTTGTGACCTTTGACCATCATCTCGTAGCGGAACGTGTTGTTTGTCTTCTCTTTGGTGGGGGCTATAATTATGGAGATTAACAGGCAATAAAACCGAATAAAACCAGATTTTTGCTCATCTGAGATGATCGGGTTTGATTAAAACCATGACAAACCCGATGCTGCCAGCCTTGATTATGGGTCATGGATGAAACCCTCTGTCCCTATGATGGATCATGCATGATGCTCTCTGGTTCGTATCATGGGTCGTGGCATTAAACCCTCTGGCCGTATCATAAGTCGGGTGATGATGCCAAAAAATGTGACACCAGGGCAAAATTCCCTTTGTCACAAATGCTTCAGTATACTTTCATGAACATGGGACAGCTTGAAAAACAAAAAAATTATTGCCTGACAAACATCCGTGCCGAGTTACCTAAAAAATGTGGCTTTTACAAGTTTATACAGTCCTGTGATGAATTTTTTTTGTCCCCCTATTATGACAGAAAGTTCCTTGTAAGATTCTGACTTAAACTTGCCAGGTTCGATATTGTTATGGTGTTACTGTACTGTTATATATATATTTACGACTTAAATTTGGATGACCACTTGGTGGTCCAAGCTGAAAGAAAGTCAACTTGGATGGCTCGGAGTGATGTCAGTTCGAATTCATGGAAAGTGGTGCCCGTCTCGGACACGTGAAGAGAAAGCTGCCTCGGTAGGCTAGGCAGGACGTATCACAGAGGTCGCAAACGGGCTTTGATTCTATGGGGACCTCATTTGCCAGTAAAAATATGATAATTGGGGTAAAGAATCAATTATCGGGCTTTGATTCCTTACTCGTACCCGTACCCGGCCGCACCAGGGTTGCAAATGGGTACCCGTACCCAGCCGGGTACGGGTACCCGTTCCCTACCCGTACCCGTACCCTACCCGATATGAGTGACAAACGGTGACTCACCAGTGACTCACGGCCTACCCGTACCCGGCCGCACCAGGGTCGCAAACGGCTACCCGTACCCGGCCGGCAAGGTCAGCTCTGCTGACCTTGCAAAGTGGTGGACTCGGATGCGAATGACTGTTGAGTTGGACATGGAGGCGATGGCCCCAGAACGGGAATGAGTGGACGAGAGAGGACCACAGAGGCAAGACTCCACATGTTTGGGAAAAATGCCAGGACCAAGATAATTATTTTGTTATCGTCGTTGCTGCTGCCCAAAGTCATCATCACCACCACTATCTGCCTCGTCTTTTAGAATATATATTTTTTACAAGTCACAAAATATGTCTGCAATGTTCAGCTTCCAAAACATGTTGCGGTTGTGTTTGCCAAGAACCAGTGATGCGATTATTTGCAAGAGAGAGAAAAAATGGTATTGCGTTTAAAACCCATGACAAATGGTGATTACACTGTAAAATCTAATTCCCATGACAGAGGTCGACTGATAAGAGTGAAACATTGTACAGTAAAGTGGGGAAATTGTTTACTTTCCACTTTAACAGACACGAGATTAGAGACTCGGTGGTTGTCAAGACGAATTACGGAGTCACAGCCAAAGGAGGGAACACACGCGATTGAACGTCCGGTGGAATGATCTCTGGTGCCGGTGCGAGGTCTATTGTTGCCAGTGAGAGACCATATCAGATCGTAACAGGTTCGGGGAGGCCTTCATTCAGCAGCGGTTGGGTCATCGCTGATAATGAAAAGTGGGATAGAGACACGAAGACTATTTTGTTACATAATTGTCGGTATCAAAACCGAAACATAAAATAACTGGATTTTGCTGCGCTGACATTGTCTGCCCACCACGTGTCCCCGCAGCCTATAACACCTATGTCAGGTTGACCTACGTGGAGGCTCTGTAGTTGCTGCACCTCAGCCAATCGCACACAACAAACGTCTTTTGTAACCAGTCTCTACGTGGGTTGCCCTGCGCACACTGGATTTAATAAAAGCCTACATAGTTCACCCTAATAGGCCCAGGTTGGAGCATGTGGCCTTTCAGGTTCGGGCAGCTATTGTCAGAGGCATGACAATGGGATGCATGCACTGTGAGTCTCAAGGCGAAGCAGACGATGATGCGAATGATGTGGTGGTGATAAGGAATACTTCCTCGAGGCTTTTGGACTGTTAATTTGCAAGACATGCCACCCTTGGAATCCAGAAGAGCAGATTCCTTGCCTGTCCTTAAAAGCAAGCTCAGAAGCGAGAGGTGACTGGACCAGGTGGGTCAGAGATCAGAGACACTGAACCACGTAAACAAAACGCCATTTAATTACTACTTCTAACCCAATAATCTTTATTATGAAGCATACTACAGATTAAAACACCGATCCTCACGCAAGTAAGTGTATCATTACACACCTAATGAAGTGTCATTATACTTTTTAAAATAATACTAGAAGTAAAAATAAAACCAATTTTTCCAAGAAAGCCGCACTGAACCTCACGACCTGTTTTCAGGAGGGTCCTGTATTCGGATGTTTGGCCGATTCCACTCACGGGAGGATACGAGAGTACCTGGAGAAAACCCAGAACACATGAGGGAATATGATTCAGTAGCTCCGCACAGATGGATTCAATAATCGATTTGCTGTACTGCCATGTCTCAGTCACTGGCATTCCCAGTGCAGTCTCCTCACCCAAGTACCAACCAGACCCGGCCTTGCTTAGCTTCCCAGTAGCAGCCTTCTATTCTATGGCTGATCTAGATGCAGACCAACAACCACAATTTCATATTCAGGTGATCAAGCCAGACAACCACCTCAGGAGTCAAGAACCAGTGAACCTTGGAGAATTTAGGGGGGATTATGGGTTTCGGCCAAGAGTTTGCACTGTGAGCAGGGGCTCGTGACCTGGGTCAGACCTCTTAATTACCAGACGAACTCAGCTGCCATCTGCGAAAATCAACGAACTCATGCCGCAATGCGAATGGGAAAGGTTGTGTCCCTGCAATGGCTTGCTCATGCCACTGCTGGTGCAAGGGCCTGTGGGACGGCTTTAGGGAAGCCCTGTTGGCCAGACGAATTGAAAGAGGTTGGAGTACCCACGATTTACCCCACCACTCGGGACCTGCCCATCAACTAGCTGTGGTTGTGACCGTGTACGCGTACTCTGGTGGAACAAGCAGACTTGACTCAGCTACCACCCAGTTGCGATGGTATGGCTCGCAACATTAGAAATGCAATCGTGGCCTTGCTGCTTTTTTCAAACTCCATACAAAATAAGGTGGAGAAGATGGGTACTGTTTCTATTTAT